TGATATCTTTACGAAGGTGCTTGCGCCTAAAGATCATCAGCGGCACTGTGTACAGCTTGGTCTAGTTCCTGTAGCCTCTCACTTGCTAGGACCTTGACTTTGTACTGTCCTTTATATGTATACTCAGACTGGACTTGTGTCCTCTCCCAGTGGCTGGACTAGTAGTGCCGCCCTGCTCTTGTTCTTGCCTTGTCTGTACTCCTTCTGACTGGTCCCTCATACCCTTGTCTCAGAGGTTGGACTAGTAGTGCCGCCCTGAGCTGCTTGTTTAGGACATTCCCCTAAACAGTCTAGGGGGTGTGTCAAACATGTGTATTTGTCATGCTTGTATAAACTGTATAGGGTCACCTCTTAGAGGGTACAAGACTTAGGTATATCTATGTGTACTCTCACTCTATCAACAACACTTCTCTGATTATGATACTAGCTTCCTAGCTAAGCTAGCCTTTTAACAATAGGGTGTTATATACGGGGGATTACGGTATGTCCAGTGAATGCTATGGAGACAATGCATTCCCTTTTTCATATCAACGTAATGTTATTTCAACTGTGAGAGGGCCGAAATGAGGGCATCTGTGTGCTCGGGCTTGCCTACGCTGATGCGAATGAAGTTGCAGAGGTCCGGCTTGTCGTAGTGCCGCACCATGATGCCCTGCGCAGCCAGCTCGTCCTGCGAGCACAGCATTGAAAAGCTTAACGCATACTCCGCCACGGAATGGTTTCCCAAGCAAACTGCATTTCAAAAAACACGTGGCATCAGATGTGTGGGCATGATGGTCTGTACCTTCAGTGCTTTGGCAGTCCAGTGGGTGTTTTGGAGTCCACAGAGAATGAAGTTGGCATGGCTGGGGAAGGGCTTTAAGAAGGGCAGTGTGCTCAGCTTCTCCATGAGGCGCCCCCTCTCCCTCACCAGGGCATCTCGCACCGTCTGCACACAGCCACGCAGGGCAAGGGTGCGCACAGCCAGGCACACCAAGGGCTCAAACATGAACGCACGGAAACACAAGTAACCAACAAAGCAGGTACAGCTTACCGATTATCACCCACCTACACTCACTCAGGCTTATATCCTCATGCATGAAGCACCAGTTATGTGTGGCACGGGCCAACACATAGCCTCCCACGTGTGGCCAACACACACCTCGAGAAACGGCTGGTTACCCCAAAACATTCCAGCACGTATGGGAGGTTGGAATGACACATGCCTGCAGGTAGGGCTGGTTGGAACGACACATACCTGCAGGTAGGGCTGGTTGGAGAGTGCTGCGCAGGCGGCGACCTCAGCGGCGACGGACACGTTGTAGGGCTGCTTGGCGCGCCACAGGTACTCCACCAGCGCCAGGGGGAACGCCCCATACCCCACACGCAGCCCCGCCAGGCCTACGGGCATAACAAGGAAGGAGGAGGGGGGGGGGGGGGGGAGGGGGAGGGGGAGGAGGGAGGGAGGGAAAGAGGGGGGGTTGAGGAGGAGACGGGGAGGGAGGAAAGGGAGGGCAATGGGGCAGAGGAGCGCAAGGGCACATCGGGAAGTTGAAATGCTGCGATTGCAGGGACGAGAGGCAGGGGACAGCAGCATATGGATGAGGCTTGAGCGAGAGGGGGCTGACCGGCGCGCTTGCTGAAGGTGCGCAGCACGATCAGGTTGGCGTGGCGCTGCACCAGCCGCATGCTGGACGGCTGGTCCGAGAACTCAATGTACGCCTCGTCCAGCACCACCAGCACCGGCAACCGCAGCAGCGCCGCCAGGTCCTCTGCACTCAACATGCTGCCAGCGGAGGGGAGGGCGCGGGGGGGAGGAGGGGAGGAGGGGTGAAGCATACGTGTCCGCCCATGTTCCTGCCATCAGGGTTGTTGGGCGCAAAACGCACCTGCCATCGGGGTTGCTGGGCGCAAAACGCACCTGCCATCGGGGTTGTTGGGCGCAAAACGCACCTGCCATCGGGGTTGTTGGGCGAGGTGAGGAAGAGCAGCTTGGGGTGGTGCGCCTCCACCGCTGCCGCCACGCCCGCCACGTCAATGGAGAAGTCGCTCCGCCGCGGCACTGAAGGGGAAGGGGGCAGGGGGGGGCGCACGCAGCACACAGGGGGGAGGGGGAGAGGGGAGGGGGAGGGGCGGGGGGGGGGGGGGGGGGGGGGGGTAAGAGAAGGAACAAACCACTGGATGCGCGTGCAGGAGCAAACCACTGGATGCGCGTGCAGGAGCAAACCACTGGATGTGCGTGCAGGAGCAAACCACTGGATGTGCGTGCAGGAACAGTGGTAGAGGAACACAGACTGCAAGGCAAGACACTCAAGTGATGACATACATGTGTTGACCCACCTGTGATGACACGCGCATTGTTGACCCACCTGTGATGACACGTGCGTCGTTGACATGGGCGTCGAAGGCATACATGGTGAAGGTGGGCGGGCAATCCACTATGGCCTCGCCCGGCTCCAACACACACCTGCACTCCCCATGCCGCACATGCACACCCGCTCACACCACATGCCGCACATGCACACCCGCTCACACCATGCAAGCATGGATAGAAACACAACCGAAGGAGGCACAAGGGTGAACCAGGTGTTGTCGCTCAGCGCGGAATACTTGGCTGCCTCACGACGCACTGATGGCGCTCGCTCGCTCTTGCCATGCCCACCTGCCAGCCTGGCTGCTCTCCGCGGAATACAGGATGGGGCTGACGAGTACCGGCAGGGATGGCAGGGATGGCAGGGACGGCAGGGATGGCAGGGATGGCAGGGATGGCAGGGATGGCAGGGATGGCAGGGATGGCAGGGATGGCAGGGACGGCAGGGATGGCAGGGATGGCAGGGACGGCAGGGAGGAGAGCAGGGAGGTGGGGGGGAGAGCAGGGAGGTGGGGGGGAGAGCAGGGAGGCAGGTGGGCGGGTTGGGGTGGGCACCGCATGATGAGGTCGATGAGCTCACCGCATAATGAGGTCGATGAGCTCGTCCGCGCCGCACCCCACCAGCAGGTGCTCTGCTGGCACGCCGCAGTCGGCCGCCAGCGCTGCCCTGAGCTGGCGGCTCTGAGGGTCCGGGTACACATGGGGGAACGCCAGCGACCCCAGCGCCTCCAGAACCTGCTCGCCTCACAAATGCCATGTGCACACACACGCACACATACATGCACACACGCACACATACATGCACACACGCACACATACATGCACACACGCACACATCCATGCACACACGCACACTCCATGCGTGCACGCACACGCAAGCACGCACGAACGCGCGCGCACACACACACACTTTCATGTGTATACAAGTCGGAAGGTTGCAATACAGCGAGCAATGCAAGCGAGCCGTGATTACTCAAGGAGCATCACCCGTGCACACGCACCCTCCCCTCAGCCGTGTGCTCCCCCCTCAGCCGTGTGCTCCCCCCTCAGCCGTGTGCTCCCCCCTCAGCCGTGTGCTCCCCCCTCAGCCGTGTGCTCCCCCCTCAGCCGTGTGCTCCCCCCTCAGCCGTGTGCTCCCCCCTCAGCCGTGTGCTCCCCCCTCAGCCGTGTGCTCCCCCCTCAGCCGTGTGCTCCCCCTCAGCCGTGTGCTCCCCCCTCAGCCGTGTGCTCCCCCCTCAGCCGTGTGCTCCCCCCTCAGCCGTGTGCTCCCCCCTCAGCCGTGTGCTCCCCCCTCTCCCCCCTCTCCCCCTGGACGGCATGGCAGCAGCGGCACTGACCTCGGGCGGCGGGCCGTAGGGGTTTTCGTTGGCGTCGAGCTTGACAATGTCGCTGGGCGCGCGCCCCAGCTGCGCCGACAGCACCTGCGCCCCGCGCCCCACGCCCCACACGCACCCCGACCAATTACCGCAGGCGAAGCAGCGCAAAGACGGGCGGGAAAGGGGGGAGAGCGAGGTGAGCGCGGCACGGAGAATGTGGGCATGAGGGAGGATGGGCGGGGGAGGAGGGGGGAGGGAGGGGAGGTGGGATTAGGGGAACGCGTGAGAAGAGGGCGGGAGAGGGCGGGAGAGGGCGGGCGGTAGGGGGAGAGAAGAGTGAGAGAGAGAGCTGGGAGGGAGAGAAAGTGTGATGGGAGGAGGAGAGAGTGTGATGGCAGGGGTAGAGAGTGTGATGGGGGAGGAGGGGGGGAGGGTGCGATGGGAGGAGGGGAGGGAATGGAGAGCAAGGCGCTGGGCGGGCGAGCGGGAAGTGGAAGTGGATTCGAGGAGGCAGGCGTGAGGGCGGGATGGCAGGCACGCGGGCATGGGGGCTCGACGGCTTGAGGGTGGAGACTAGGATGGGCGCGGCAGACAGCGCAATGTGGGGCGCAGGCGGACGATGGGGTCCACAAGCAGCAATCACAGGCGACGACCGGCGATCACGGGCGATCACAGGCGACAAAACGCCAAAACTGAGCCGCCACCTATCGACGCCTCTCGGCGCACGTGGAAGGGCAGAGGGGCACCTCGAAGGGCAGACGGGCGCACCTCGAAGGGCAGACGGGCGCACCTCGAAGGGCAGACGGGCGCACCTCGAAGGGAACGATGGGGGTGTAGGGCTTCAGCCGGCGCAGATGCGGGCGGACAAACTCCGCGCCGTCCGCCATTGTGGTCTCCGCAGGCGGGAGCGCATCGGCGCGCGGAGCGGCGGAAGCTGCTGGCTGCACCGCGCGAGACGAGACGCGGCGGGAAACCGGTGGATATGCGAGAGAGGGAGAGGAGCGCAGCGAATGGCGGAGGAGAGCCCGCGGCTGCATGGCTGAGGGCGTTGCGGCGGCAGTGATGAAAGCGACTTGCGGGTATGTGCGTTTGTGTGATATGACGAGGTTTTACGTCGTCTGCTGCGATAAGAGCGCGGGGGCGAGAGACAGCACTGTTGCGGGTATTCAACTCCTCATGTACCAGTACATAGAAACTAGGACTATCAATTGCCAAACGGTACAAGTTGAAGCAACTAGATGACATACATTATGATGAGTCAGCACACCCTATTACGCTTGTGAATGCAGCCTTCAATAGATATTCATTTTGCATGCATTGTGGCCGAAACAAAGGATGAACAAACACCTTCATTACAACATGATACACCGTAGATCATGGATGGCATGATCAAACATAACAGCAACAGTATTGCGTACGGGGAATATAATACAAGCTTGGCTCATGGGCCACAAATCAAGAGCAACACGGGCCACATGCATGTGACGTCGTAGTGTAAGTTTGAGAGACCATGGCATGTAAGGTGGCTGGCGTTGGTACGGCATACAGTGGCAGCACGTGGCGACTGAGGCAGCAGAGGTGCAGGACGTTGCGGCAGGCGCCGTGGCTGAAAGGATGCACGTCCCCTGGGATGGCCCTGCAGCAGGCAGCAAGCAGCCGTGGGTGAGGAGTGCATGTGCACGATGGACGCACGCACGGGTGCGTGCTAGCTCGCTATGTCAAAGCATGCCCTCGCCATGTCAAAGTACCTGTATGGCATGTCAAAGCATGTGCCTGGCATGTCAAAGCATGTGCCTGAAATGGCAGGATATGGGATTGGCATGTCAAAGCATGTGTGTGGCACACATAACGCACCGCAGGTAGGAGATGCGATGCTTCCTGGTGGCTTCATACGTAGTCTGCGCAGTGAGAATGAGGTGCCTGCACGCCATTGGCACAGTGCGGTGGGGCACAGCGCAGAGGGGCACGCGGTCAGCCGCACAGAGAGGGGTGAGGCGCACAGGGAGGGGTGAGGCGCACAGAGAGGGGTGAGGCGCAAACACACGTACCAACCACATGGCAGTGCGGCCAACTCACTCACGTGTGGAAGGCGACGAGGATGGCGAGGAAGACAGCAAGCGGCAGCAGCAGCACAGTGAAGGCCAGCGCTGAGAGCTGGTGTTCCAACCTGATGCACGAGGGAGTAAGTGGCGGACCGGTGGTTTGGCGAGATGGGAGCAACGGACCAGTGGTTTGGCGAGACAGGAGCAACGGACCAGTGGTTTGGCGAGACAGGAGCAACGGACCAGTCGTATGGCGAGATGGGAGCAACGGACCAGTGGTATGGCGAGACAGGAGCAACGGACCAGTGGTTTGGTGAGATGGGAGCAACGGACCAGTGGTATGGCGAGATGGGAGCAACGGACCAGTGGTATGGCGAGATGGGAGCAACGGACCAGTGGTATGGCGAGATGGGAGCAACGGACCAGTGGTTTGGCGAGATGGGAGCGGTGAAGGCGGAGAGGCAGATGAGCAGCGACCACCATGTGAGGCAGCACTCCAGCACCAAGTACACCCTGCCATGCCGTGCATAGTTGGGCCATAGCCATAGCCGTGCCATAGCCGTGCCATGCGTGGAATGGGGGGGCACACACACAGTAGAGCCAGTGGTGGTGGCCACGGGCAGTCAGCGTGGCTGCGATTCATTTGCAGCGGGAAGGCCATGCCAACCAGCTCCACACCCAGATATGCTCACCACATGTGCATTCCAGAAGTGTGTGTGGTTTCTACGAACTGGGATGGTCAAAAGCTGTGCTTACCAGAAGCAGGTGTAGTTACCAGAAATGGTGCTTACCAAAAGCAGGCATGGTCACCAGAAGCGGGCGCGGTTACCAGAAGCGGGCGCGGTTACCAGAAGCGGGCGCGGTTACCAGAAGCAGGCACGGTTACCAGAAGCGGGCGCGGTTACCAGAAGCGGGCACGGTTACCAGAAGCGGGCACGGTTACCAGAAGCAGGCGTGGTTACCGGAAGCGGGCGCGGTTACCAGAAGCAGGCACGGTTACCAGAAGCGGGCGCGGTTACCAGAAGCGGGTGCAGTTACCAGAAGCGGGCACGGTTACCAGAAGCGGGCGCGGTTACCAGAAGCAGGCACGGTTACCAGAAGCGGGCGCGGTTACCAGAAGCGGGCGCGGTTACCAGAAGCGGGCACGGTTACCAGAAGCAGGCGTGGTTACCGGAAGCGGGCGCGGTTACCAGAAGCAGGCACGGTTACCAGAAGTGGGCGCGGTTACCAGAAGCGGGCGCGGTTACCAGAAGCGGGCACGGTTACCAGAAGCAGGCGTGGTTACCGGAAGCGGGCACGGTTACCAGAAGCGGGCGCGGTTACGAGAAGCGGGCGTGGTTACCAGAAGCGGGCGTGGTTGCGCAGGCCGATGCAGGTGGAGAGCCAGAAGCAGTGGTGGTCGAAGCGCAGCACGCAGCGCCCACAGTCGTAGCAGTGCTTCCCGCGCACCGGCTGCTGCACCGCGCAGTACGGACACCAGCGCCGCGCACTGCTGCCAGGGGGAGGCGGGGAGGGGGGACAGCAGGGGGAGGCGGGGAGGGGGGACAGCAGGGGGAGGCGGGGAGGGGGGACAGCAGGGGGAGGCGGGGAGGGGGGACAGCAGGGGGAAAGGGGGGGAGGGAGGGAGGAGAAGGGCTTTGAGATGGGCCCTGGCATGGCCAGGTGAGAGCAGGGGGGGATGGGAAGCCGTTTCAAGAAGAGATGGCGTATTGCTGTTGAGGAGGCAGGGGTGAGGAGGGTGGTGGGGGTGAGGAGGGTGGTGGGGGTGAGGAGGGTGGTGGGGGTGAGGAGGGTGGTGGGGGTGAGGAGGGTGGTGGGGGTGAGGAGGGTGGTGGGGGTGAGGAGGGTGGTGGGGGTGAGGAGGGTGGTGGGGGTGAGGAGGGTGGTGGGGGTGAGGGGGAGTGGTGGGGGTGAGGGGGAGTGGTGGGGGTGAGGGGGAGAGGGGGGTGACCTGAATTGGGAGATGAGGAGATCCGACTGTGCTGCTGTGAGGTGCGATGGCGGCGCTGACAGGGGAAGCAGCAACACTCTCGTCCCTCCCTCCCTCCCCTCAACTCGCTCTCCCTCCTCCCCCCCTGTCTTGCCCACCCTGGCGGCACCCCATGCCCGCCCCCCGCAACAACTGCACTCTCGCTCGCCATCGCCGCCTCCTCTTTCGACGTCGTCGCAAGCCATGTCTACCCCGGCCCCGCACCATCCGCAGCATCTCCTATCGCCACACCATCTACACCCCCTTTCCCCACACCACGTGCACCCCACGTGGCCACACCATCGGCACCCTGGCAGGCAGGGGGCGAGCAAGGCTGAGGGGGCATGGGGCCCTGCACCGGTGGGAACGAGGGGAGGGGCTAGGGGGCTCACACCAAACTCCCCCCTGCCCGCGTCTCCCCTTCCCCCACCGTCGCCTTTCCCCCTGGGAGGAGGCAGCGGCACAACGGCGCAGGATGGTGAGGACTGGCGTGCAGAGTGGGGTGCAGCGGGGTGGGGGGGGGAGTGGGAGGAGAGGAGGCGAGGAGAGGAGTGAGGAGGTCTGGGAGGCGGGCAGACTCGGTTGCTGGAGTCTTGGAGACGCGCGCAAGGGAGGGGGGGGCAGAGGCCGGGGCAGCGGCTGGGGCAGTAGCAGGGGAAGTGGGTGGGGGTGGGGGTACGAGTGGGGCGGCATGGGGGAGAGAGGCCCGGGATGGAGTCCCCCACCTGGAGACGGTGAGGGATGAATGCGATGAATGAGGGGGGGGGAGCGCAGCGATAGAGGCGCCATCCCCATTGCTGTGGCTCGTGACTGCGCGCAACAGCCCACTCTCATCCCCTTGCTCACCCGCCCCATCCATCGCCCCATCGCCCTCTCCCTCCCCGCATCTCTCCTCCTCCTCACCAGCACCCCCCTCCGTCTCCTCCTCCAATGCAACCTGCCCAGCCTGCCGTGCTGCTGCTGCTGCTGCTGCTGCTGCTGCTGCTGGCGGTGCTGGCAGCACTAGTGCTGCGGGTGCTGCTGCGGCCAACGAGTTCACGGCTGCAGCTGCTGCTCCAGGCGCTGCTGCCTGCCCAGGAGCTCCTGGGGGTGGCAGCAAGGCGGGCACAGGCAGCGTGTGGTCGCATGAGCCATCCTGTGCGGAGGCATGCCGTGCCCTGGCTGCTGCCACGGCGGCCTCAATGCTGCCCGCCACATCCTGCACGTAGCTGCCCTCACCACGCATGCACACATGCCCTCACCACGCATGCACACATGCCCTCACCACGCATGCACACATGCCCTCACCATGCATGCACACAAGTTATCCGCATGACATTCACATGCCATTAACATGCCATTCACATGACATTCACATGCCATTCACATGCCATTAACATGCCATTAACATGCCATTCACATGCCATTCACATGCCATTCACATACCATTCACGAGCCATTCACACGTCATTCACGAGCCATTCACATGCCATTCACATGCCATTCACGAGCCATTCACGAGCCATTCACATGCCATTCACGAGCCATTCATGTGCCATTAACATGCCATGCACGAGCCATGCACGAGCATGAGCAAGCAGTGGAAGGAGGGCGGAGGCGGAGGAGATGATGGGGGGGACAGGGGAGAAGAGCGGCGCAGCAGGCCAAGGCACATGCGCAGGGTAGCACGCGGAGCGGCGGGTTGGGACGAGGGTGTAGTGGGAAGAGGGCGGGGCGCAGCGCACGCACCCTGGCGAGGAGCCCGAGGTGAAGAGGTACTGCAGGAGCGTGGCGAGGAAGAGCGCGCCGTAGCACGCCGGGAACCTGGCGTGGGGGGGGTGAGGGGGAGGGAGGAGAGGAGCGAGAAGGGGAAGGGAGGTAAGGGTGCGATGGGGAGAGAGTAAGACGTGTAGGACGATGGCAGGCAGGGGCACACAAGCATGGTGCCCACCACACTACTGTTACCGTATACCACATGCGGCGGTGGTTACCACATGCCACATGCGGCGGTGATACCAGATGCCACATGCTGTGGTGGTTACCACATGCCACATGCGGTGGTGGTTACCACATGCCATATGCGGTTACCACACACCACATTTGGTGGTTACCACATCTCAGATGTGGTGGTTACCACGTACCACCAGCGGTGCTGCACGAGGGCCTGTGTGAGCGCCGTGTTGAGCAGCAGCAGCGCCGCCACCACCACAGCGTGCAGCACCGCCCACCCCACGCGCGCGCTCGCCGCCGTCTGCTGCGCTGCTCGCGCAAGTCACGTGGGGGGGGGCACAGCGGTGGGGGAAGGCAGGGAGGGGGGAGCGGGAGAGATGAGAGGTGGAATGGGTGCGAGGAGGGTGCACCATGCGACCCGCAATCGGCTGCAGGCGCAGATCGGATGGCGCGGTCCGTGAACCGCTCGTTTCCGCGCGCACCTTCCGCCACCCGCGCGCGCAGCACGTCGCCTCTGATCTCGGGGGTGGGCAGGTCGGCCGACGCCCCGCGCTCGTTGGGGCTGGGCACCCACGGCAGCACCAGGCTCGGCAGCCGCGCCATGCCACCCACCAACGCACGCGGCCGCGCGGGGGGGCGGCGGAATGGCTACGCGGAGGGGGGAGAGAACTCGGCACGAGACGACACGGGGTGCGCTGAGAGTGACAGGAGAATCTGCGAAGTGAAGCGAAACCTGACGCCTGGGAGTTGACGCCTGGCTCCCGCAGAGTAAACGTCTGGGCCGTGCTTAAACGCGAGGACCCATACTGAACCGCCCAGTGACGTCAACGCCTGAGGTCCCGAGATTCACTCGGCCGTGGAATGAGGCAAGGCCGAGGTCCCACACACGAACCATTGGCTGTATGTACGGCTGGGTTCAAACGGCGGGAGAAATCGAGGGTGGCGGGGAAATCAAGGCCGCGATAAAAACTCTCTCCTGTACACGACGAATGAGCTATACACTTGGCTATTGTTTCCTTATAGCGATTGTGTAAGCTTCGCCACGAATGTACGCCCACCCATACTATACTTTGAAGCGGCAAACGCTTTTATTGAAGCGATGTACAATATTGAATCTTCTGGCGTCTAAATAAACAGGCAAAATGGGCATGCTGCCATGACCGGTGGCACACTGGGCTGTGTGCTTGCGGTGATGCAGGAGAGGAGAAGAGCAGCGCTGAGGCGGGATGGCGGGCAGCAGCCATGGAGCATCTCCTGCCGGCCATGGAGCATCTCCTGCCGGCCATTAGTGCTCCCACGTGGCACCCACGACCTGCTTGCTTCCGCTTCCTGCATCCATGCCCCCCTTGCCCCTCTGCATCTCGCCACCTCTCACTCACCACCTCATCCTCTCCCCACATGCGCCTCGCCCCCTCCTCCTCAGTCGCCTTGCCACATCTCCCCCTTCTCTTCTTGCCCGCCACCCCCGGCTCACTCGCCCTTGTTTCGTTGCTCCCACGCCAGCGTCGCCAGCACCGTCGCATGCAGCTCAGGGTCGCCCGTCGCCACCACGTCGCCCACCCACTCCTCTGGTCGCAGCGACGCCAGCCGCAGCTCCCCTCCGCGCCAGTCGGTCATCTTGCCCCCCGCGCCGGCCACGATGGGGGCGAGCGCGAGGTAGTCCCACGGCTTCACGCCGAACTCCAGCGCCACGTCCACGCACCCGAGGGCCACCAGCCCGAACGCGTAGCAGTCGCACCCGTAGTTCGCCTTGCGCGCTCCGCCCTTCACCGCGCGGAACGCCTCGCCGCTGGCGCCGGGGAAGAGGTCGGGCGACGTGGTGTACACGTAGGCGTCGCGCAGCGCGGCGCAGCGGCGCGTGGCGACGGGGAGGCCGTTGAAGGTGGTGGGGCGGCCGTGGACGCCCACCCAGCGCTCCCGCAGCACGGGCTGCTCCAGCACGCCCAGCACGGGGCGGCCGCCGTGCAGCAGCGCGATGAGCGTGCCGAAGAGCGGCTTGCCCGTGATGAAACTCGCCGTGCCGTCGATGGGGTCCACCACCCACACCCACTCGCACACCGCCCCCTCCTCCCCCGCCCCCGCCGCCCCCACGGGCCCCTGCAGCCCCTGCTCCTCGCCCAGGATGCCGTGCGCGGGGTACTCTGCGCGGATCAGCGCCGTTATCGCCTCCTCCGCCGCGCGGTCCGCCGCCGTCACCGGGCTCTCGTCCGCCTTCAGCTCGATGCTGATCGGCCGGCGGAAGAACGGTGGAACCACCTCGCGCGCCGCGTCCGCCAGGCGGTGCGCGAACTGCACGAGGTGGTCGGGGACCGCGGGGGACGGCGCAGGCATGGCGGAGGCGGAAGGGACTGACAGGGATCGGCGCGCAGGGCGCACGGTGAGGGCAGGGCGCAGGGGGACTGTGAGCGGCGAATGGCAGAATGTATCGCGCGAGGAGAGAGCGGGGACGAGTGAATGCGGTGAAGGGAGAGCCTTGAAGTGCGAGGGAGCTGTCGCGCGGTGCCTGGTGACAGCCACAGGGGCGACGGAATGCAGGTGAAGGGAGGCCATGGAGAAAGCGAGGCCGTGGAAATGGAATATTCGAGGGCCAGTATTCGCGATATTCCCTTGGCCAGCCCAGCCCTGGCACAAGGTGGCGTCACTTCGTGCCTCCGACAATTTCTGGACTTCCATCCGCTTTGGAGGGCGCATCAGCAAATGTTTCGGCTTTTGGTGTAGCTGGCTCGCAAAATCTAAATAACGAGTTTCCTTCTAAACTGTATGTCGGCCCCAAATTTCCCCCACCAGCGCCTTTCCATCCCCTGGCCTCCTGTCGCCCCATTCTACCCCCCCTAGCTCCTCCGCCATCCACTCCCCACTGCACCATGCCGCTTGTACCGCTGCGCGTTGCGCGGCCCTCTCTGTCGTGCCGCCGCTCATCGCCGGTGCACCTCGCGCCTCTCGCTCCGAGTTCTCAGCGTCCGCTGCGCGCAACCGCTGCGCGGACCACAGCAGCAGCGCTCCGCCAAGAATTCTCCCCCACCCCGTGCTCGGCCGCCGCTTCTCGCGTGCGCCAGCCTGTTGCTTGCCGCTCGGCGGCGGAAGCGGCGGGCTTGGCGTCGTTTCCGTGGGAGAATGCGGTGGAGGGGGCCGGGGAGCGGGGCGGGGAGGAGGAGTGGGGAAGGGAAGCCGCGGCGGCGGCAGCGGGGGATGTAGAGGTTGACGTGGCTATCGTCGGCGCTGGGGTGGTGGGGCTCTGTATAGCTGACGCACTGCTGGCGTCATCGCCGAGTACCAGGGTTGCCGTGATTGATAGTTCTTGGCCGTGCGCCGGGGCAACAGGGGCAGGTGAGAGGTGCAGGGGTGGATGGTGTGGCACGAGCAGGAGGAGCGAAGGGGAAGAGAGGAGAGACGAGAGGAGGAATAAGTGACATGGCTAAACGGAATTTGAGAGTAGGAGTAACTAGAGAAGGTGTGAGGGGTTGACGAGATGATATCGCACCATTTTGCTGGAAGTGCGGCGCTTGGTGCACGGCGCACCATGTTGAGAACGCCATGTTAGATCTGCCTCTCGGGCATGATGACATGATCCCATGGCATGGTGGCACGGTTGCATATTGGCAAGGTGGCGTGGTGGCATGGTGGCATGGTGGCACGGTGGCATGGTGGCATGGTGGCATGGTGGCATCGTGGCATCGTGGCATCGTGGCAGGGCAGGGCTACATTTGGATGGGTCATCGGACGCCGGGCAGCATGACATGGCAGTTGGCGGCGCACAGCAAGCAGCGGTGGGAGCACATGGCGGGCGAGCTGGAGGACGACCACCGGCGGCTCGCCGGCTGCACCTTGGGGCTGGGCCGCATGCACACAGGCAAGGGCCGAGGATGCATGCACACAGGCACGTGATGTGGAGACACGAGTCGGCAGGTTGATGTGGGGCTGTCGTTGTGGCTGACAACATGACCGCCTCACTGCACCACTCTCACACTCATCCCCTCATCCGCTTTTGGCTGCCCTTGCCGGGTGGGCAGCAGACTATGCGGTGGTGAAAAGGAGAGGTCAGAGGCAGGCGAACTGAGAGGGCCAAACCCGTCCACCCCGCCCCACTCCAACCTTCTCCCCTTGTCTGTTTCCGCTCCTCTCCCCGCCACCCCTCCTCCCTCGTCCCCCCCTCTCTGTGTCTCTCTGCCTCGTCCCACGGCCCGCCAGGCAGCATGCTGGTGCCATCGCACCCGTCCCACGCGGCCCCTCTCCTGCAGCACCACCACGCGCTGCAGCAGGCGGGTCTGCCCGCGCACCTGCTGTCGCCCGCCGCCCTCGCTGACGCCGAGCCCGCCCTGCAGCTGCCCGCAGGTGCCATGTCCGCACTGCTGCTGCCGTCCGACTGGCAGCTCGACGCCACACTCGCCGTGCACGCCCTGCTCGCTGTACGTACTGCCATCTTGTATGAATTGGCGTGGTGGGGCATGGCATGGCGGCACTACAGATGGGATGGGATGGCACAGCATGGCACGCTCTCACTTGCAGCTGGCCACAATATCATCCCCCTCAGCACTCCCTTGTTCCTCCCATTCCCCTGCTTTTTTTCATTAGTCCACTCCCCCTGCTCTCCTGCCGTCCTCGTGCCATCGGCATGCCTCTCACCCCCAGCGCTGTCGCCAGCACGCCTCCTCTGGTCGCTACGTGGAGCTCTTTCAAGAGAGCGTCTCCACCTTCCTCTGGTACCCTCTCACCGCCCACCGCCCTGTGCTGCTGAACCTGGAGTGCTGGGATGCTTGGCAGGAAGAGAGGGCTCCGCTTTTGTATCTTCACTCGCATGTCATGTGCTTGCGTGTGTCATGTGTGTGTGGGCGTGGGAGTGCACGAGTGTGTGTATTTGCATCTGTTTATGGACGCGTCTATTTGTGCATGCATGTGTCTGTATGTGCGTGTGTGCATGAATGCATGTGTGTGGGTGCTCGCATGCCCACATGCTCCAATGCAGGGCGCCAGAAGGCAGCAGGGTGGTGGGGGTGGCAACGGCTCACCGCCGGGTGCTGGCAACGCGGGCAGTGGTGGTGGCCACGGGGTCCTGGTCTTCCGGATTCATGGCCCACGCCCTCAACCACTCCTCTCCCGCCTCCTCCGCCGCGCCTCAAGCGGCTCAGCATGGCAGCAGGCCCCAGGAGAGTAGCCCAGGCAGCAGCGCAGCAAGCGGCAGCAGTCCTGGTGGCGGGGAGCAGGGCGCGGTGGTGCCTCACGTGCGGCCACGCAAGGTGATGGGTGCACTGGTGATGGGAGATGCTGCAGGGAGGTAAGCGGCTGTAGTGCTGGCTCATGCTGACCTCCCGGCGCCTCCTCTAATCTCAATCCATCTCAACCCTTATGGCCACCCCTCTCATGTCCAGTCCCTAATCTTACTCCATGTCCAACCTTCCTCCTTCCGTGCCTTCTCCCTCTCCCTGCCTCTTCCTGCTGCCATCCATCCATCCATCCATCCGTCCCTGCAGGGCTTTCTGCTGCAGCTCGTGGACCCGCCCCCCGCCCTGGCGCTGCGGCACGGGCTGATGGAGTTTGACTACACCGCCAATTACGCCCCCGCGCCCTCCTCCCCGCCCCACCACTCCCCCACCCCGCACTCTGGGGGCTCCTCCACCGCTGCCCCCGCCCTGCCATCCGCTCCCCCGCCTGCTGCCATCTCAATGACGGCCACGTGCGACCACCACGGCCATCTGCTCATTGGTGCCTCTCCTCACCTCACCTCCCTCAACCCCCATCACCACCCTCCCTCGCGTTGCTTCTCACACACCCCCCTGCCCCCCTCCCCATCTTGCATGAACCGCTGCCCTCTTCTGTCCAATCTCTCCATCACCTGCTTCTCCATCACCTGCTTCTCCATCACCTGCTTCTCCATCACCTGCTTCTCCATCACCTGCTTCTCCATCACCTGCTTCTTCTCCCATAACTCTCCCCCCTGCGTGTGCCTCGCCTGTCAGGCAGCAGCAGGGAGTTCGCTGGATTCAGTGTGGCGCCCCACGCGCCCACCATTGCTGCCATTCTGCGCCGCACAGCCCACTTCCTGCCCGCCCTCACGCACCTGCTGCTGCCACACGAGGGAAGGGGGGCGTGGGGTGAGGGGGAGAAGGGGGAGGAGGGGCGGCAAGCTGAGGACGAGGCGATTGCTGCTCGGGTGAACGTCATTCGCACGGGGCTGCGGCCATACGGTGGGTGCTGGACAGCGGGGTTAGGCTATCTGCAGTCCATGCCCCGCCTGTGATTCCGCGCGGTTGTTGCTCGTGTGTGCCCCATTCTGCTGGTGCGGAGCGTCACATGGACCGTCCCATTCATGACCCATCAACCTGCCCTTTTGTCCCTTCGTGCAGTGCCGGATGGAAGGCCTCTGATTGGCCCTGTGGATTCGCTCCCAGGGGTACTGTTTGCATTGGGCCATGAGGGGTCAGGCCTCTTAATGGTGAGTGCTGGGTGGGAATGCACCAATATTATCGTGTTTGTGCTCATTACTTGCTTCACTTGTTGCTCTCTAGCATTCTCCTCCCATTCACTCCGGCTCACTGTGTGCCATGTGCAGGCCCCAGGCACGGCTGACATGATCATGGCGTATCTGGGGCGAGGCAGCATGCCGGTGGATCCGCATCCCTTCCAGCCTCAGGGCCGCCTCCTCACCCTCCACCAGCTGCAGCACATGCGGCCTTGATGCTCTAGTCTTTCACGTGCCAGTGCTGTGTGTGCTGGCAGGGTGTGGTGGTGAGCCCGTTCGATATTAAAAGCAAGTGTCCACTTCCACTGCTAGCAGGACAATATGTCCCGTTGTTGGAATGACCAAACACCTGCAGAGTTATGAACAAGTTAGATGCCTATCTGTGCTACGGCTAAGTCCCACTACAGCGTGAGTGCGATGCGAGCTCAGTTCCGGGGGGAGGAACTGTCCACTGCTGCCGTGCAGTCAGCTTGCCAGCGGAGGTGGTGCGGAGGTCAGCGTCAGCGGAAGGCGGATGCGGGAGCGGCGCAGCTTCGTCCTCGTCGCGCGGCCACGTGGGAGCCTCGTTCAGCAGCGCGCGACGGGACTGAGCTGCCTCCCCGGCTCTCCTCGCTCAGGCGAGTGGCCACGGAGGAGGGCTTTCTCGGGGCTTGCTTCGATTTGGGGTGGCTTTTGTCGGAGCCCTTCCTTGGAGCTGCTTGGACCTGCAAGGAAGGAAAGCGCTGGTGTGAGAAGTCGATCCCATTCCAAGTGGACCTCCTCCGCCGGGCGACAGAGAGTTCCCGAGGCTCACCTGGTCGCCGTCGTCGTTGTGGAGCCACGAGATGTCGTCCAGGGGAGCTCGCCGAGCGACAGAGACGGCCGATTCAGCGTCACTGGTAGTGCTCGTTTCGCGCGCGTCGCTGCCGTCGTGCGTGAGATTGAGGCGCTGGACGAGCGCGAGGATGTCATCGATGACGCACGGCACCTCGGCGTCCAGGGTGCCGCTGCAGAAGGCGTCCACCAGACGCTCCTCGTAACTCGCCAGCTCCAGATTCTCCTTGTTCTCGTGTATACATGGTATGCTGCAACCCAAAGACGATAGCGTTTCGTTACGATAATATTATAACATGCAGAGAGCTTCATTAGGAATCCGAGTGCCAGGCTTACCTGTCGACTATGGGCGAGAGTATATCGCAATCTTCGACTGGACTGATCGTTTGCGAGATTGCGTAGGAGTTTTTCCGGTTAACTAAGAGATGTGGAGTAGAAGGCTGAACTGCCAAGATAGCCATAATTCCGATGACGGCGGGTCTCTGAGGCACAAAGTGGTAGCGTTGAGCAGGAGTTTCTGCAGGAGAGCAAGTGAGCTGCTGAGCCAAAACCAAGGAATGGTGGAGCAAATCGAGAGTTATGGCTTCTGAGTCCTGACGGCCGACGAGAGTTTTGCTGCGCTGTGGATGGGGCAGGAAGCAGCAAGGGTGATGGCGGGTTGACATCTCAGCACCGCTGGCCGTCAACTCGTCGCCCCCCCAACAACCTGCGAAAGGCTGCCGTTTCAATATTCGAGCGAAGCGCGTCGCCCTTGGGAGCTTCACGCGAAGCGGGATGGCGCCAGTGCAGCCGAGGCGGCTGGCGAATTTGGATGGTGAATTCTGACACTTGGCCAGGGCAGCCCAATCAGAGAGTTCCCAGTCTGCCAGAAGCCATTGCCGCGCTAAATCAAAACCTTACACCGAATCTTAGTAAATTACTTTAATTCTATGGCACATATGATGTATCACAACTAAACAAGACCAATTCTTATGCAATAGCAATGATTTACAAGGCCACTATGATTGGTCTGTTTCAGTAGATGATAGGTACTGTGCCTGCATGACTTGCGCCTCCAGCAACAATGCTTCCATCTGCAACCACAGCAAGAACAGCGAAACACGAGCAGACCATTCAAGACATGCCCCAAAACGCCTCCAAAAATATGGCACGGGACTTACTGATAACTGCAGCAATCAAGCAATCGCGAGCAAGAAGCGTACCCGCGTGAGTATTCTCTTCTGCTCCGTGACGGCTTGCTGGTTGCCGTGCAGTATGGCCTGCAGGTCGCTCATCTGGCTGTTGAGCCCCGCCACGGTGGCGTTCAGCCCCTCTGCCTCTGCCCTGCGCGCCTCCCTCTTCCTCTTCAGCTCCTCCAGCTGCGCCCTTACCTCCGCCTCTGTCACGCCGCCCTGCACCCTCTGCCCCCGCCCCCACAGTGACACCCCTGTGATGGCCCGAATGGCACTGGCAAAAGGGGACAGCCCCACTGACAGCTGCTCCTGCAGCCCTTGCAGTACTCCACTGCTGCTGCTGCTGCTCCCTTGTTGGCCCAGCTGCAGCCACCCCTCAACATCCACATTGTGCACAACTGTGCTCTCAAAGCTTGCCCTTGCAGCCTCTCCCGCTGTAAGTGCTGCAGCCGGTTGCACTATCACTGTTCCCCCAGCTGTTTCTAACAACGCTCCTTCCACTCCCATCACTTGCCTTGCCTCCTCCCATTCCTCTTCCATGACTGGCGGCTCTGCCACAGCAGCAACCACAGCCGACTCAGACGCGTCAGCAGGCAGTGGCTCCTTGTCCATCCCACCATCGCCAGCACCCAAGGCTGACCCCTCAACGGGGTCCAGTATAGAGGGCGGGGGGGAGGGCAGTGATGGGGGAGCAGAGGGCCGAGAGGTGGAGGCGGGGGGTGGTGCAGGCGGGGAGGCAGAGGGCAGCTTGCCTCGCAGCGAAGCCAGCTGCGCTGCTGCCTCCGCCAACGCCTCCCTGGCCGGCTCACGCCCTCCCAGCCAGCACCACAGCGGCACCGCAAACTGGGGGAGAGACGTGGTGAGGGGCTGCGCTGCTGCAGCAGGCAGTGACGACCCTCCCATGCCGCCTGCTGGCCCTGCACTGACCTCCACGCCCTCTGCCTCTGCTGCTGCCTCTCCCCCACTCTCGCTCGCCACTCCCATCACCAGCGCCCCACTGCTGTCCACTCGCAGAACCACTGTGCTCTCCACGCCCCCCACGCTCACACTCACGCTCACACTGTCATCCCCCACCACGCGCACCTCTGCCTGCTCCAACCCTCTATCCACCCCACCGCCCACACCACCCTCAGCCAGCAGAGCAGACGCCAGCGGGTGAGCCTCGGGGTCCAGGAGGGCGGAGGCAGAGGAAAGGGCGGGTGCAGGCACAGATGGGGGTGAGGTTACAGGGATGGTGGCTTGCACTTGTGCTGAAGAGGTGTCGGATGAGGCAGACGCAGCTTGCTCTGCTGCACCTGCACTGCTGCTGCTGCGGGGCATCTCCTGCACTCCTACAGTGCTCTTCTTCCCACTCCCCTCCTCGCTTCCACTCTCGCCCCCACTCTCTCTCCCCTCCTCCTCTCCCTGACTGCACAGAGCCAGCAGCAGGCTGACGTCAGCAATGGCCTGCGGGTCGAGGGTGATGTCAGTGATGATGCCAGTGTCTGTCACGGGCTCCGCCACGTCAGCGGTGGCAGTGGGCTTCACGCGCACCCCCGCCATCCGGCCATTCACCCCCATGCCCCCCACGCCCCCTCTTGGCCCCACCCTCGCCCGCTCCATGCCTCTCTCCACACCCTTGGCTGCCATCCCCAGCAGCCCCCACCTCACCCGCACTCCCGACACCCCTCCCCACCCGCCCTCTCCACCCTCCCTCGCGTTCCCTCGCTTCGCCCCTCTCCTCTCCCCGCCCTCCCCTCCCGGACTGCCCTTTGCCTTGCCATTCGCCCTCCGCCCATCACCCGGTGCTGCTGCTCCCTTGTCACCACCGCCCGCACCCCCTGCCCCTCGCTTCACCCACTGCAGCACCGCCTGTGCCAGAGCCCCTCCCACTGCTGCCCCTCCCCCCTCTGCTTTCCCAGGGTCCGCCTTCACCTGCCTCACACCTCCTGCAGCCTTTTGCTCTCCTCCCCGTGCTCCCACCTGCCCCCTCTGCTGCTGGGCTGCAACCACCTCTGCCACCACCGCTGCAGCTGCTGCCGGCACTGCTGCATCTGATGCACCTGCTACTGCTCTCCCCTTCGACGCTGCTGCTGCTGCTGCTGCTGCTGCTGCTGCTGCAGGCACTATCTGTGCAGCACGTGCGCTGGCAGCAGGGGAGGCGGCGGAGGAGGGCTGCACCGGCACAAGGAAGCGGGCCAGAGAGGCAGCAGCGGACCCCAGCACATAGGCGGCGGTCACCTTGGAGCGGTTGAGGTCGAACGGCAGCTCCACACCGCTGCTGCTGCCCCCGCTGCTCGCCACAGCACCCACCAGCTCGCGCTTCCTCGCATCCTTGCCCTCCCCCTTCTTCCTCCTCCCCTTCCCTGCTGCCTCCTCTGCCACCCCCCTGCCACTGCCCTTGCTCCCACCCCCCTCCCCTCCATCCCCTCTCTCCTTGCTCTTGCCCGAAGCCGCCTTATCCCTGCCTGACCCGCTCCTATCCTTACCCGACCCCTTGTCCTTCCCCGACCCCCCCTCCCTGCCAGATCCCCCCTCCTTGTCCGACCCAGAGCCCTTGCTCCCCTCCCTGCCCTCCGCCCCCCCACTGTACACACCAGCATGGGCCACCACAGCACCGGTAAACGCATCCCTGACCACACGCCTGCCCTCGCTCACCATGCCCTGCACGCCCCCCTCCCCCCGCCGCACTGCAGGCCCCTCCACCACCCCCTGCTCCCCCTTTCCCTCCTCCGCCCCCACCCCCTCCCCCAGCACCCGCCTCAGCGCCTCCAGCACCACCTCCGCCCCCTGCCCAGTTCCCCCTGATCCCCCTGCGCCCACCTGCCCCTGCGCCTCCCCCTTGCTTGCTGCCACCGCGCGCCCGGCCCCCTTCACCCCCTCCTCCCTCTCTGCCTTGCGCGCCCTCCTCTCGCCCTTCCCACTGCCACCCTGCCCTGCCACATGCTCCTTCCCCTTCACCTTCCCCTCACTGCCATTCCCCACGCCCCCCCCATTGCTCGCCGCCCACAACTGCTGCAGCGCAAACACCACCCCCTCCTCCGCCCTCTCCTCCCCTGACCCCTCCGCCCCCTTCCCCGCTTGCTTCTTCCCGCCTGCCTGCCTGCCCTCGCTCCCTGCATCCCCCGCACTCCCCACCACCCCTTTCGCCCCTGCAGCGCCCTGCACCCACCCCTTGGCCTTGCCACCCCACGCCATCACCAGCCCATCAACGCCCTCCCCCTCCCATCCCCCACCCCCAACACTCCCACCCTTCTCCCCCTCCTCCTTCCGCCCCTTGCTCTTCTCCCCCTTCTCCTTCCCCTTCTCCTTCTCCTTCTCTTTCCCCTTGCCCTTCCCCTCCACCCGCCCCGCCCCACGAGCCTTCTCCTGCGCGGCTCTAGCCTTGGCCTGCGCCATGGCGCCGCCCCCTCGCCCCAGCGTCGCGTACTGCGTGCCGGCAAGGGCGGCTTGCGTGGCGGCCGCCAGGCGAGACGCGCGGAAGGGCTCGGGCGCGCGCAGAGAGAAGAAGGCGTGGCGCAGGGCCTGGGCTGCTGACGGGCGCCCGCCAAAGGCTGGGGGGGGGGGGATGGAATGGGGGGATGGAATGGGGGGATGGAATGGGGGGATGGAATGGGGGGATGGAATGGGGGGATGGAATGGGGGGATGGAATGGGGGGATGGAATGGGGGGATGGAATGGGGGGATGGAATGGGGGGATGGAATGGGGGGATGGAATGGGGGGATGGAATGGGGGGATGGAATGGGGGGATGGAATGGGGGGATGGAATGGGGGGATGGAATGGGGGGATGGAATGGGGGGATGGAATGGGGGGATGGAATGGGGGATGGAATGGGGGGATGGAATGGGGGGATGGAATGGGGGGATGGAATGGGGGGATGGAATGGGGGGATGGAATGGGGGGATGGAATGGGGGGATGGAATGGGGGGATGGAATGGGGGGATGGAATGGGGGGATGGAATGGGGGGATGGAATGGGGGATGGAATGGGGGGGATGGAATGGGGGGATGGAATGGGGGGATGGAATGGGGGGACAAAGAGAGGAGAGAGTGGGGGTGGCATCACACACACGAGAGCAGACGCACATCCAACAGCACGGGCATTCACGAGGACCCGAATTGGACCTTCTAGAGCCTGCATCGCTATCGGTGCTTCCATTCCCCCTCCCCCCCCCCTGCCCCTACCGCTGGGCCACACCGCCCCCTCGTGGTTGGGGCGCTTCTGCAGCAGCTGCTGCGCCAACTCCCACGCTGCTCCGCCTACAGGGGTGAGGGGTGATGGTGGGGGGGAGACAAAGGGGAGGGTTGGGGTGGTAAGAGGACTGGGGAACGGAGAAGTGAAATGTGTAGGCAGCACAGGCGGACCGCAAGCATGAGGGGCATTCCTCTGACGGCCCACACACTCAAGTGGGCCGCAAGCGCCAGCATGGCAGCGCCACCCCCTACCGTTGGCGTCCAGCACGGCCATGTCCTCGTCACTGGGGCTGAACTTGAGGCGCCACTTGGCCAGGTCGTGGTCGCACCGCCGCAACTCGTCGTTGAAGTCCTTCTGGGGGGCGCAGGACGGGGCAGCACGAGTGGCACACGAACGAGCTCGCGTTGTGATGGGAGCAAGGCCGAGAGGCAAGAGCGAGCAACAGGTCCGCGATATAATTGGCAGTGTGGCACAACAAGAGCACTCAGATCGGTCCAGGCACACGAGGGGCGTGAGAGGGGCGTGAGAGGGGCGCACCAGAGCAGATGCTTTGCGCAGGCGCTTGACACACAGCTGCATCAGCACTATGCCCTGATAGGCGCGGGGGGGGGGGGCGATGGGGGACGAGAGAAGGAGGGGGGGATGGGAGAGGAAGCAAGCAATGAGGGGAATTCAAACTCGGAGAGGAGAGTGCGCGGATGTGAGAGGCACGTGGCTGAAAGGTGAGCAGGGGTTAGTAGAGGAGGGACGAGACAACGGGGAGAGGAGTGGGGGAATGAGTGCATATGGAAGCCGAGCTCACAGCGGAGTACACGTCGAAGCGGTCGGGGGTGTTGAGCGCCCAGAGGAAGGGCGAGAGCAGCGACGCCAGGGGGTCGGGCGGCAGGGGCGGCGTGGAGGAGGGCGGCATCACGAAGCGCTCGGGAGCGCAGTACTTGGGGTCCATCACTGTCTCGTTGGGCACCTGGGGGGGGTGGGGGGTGGGGGTTGAGAAGGGGGGGAAGGGGGTTGAGTGGGATGAGGAGGAGGCGCGATGTGCATGCATGGACAGTGGAGAGGCCCGCATGCCTCTCTCGAGACGGGTGCACGGCACCGGCATGGGTGGATGCAAGGAGGGATGCGGCTGGGTGGATGCAAGGAGGGATGCGGCTGGGTGGAACACGGTGCGGTGCGGCAACGCGACGAAGCAAGGCATCCACACGCAGTGTGCAGCGTGTCGGGGGGCAGAGAGGCGGGGACTGACGTAGTTGTGGCCGGAGCGCAGGTCGACGCACGCGCCCAGGTCGATGAGGCACAGGCTGCCCGCCAGCTCGTCCAGGATCAGGTTCGATGGCTTCACGTCGCGGTGCACCACGCCTGGGACGAAGGGGGGGCGGTGTGCAATGCGGCACGGTGAACGTGATGGCTGCGATGGTGGTGGCATTGGCACGCAGGGCAGGTGACAGCAGCAAATGCTGGTGGGCCAGGCCGCAGGGACGCAGTGGCGAACGACCGTGACAATGAGGCGTTGGTGAATCCCGGGGTGGGCTCACCGCAGGAGTGGAGCTGTTTGAGGTCGCCCAGTATCTGCCTCATCACCTCCTGCGCCACCTCCCATTCCAGCCACATCTGCTGCTCCCTCTCCTCCTCGCCGCTGCCCTTCATGCCGCGCAACAGCTGCGCGCAGGCAAGGAACACAGGCAACGCAAGCGCACAGGCAACGCAAGCGCGCGGGGCAGGGGCGGACAGACGTCAGGTCGAGCTACACACGGCGCCATGACCACCCAATAGCACACCACGCACGCATCGCTCCACGCTGCCTGCCGGCATGGCTCGTGCACCTTATCAGCTGGGCACCCCATCATTCCCCCCCCCCCCCTGAGCACTCACGGCGTCGTCGACCCCGAGCACGTGCTTGGCGAGGTTGAGCGGGTAGTGCTGGTGGCGCAGGAACACGTCCAGCGTGCGGTCGCCCTGGTACTCCCACACCAGCCACACGCCCTGCCACGGCCACGATGGGGAGACGACGGAGGTAGAGTGAGAGGAAGGATGCAAGGGAAGTGGCGGGGCGAGGTGGGAAAAGCAGCTGCAGGCATGTTGAAGAGGCAGCAGTGCGAGAGGAGCGCACTGTGCGAGTCCAGGTGCTTTGGGATGAGATGTGAGTTTGTTGTGAACACCCGTGGGATGACTCACGCCTCTGGTTGCCCCTACACAGCAACATTCACATATGCCTGCGTCTCTTGACCGCCACACAGCAACATTCACATATGCCTCCTCCACCTCTGCCTCACCTCCTCCAGCTTGCCGCTGGCCTGCTCCGCCGTCACCTGCATGCTGCCCACGAACCGCGCACACACGCCGGGCGCCGTGCGCTGGGGGGGTCGGGGTGGGGGGGAGGGGGGTGGAGAAATTGGGTGAAGGCGGAATGAGCAAGAGGGGAAAGGGGACGGGATGGAGAGGCAATGGGGGCGCAGCAGGCACGAAGCGGTGGACAACCCGTGCACTCCCCTGCAGGTGCCGGTGCACGAGAGGTCCCCTGCAGGCGGTGGTGCATGAGAGGTCCCCTGGTGCCCACCTGCAGGCGGTGGTTCATGAAGAGCTCGACGTCCCTCATCTCGTCCGAGTGCTTCACCCGCGCCTTCACCCGCTTCAGCACCACGTGCCTCTCCCACCGCCCCTCCCTGCCCGCCTTGCCTGCCACCCCCACACCACCCACACACCGCACACCGCACACCGCACACCGCACACCGCACACCGCACACGCCGCCGCCCAGCACAGGGCAGAGAGGCCACCGTTGAGAGAGTGCAATGAAGAACAGCTCACCGCACAAGAGAGGGGCACACGGAGATCGGGGGTGAGGAGAAGCGAGGGGGGCCGAGGACGTACCGTTGGAGATGAAGCCCTCGTACACCACGCCGAAGCTGCCCTCGCCTATCTGCCGCCCCACCTTCACGCGCCCAGGGTCCAGCTCCCTGCCGCGCGGAGCAGAAGGGAGGGGAAAGACAGACCGCAGCCAAGTGAGGGGTTACCGCTGCACGCAGCAGCTAGGGCGGTGGGGCACGGCCCTAGCCAGCACTGACAGCAGAGCACGGGCAACAGCGCGATCCCACAGCAGCGGGAAAGAATGCGCGAGGGAGAGGGAGGGAGGGCGGAGAGCGCAATACTTTTCGGCGCGGGCGTGCAGCGGCGCGACGAGGAAGTCGAGCAGCCCCATGAGCGGCGCGGGGGGCGCGGCGGCGTACAGCACGAGCAGCACCAGCGCCACCGTCCACTGGCGCAGCGACGCCTGCGAGGATAAATGGGCGGGGGGGGGAGGTGGTGATGATGGGGGGAGGATGGGTGGCGAAAGTGAGAACGAACTAGAGGACTGGGGTTACAGCTGGGACGGGGAGGGAGAAGCAATGGGGGAAGGGGAAGCAGAAGTGGATGTGGGGAGGCGACGAGGGAGTCAAGGAGCGAGGAGAGCCGACGGATGGCAAGCAGGAGGCGTGGCGTCGAGTGCACGGCGGCATGGCAGCGAGGCGGAGCGCCGTGGCCGACTGACCGGGTCGTCGAGCGGGATGGCGAGGCCCGCCTCAGCAGCGAGCTGCGCGATCTCGCGGTGCACCGCCACCACCGCCTGCTCCACCTCGGGGGGCAGCCTGTCAGGGCGAGAGAGGAATGACGGGAGATCGGGTGGCGCGGCAGGGAGCAATGAGAAACGGCGTGAAAGGCGTGGCGCAGTGCAAGCCGTGGAAGTGCTTTGCCGGAGTCGGATAAATGCGTTGCCTGAGAGCAGCATGCGTCCACACCGCACGCCGTAAGTGGACGCGCAGACGCCATTTCGAAAACGAAAGGCTCCGAATCGAATGCCGAACCATTCTATCGACACATTTTCAGCGTCGCCGAATGGTCGCGCCGAATGGTCGCGCCGCCGCTTGCGATTCCAGCTTCCATGGCATCATTCCCGCCCACACCCCTCTGATACATACGTCCATCTCTATGCTAAGGCTGCCGCCCATTGCGTCCGCTTAGTATTACGCCTCCCCTCCGATCCCCACCTCCCACTAAAACAAATTACTCCACGTTCCAGTACGAGCATCCACGTCACACTATAGTCGCACACTGCAGTCGCACACTACAGTCGCACGCTACAGTCGCACAGTCGCACGCTATTGTCGCAGGCGGGACACTGATTCGTCCCCAGCAACCTATGGGCCCTCCGCGGGAGCTCACCCGTTGAGCAGCGCCTCCGCCATGTGCCCGTACGCCTCGCCCGCCACCCCCAACGCCTCCCCGCCTCCGCCCTCCGCGCCCCCCACAGCCGACACCGCTGCCAACCGCCGCCGATCGCGGCGCACCATGGGCCGTATGCATGGCGCTATGCATGGAGCTATGAGCTTCCTACCGGAAAAGACGGAGGCGACGGACGACGCGGCGGATGGGAGCGGTGAATGGGTGGGAGAGAAGGGCCTGGCTGGGGAGAGGCGAGACGACGCTAGGCGGATCAACGTCGAGGAGAGAGAGGCGACCGATCCGTACGACGACGACGAGTGAAGCAACGCGCTGGACGACGCCACGCACGCGTCAATGGCCGCGGCTCGCACGCTCGATGCAACTAAAGCCATTCTAGCATCACTTCAGGCTGGTGAGCCAACAACTCCCTAATGTCTTAGCGGCTAATGACCTTGACAAGTAGCCAGGGGTATGGAGATTGTCTGTCAGGCAATGGACGGAGGAGACCTCGAGGCTGCGGTGCGACGTCCAGCGAAACAAACATCCATCCCTCCGACCGTTGGCGAATTTTAGGGTTGGGTGGGTCTCACAGCCCCATCCACGAGCGACTCATCGTCTGCATCCGTGCGAGCGCATGTCATGGGCTGTGATTGGCTGGAAATGCAGGAAAGGGAAAAGCAACATCGCGGCTCAAAAGTCATCCAAATTCATCAGCTGGCTCGGCGTGGTGATTGGGCTGCCCGCTGCTGAGCTGGCGGCTGAATCCCCCGTCGCTGGAGATTCGGGTGTGTATCGCCAGCTGCACCGTCCAAACCTGCCCATCTGCCCTGCCCAGCTTTGCGGCTTGGTTCAGAATAATGTACACGTTACAAGTCTTCTGAACTCCTCTTTATATAAACTTCCCACAGGAAACAAGGCTTCTTAGAGTTGAGAGCAACTGGGATTCGCAAATGGGTGTTGCAAGGAGACCGTCTACACGGCAGTCGCTCAACCTGATGTGTCAAGAGGGAGGAGACAAAGCACAAACCAAAATGGTGCATGTGTATCATTTGCAATGCTTTATCAACCAACATAACAAGAGGCTTGTCGGCAAGGGTTGATGGATAATGTTTCATACCGTGGTGGCAGGTCGTTGGTGAGGACATCTGTGACCATCCCCAGCACTGGCACTGGCGCCCCACAAACACTGCTGGCGCCTTCGTCCCCTGCAGCACCACCCACCCCAACGCTGCTGCCACTGCTGCTTTTTGGCATCTCTGCAACTCCCTTTGGTGCCCCTGCGCCTTCCCCGCTCCCTCCTGCTGCTGCTGGTGCACCTAGAGCTGCTGCGGCCTCCATCTCTCGCACTCGCTGCACAAACTGTGTACTGCTCTTGCACATACGGTAGCACCAATCCCAAGCACACATACACATGGGTTAGAATCACACGAGAATGAACAATAAGGCACACAGCACAGTGGCGCAACAATGAAGTGCTATATGGACAAGAAACATGGCGAGAAAGCGATGCACACAAGGCACCCTGATTGTGACATACGGAGGGAGGTCCGGCAGGTAGAGGCTGAGCAGCACGAGGTGGAAGTCGTGGGGCGGGGCCAGGCGGCTGAGGGCGTCTGCTGGTGACGCCACGGCGCACGCTGCATCCGCGAACTGCGAGAGCGCCACCGCTGCCGCCTTGCGCGTTTGGAAGCACGGGTCCACCACCTGGCGGGGGGGAGGAGAAGGGGAAGAGTGGGGGGGGGAGGGGTTTCAGCAGAGTGAAAGGCCGTTGGCATGTGGACAAATGGCGCATGGCGCCCTATGTGTGTGTGATAGAAACGATTGTGAGGAGCAGCCTTGGCAGCCCTACCCTGAGCACTCACCAGCACGACTTTGCCTCGCAGCAGTCGCCTGAGGTGCACCTGCTGCTGCTGCACTGCTGCCTGCTGCACCTCCCTCGCACTCACGCCCAGGGCCTGACGGGGTGGGGGGGAGGAGTGAGAGGAGTGAAGGCAAGGGATGCAGACAAGCACCATATAAACCCCCAGGTTGGGAAAACCCGCAGGGGAATGCAAACCAACACCCCTTAGCATGCACACCTGCAGCATGGCTGTAGCGAGCACACACCTGCAGCATGGCTGTAGCGAGCACACACCTGCAGCATGGCTGTAGCGAGCAGACAACTGCAGCATGGCTGCAGCGAGCAGACAACTGCAGCATGGCTGTAGCGAGCACACACCTGCAGCATGGCTGTAGCGAGCACACACCTGCAGCATGGCTGTAGCGAGCACACACCTGCAGCAGGGCTGTAGCGAGCACACACCTGCAGCATGGCTGTAGCGAGCACACACCTGCAGCAGGGCTGTAGCGAGCACACAAAAGCAGCATGGCTGTAGCGAGCACACACCTGCAGCATGGCTGTAGCGAGCACACACCTGCAGCATGGCTGTAGCGAGCAGACAACTGCAGCATGGCTGCAGCGAGCACACACCTGCAGCAGGGCTGTAGCGAGCACACACCTGCAGCATGGCTGTAGCGAGCACACACCTGCAGCAGGGCTGTAGCGAGCACACAAAAGCAGCATGGCTGTAGCGAGCACACACCTGCAGCATGGCTGTAGCGAGCACACACCTGCAGCATGGCTGTAGCGAGCAGACAACTGCAGCATGGCTGCAGCGAGCACACACCTGCAGCAGGGCTGTAGCGAGCACACACCTGCAGCATGGCTGTAGCGAGCACACACCTGCAGCATGGCTGTAGCGAGGGTTGGTGTTCGCAGTGGCTTGAGGGCGATGCAGGAGAAACCATGCGCTGCTGCTGCCACCGCCATGTCCTCACTTGTTGCCTGCGCACCCAAGGTGCACGCACACACACGCACACACATCCACACAAAAGCATGTACACACGTGCATACACACATGTGTGCATGGACACACGTGACAAACACACATGAGCAAATACGCTGCACCACTGAGCATGTGCGCCTCACAGCACCCCCACCCCCCATGCGTCCGACCTGAGCTACGAGCACCAGCTTGGATGAGATGGCAGCCGACCCAGGCGCCTCCTGCCACTGCTGCTGCTGTGCTTGCTGCTCCACCTGCTGCCGTGCTGCTGTCTCCTGCTGCTGCGAGTGAACCCTGCTCTCCTCATAGCGCCCCCCCAACAAGCCCCACTCACTCCGCCCCTCCATCCCCTCACGCCCTTCCGTCATGCCCCCCCCATGGCCACTGCACGCCACCTGCGCACCTTCCCTCTCCTCCATCCCCTCCCTCCCATCTCCCTCCATCGCTCCACATCCCTCCCTCCCACTGCCCCGCTGCTCTCCCCCCTCCCCCAGCCCCCCTCTCCCCTCATCCTCCTCCCCCATGCCTTCGTCTGCCAGTGCGGTGAAGCCTCCGCCTCCCACCCTCTCTGCCCCTGCCCCTCCTGATGCTGCTGTCGCCCGCCCTGGCTCCCCGTCTCCTGCAGAAACGACTGTGGCTGAAGCAGCCGGGGCAGCAGCAGAGGCGCTGCAGGGAGCATGGGCGGCACGGGCGGCTTGCTCGGCATTTTGAGCGGAGACATTATGGGCGGCATGGGCGGCATTGATGCGGGCCACATGGGAGCCAAGCAGGAGGCCGGAGCCCGGGGTGCCGTCACAATCCGCATCCACCACCACCACATCCCACCTGCTCCGACCGTTGCCCACCCCTCCCTGCCACGCCACTGCTGCTGCACGCAGAGAGGAGAGGAGTGGACGGACAAGGGATAAAAAAGGGGTGCTTCTGGGAAAGGGGCGGAGAGGGGGGGAGGAGGATAAGACGGAGGAGGCAAAGAGATTGATGGCGGATGACGGTGCGTAGCATATGGCGAGGGTGTGAGGGAGGGAGCTGACCCGGGTGCACAGCGGGCGGGGCGCACTGGAGGGCGGCGATGGCGTCAGGCACACTGTCGGAGAGGTCCACGTCGACACCCAGGCGCGACACAAACGACGCTGTCACCTGCCACACATGGGGGGAGAGGGGGGGAGTGGGGGAGGGGAAGAGAGGCAGAGTGGGTAGGTTGTGGCGCGTCAGCGGGGTGATCCGTTGCAGCGGTGGCAAGGACCAGCGTGCATGCAGCAGGCAGCGCAGCACGCAGCACTCACCTGCTGGCGGATGGGGTTGCCGTCCACCACGAGGCAGCGCACCCCCCGCAGCTGCTCCACCAGCGCCCACACCGCCTCCCACTGCTCGCCCCCCACCGCCCCCACCACGCCCATCTCCCTCACCGCCCTCCTCTCCGCCGCCCCCACCTCCCTCACTCCCACCTCCCCCATCCACCCGCCCCTGCCTCTGCCCTCGCCACCGCCTCCCCCTCCATTCCCCTCGCGCCCCTCTCCCCTCGCGTCCCCCTCCCATGCACCCTCCCCTGCTGCAACAGAGCCCAGTGCCCTTTCCCCCACGCCCTGCCCCGCGCCCCCCCCCAGCCCCATGGCCTCCCAGAGGCCCCCCTCCGCCCCCACGCTCCCCCACAGCCCCACCAGCGCCGCCAGCCCGCCCTCGCTGCTGCTACTCGCGCCCGCACGGGGGAACGGGGGGGCGGAGGCGGGCAGGCAGGCGGGGGGGAGAGGCGCATGGGGGGGAGAGCGGGATGATGGCGCGGAGGTGGGGAGGGCGGGCGAGGAGGAGGGGATGGGGGCGAGTGGGGGCAGCGCCATGGGGATAGCGAAGGAGACAGTGGTGCCGATGGCAGGCGCTGTTGCGATGCTGAGAGACCCCCCGAGAGTAGACGCCAGGCTGGGGGGTGGCATGGCAAGGCAGGTATGGGGAGCAGGGGAAGAAGAGCGGACAAGTGGACCTGGGTGCCGGGCCAAAAGGGAGCCATGCGGGAAAACAGGGGGAGGTGTTCAGGGAAAAGTAGGTGGGAATATGGCGAGAGTTGTGCGCTCTTGTGCGCGGCAGCACTCACAGCTGCGCATGTGCGAGCAACAGGGGCGTGGCCGCATGGAGCGACAGCAGCGCGTGTGGCAGAGGAGCGGCGTGGCCGGCATGAGGTGGCATGGCGTTGAGTGTGTCCAGCACTGGCTGCGGCACGCCCGACCCCGTGTCCTCCACCACCACCTCCACCCACACCTCGCCGCCCCCACTGCCACTGCCAGCACCACCACTGGCAGCAGCAGCAGAGGTAGCAAGGGTGATGGCAGCGGCGAATCGCCCCTCCTGTGTTTCCAGCAGCCCTCTCAGCGCGCCCCAGCTGCACCGCCCGTCCACCACCCGCTGCCCACTCAAACTCCCTCCTCTCCCCCTCTCCTCACCCTCCTGCTCCTGCTGCTCCTGCTGCTGCTGCTGCTGGCGATGGTCAGTAGAATCGCCCTGCGCCAGGCCCCCCTGCTGCAGCCAGCTGTCAACGGACAGAGACGCGAGCACGGCAGAGCGGGTGCTCGGCTGCTCCTGCAACGCCTGCTCGCTCCAGGGAGCAGCATAGGCTGCTAGGCGCCGAGCAATGCCGCCCAGGCCGAGGAGGTCGGGACTGGAGAAGAGGGAGGAGGGCGAGGAGGGCACGGAGAAGGCGGAGGGGAATGGGGCGGTGGGGGCCGTGGTGGGTGCTGTGCCGGGGGACGGGGAGAGGGGGTGCCGGTGCATGGGTTGTGGGAGGGGCATGCGCGAGGGGGGCAGGTGGAGAGCGTTCACGCCGTCTTGATTACCCACGTTCACAATCCCTGTCACCACTCTGTGCTTCTGCTGCGCGCCCCTGTGCTGGCGCTGCTGGTGCAGTTTGACCTCGGTGGGGTGCAGCAGGCGCATGCAGAGGAGCACGTGGCCCTGCTCCGTGTGCTGCACGGCTGATGACGCCACGCACAGCAGCAGCTGCCAGGGGAGAGCGGGGGGGGACAGGCAAGTGGGCCATGACCAAGGGCGGACACACGGAACAGGGGAGCTGCGGCATGAGCACAGCGTAGAGGAGAGTGAGCACAGGAGGACGAGAGAGGGAGCGCAGACCTGTTTGAGTCGGAGGGCGTCGGAGCGCAGCAGCGACGGCACGTCCTCCATCACAAGGCACGCCACCTCCACGCCCTTCTCGCGCGCCTCGCCGCCCACCGCCGCCACCACCTCGTCCACCACCATGCGCACATCCACCGCAGACGTCAGCACCGGCAGTGGGCCATTCTGTGCGCGCCACGTGTCGCTGGCAGCAGCGGCGAGGCGGGTGAGATGCGCGGCGAAGGCGTGGAGCGTGTGGATGAGGTCGAGGTGCATGGGGTCGGACACGGACGACGCCAGCAGCCGCAGCATGCCCACCACGCCTGCTGGCGGGCGCGGGGATGGCAGGCGCACAGGGATGGCAGGCGCACAGGGATGGCAGAAGCACATGCACGGGCGGGGAGGGAACGCATCAAGGGAAAACATGGGGGCCACATGGGAGGGGCGAGGGGTGGATTTCTCGCGGATTTAGGGGCTGGGGAAGGATGAGAGGCAGTGAGAGCGGGAGTTGGGCGCACCTCTCATGGGCGCCGCTATCTCGTGGATCAGCACGCCTGCAGCTGCGCTCGCAGCAATTGCCCCACCGCCCGACACCACCGCCTCGCTATCCTCTGCCGCCATCCGCGCCTCTCCCCTGGCACCCTCCCCCTCCACCTGTCTAGCTTCTATCCCCATCCTCTCTTTCTTCTCCTCTGCTTTCTCCTCCTCCTCCCCCCCGCTCCCCCCCGTCAGCGCATCTCCCTCACCGCCTTCCCCCGCCTGTTGCCCACACACCCCGCGCAATCGTCTCTCCAGATCGTTCACTCGCGCCGCCTGCGCGGACAGCGCGCGGAGCAGCAGCAGCGAGAACCCCAGCACGGCCAGCGCCGCTACAGGGGGGCTCCACGGCCGGTGCAGCACCTGGTGGGTCGCGTGGGTAGCCCAGTCGCACCTTTCGCCTCGCGAGTCGCCGGCGACGCACGCTGCGACGGGCTGCGACGAGGGCGACGCAGGTCCCAGACGCATGACGTTGAAAGCGAGGAGGAGCGCGACGCCATAGCCGCAGAATACGACGATGCTCGCTAGGGGATTGAGGTCGTGACCGCCATGTTGTCGCGACGAGCGGCGCGACGAGCGGTGCGATGGGTCTCCGCTCTGGTGCTCGCCGAGCCTCACTGCGCGAGGCACGAGGGGCCGTCGCTCTGACGCGTCCATCTACCGCCGCTCAGCATATGCGGGTACGAGCTGAACGACTCGGTCAGATACTAGGTGCTCTATCGTCCATCTACAGTACATCGAATAGACTGCGACGAATGATGTGTGCTCTATGAGAATGGTAGCTGTTGTAGGAAGAAAGGCAGTAAGTAGGCGGTCCAGGAGAAGGCTATGGGAAAGAACAGTGATGGTATGCTCTCTTGGGAGGGACAATATCTGGGAGCACAAGAACCCCGAGGTGACTGATGGCATGGGCGATGGGACAAGGCCAGCCCAGCAATTCCCAAGGCTGCGTTGCGTAGTGGGCTGCTGCAAGCAATGTGAAAGGCGAGAGGAGCTCGAACAGATTTTGAAGGGGCCCCGAGGGCGGGAAATATGCTGATTGGTAGCTGCGAATGTCGCAGAGTTTGTTAGTTACCTTTCTTTGGCGAATTTTGGATTCCAAAACCACTTCGCAAAGCGAATTGCTGGCTTTCCAAAATCTTGTGCCGGGAAACCTAAAATGGTAATTCACGGCAGTCATTACAGATCAAGCAGCTGTGAAGGTATTTAGGTCTTGTCGTTTCCGCTAAGCTCGAATCGAACTTAGGTTGCTATGCGCCTGTTATAGCGAGAATCGCATCGAGACATTGCGCATTTAAAGTCGGCGCGGCGAATAAGGTCGAATTATGGCCTCCGCCGCCTCTATCGCCGTCACCACCGCCGACCCACACAGCGCTGAAAGCATCAGCGCGGGCAGCGGGATCGAGGCCGCGACGAAGGGCGGCACGGGCGAGGGCGAGGGCGCGGTCTCGTACCACGCGTTTCGGTCGGAGGAGGCGGATCTGGCGGCGGTGATGCGCGCGGTGCAGGCGGAGCTGTCGGAGCCGTACTCCGTGTTCACGTACCGCTACTTCCTCCACCACTGGCCCGCCCTCACCTTCCTCGCGCGCGCCCCGCGCTCCGCCAACCAAGGCACCGCGGAGGCAACAGAGGGGGACGACGCGGAGGGGCGGTGCGTGGGCGCGGTGGTGTGCAAGATGGAGGCGGAGCGCGCGGTGGCGCGGGGGTACATCGCGATGCTCGTGGTGGCCAAGGAGTGGCGCGGGCGCGGCGTGGCGACGAGCCTCGTGACGCGCTGCATCGAGGCGATGAAGGCCGCGGGGTGCGCCGAGGTGGTGCTCGAAGCCGAGGTCACCAATGAGGGCGCGCTCGCGCTGTACGGGAATCTAGGGTTCATCCGCGCCAAGCTGCTGCACCGGTACTACCTGAACGGCTCAGATGCGTTTAGATTGAAGCTGCTGCTGCCGTCGGCAGGGGACGCGGCGGAGGAGGAGGAGGAGGAGGCGCTGGCCGCTGCCATGGGCGTGGGGGCTGGCGGGCTGGCTGCTGGCATGCAGCGCGGGTGCTGCGGGCACGACCACGGACATGGGCATGGCGATCATGGGCATGGGCATGGGCATAGTCACAGCCACGGGCATAGCCATGGGCATGGTCATTCGCATGGGCACAAGCACAGCCATGCACATGCACATAGTCACAAAGAGGAAGGGTGCTGCAGCGGCCACTCCCACTCCCACTCCCACACGCATGATCATGCCGATGCACACACGCATGACCATGCATGTGCACACGACCATGCACACACGGAGCAGCAGCCTCAGGCGCCAAGTACCCCAGAGCCCCATGCGCATGCGCACAGCGACCCCGCTGAGCCCACCAGCAGTGCCAGCAGCGCGGGCACGGAAGGGCGCAAGGCAGGGTCCAAGGGGTCCACAAGCAGACGCAAGGGCAAGGGCGGCAAGGGGAGATGATGGTGGGTGCGTGCAGTGAGGCATGGAGGAAGCAGTGTGTGGGCAGAGAGAAGAATCTTCACTTGCGCTGTAAGCGCATGATGGTGCATGATGTGGTTTGTGTACCTGTGAGGCCTGCTCAGTGCCCTGTACGTTGCACGTTGACGGTGCTGTGGTCTGTTTCGTCCACAAGCAGCTCTCGCCGGTAGTCCAACATTGGCTTGACTTGCTTGCTGTACGACAGAGTTTGATTGCACAGAGTCCTGTGAGCGAAACATCAACTGTGTATTTCCCTGCGCACTGGTGACCTGTGTTGGCACTGCTGCTTATTAAGCTGAGCATGTCAACCATTCCACCCACCTCATCTAAACGAATTATGCATGTCTCGTTCAACACATGGATGACAATGCTGAATAATAATTCATTGGCTCTGTACAGCATACAATACAATCAATAACCAGTGGACAACCTGTACACGAACCCTACATCTATGCTCGCAGCTATTCACAAAGCACACAAAACACAGCACACAAGCACAAGCAACACAAGGCAAACAAGGGAACCCATGATCTACACAAATGCACTATGGGATGGGATAGGTTAGGAGCCACCGCTATTTTGTACAAGGCCGGCAGGCAGCCCTCTCAGTTCACCCGCGCCTGTCGAGCTGTCTCTCAGCGGTGAGCACGCAACTGTCGCGCTGCAGCTCGCCCCCGAACACCTCCTCGTCCACCACCACCGCCAGCTTACCCACCGCTCCTCCCGCCGGCAGCGCTGCCTCCTGCTGCCCCCCCATGCTCTCCACTGCAATGCCTGGCAGGGGGGTGGTGAGTGCGCCCGGCACAGCAGAGGCGGAGGCAGGGAGGGGCTGGAGCGTGGGGATGGAGCAGGCAAGGTCAGGCGCGATGCCCACCTGGTCGATGTCGTGCAGCGCGGGCGACAAGTACTTGGCCACCGTCACAAACAGCGCCGACCCGTCCGTGAGCTCAAACACCGTCTGGATGCGCCCCTTGCCGTATGTCGTGTCGCCCACCAGCATCGCGCGCCCGTTGTCGTGCAGCGCGCCCGCCACGATCTCACTCGCGCTCGCACTGCCATGGTTGACGAGCACGGCCAGCGGGCGGTCTGTGAGCGCGCGGCTGTTGCGCAGCGCAATGGCCTCGACGGCGCCACTGCGGTCGACGGTGTTGACGAGCGTGGCGCCCGTGCCCAGCCACATGCGCGCCACCTCCAGTCCCGATCGCACGAGCCCGCCGGGGTTGTTGCGCAGATCCAAAATGTAGTTCGCCACGCCCTGCCCCTCCAGCCGCTCTATGGCGCGCTCCATGTCGTCCGCCGCGTTCTGATCCGTGGGTGGTGGGGGCCGTGGGAGGTGGGACAGGATGTGAGGAAACGCGAGAGGGAAATGGAGGGAGGAGGGCAGGGGAAGGGGGCATTCCGGCACTGCGGATCGTGCACTGAATGCGAATCCCCACGGCACACCGTGGCGAGGGCGGGGCACGGTACCTGGGAGAAGGACGCGAGGCGGATGTACCCCGTGGTGCTGGCGACGCCCTGGTCCGTCTGGTGCGGCAGCACCGTGGCGTACACCGGCGACATCACGATGGGCTCCCTCCGTAGTACGATGTCCGTCGTGTCCCTTAGCAAATCAGCACCGTCCACGTCAGCGCTCTGCAGCACAAGCAACAGGAGTCAGTGCTTGCGTGCAGATAGGCGGACAGCAGCAGATAGCAGCAGTGAGAGGATTGAGGTTGATTATAAAGGGGATGGAGGTTGCCTTACAGCAGGGCGCACGGTGAGCGTGACTGCTGTGCCCGCTTTGCCTCGCAGCAGGTTCGCCGCCTCCTGCCCGCTCATGCCCGTGAGAGGGGAGTCTGCCAGCCCACGGTCAGCAGGGGAGAGGAAGGGAGGGGGTGGAACTCGCGACTTGCTAGAAGCGTGGAGCGGCACGGGCGCGACGCAAAGGAGATCAGGGAAGAGCGACAAGGAGTGATCGGCGGGGGAGGAGGGGCGGGGAGCGGGGGGGGAGTGGGGAGTGGGGAGGGGCGAGGGGAGGCGGTACGTACGGTCGACGGCGACGACCTCGTCGCCCGAGTGGATGCCCGCCCGGTCCGCGGGGCCACCCTCGATGGGCGACAGCACCAGCTGGGGAGGGAAAGGAAGAGGGGAGTATGGTGGCGGGGATACGTGAGCGCGAAGCACGAGGGAAGCGCAGCGAGGGAACGTGGGAGACGCGGAGGCGTTGCAAGGGGAAAACGTGCCCGAGGCGAGCAGCAGCCGCCGTGGGTGGGAGTATGCGCGCACCAGGCGGCCGTCTTGGGTGTCGGAGGCGAGCAGCAGCCCCACGCCGTCGAGGCTGCCGTCGCTGCTCACGCGGAAGCTGTCGTAGTCGCCGGGCGACACCAGGCGAGTGAACGGGTCGCCCAGCGACGCCAGCATGTCGTCGACCAGCGCGTACGCCTCGTCCGCGCTCTCCGCCGTCAGGCTTCCGCCGATGGCGGCGGCGAGGCGGTCCTCCCAGTCCTGGTGGTTGAAGGTGGGGTCCACGAACGCCTCGCGCACGATCCCCCACGACTCCACCATCGTGCGCTGCGCCGCCGCCACCTGCGCGCAGGGGCGCATCACGGAGCATTGGAGGTGGGGGGGTGGGGGGGAAGAGGCACGTGGTGAGAGATGGCGCGACAGGGAGGAGACTACCGGAAGACTGCGGAAGCGGAAACGGAGAGGGGAGCGTGGTGAGACGGGCCTGATGGATGGCGATGCAAGGTGCGGTTCATCATCATGAGAGGTCTGGTCCATGGTGGATTAGCAGTTACCCGCGGTTCGCACGTACCCCGGTGACGAGCGGTCGCGGTAGGATGAGAGTGAGGACGCCGTCCTCTTGCACCTCGCCCACCGCCGCGCCGCTCATCTCCAACTCCTCCGCCGCGCCGCTTACTACGGTCTCCGCGCCTGACGGCGCGGGGATCCCCATTAGCAGCACCGCCGCAGTCGCTGCTCCGACAACGGCTCCCGCTGCCGCCTTCCGCAGCCATTGCGCAGCTCCAGCGAGCTTGCCGTGAGCGCCCTGCGCTGATGAATTCGCTGCCGCTGTTCGTTGCGGTGTCGCTTGATGCGATGGTGACGAATCGGCTGCTGATGGGCCCTGCGATGCGACCGCGAGTCCATGCCGACGAGACGGGCGCGATTGCACGCGACGACCCAAGGTAGCGGTCGGCTGCTTTGACTCGAGATGGAGGGATTTGGTAGAGAGAGAGTTGGAAAGGTTGTTGTGGGCTCGAGCAGTGGGAAAACCAGCTGAGTGCACGGAGGATTGCAGCGCTCTGACCGCCATTGCGTCGACCACGGGATAAGAACGGCTTGCGCAGATGACAGGGGGCCGAAGTTCCTAAGGAGGAGAACCTGATGGGCTTGAATTGATCTCACAGCACTAGCTAGCAATGAAGACAGGGAATGACAGCTTCCGAGGAGGAACGAGTCATTGCTTGCTGATATGATTTGGAGGTGACACGAGGCGCGATGATTGAAAATAGAAGGAAACTGATTCGGGGGCAAGGGGGAGATGCGGAAGATGTTGATGGGGGGAATTCGAAGGGAATGGTGGGCGGGGGGGGAGAGAGAGAGGCGCGGAGGGAAGCGCAGATGCGGAATCGCGTGATGTGATTGGATGAGAGGTCTCGTCACCAACGCAGCTGCACACCACAACCTTCCGCGACCAGCCCCGTGCGCGGAGGAGGCAAGGGAGTTTTCTGGGAATTGGGGGGAACGAAGCTGACTGGCAGTTGAATGCTGGCACGCGTGTGACCGAGCTGGAAACAGAACACACAACGTAGGCACCACGTCTTAAAGGAGGGCAACGTCACTGCCAGACGTCGATCATCGGCGTTCGCTGTGTTCCTCGTCGATCGAATCTGGCACGCGGGCCAAGCAAAACCATTTGTGCTGCCGCTGGAGCTGGGTCAACACCAATAAAACGCGAGAGAAAACACTATGTGGACCAATAGTGGGTTTCCAGGACTGTTTATTGGTTCATTTCCTCACGTGTCTTGGCGTTGACACAAAAGCCTCGCCAAAAGAATCACTGGAAGTGTACTGAGTGATCCAGAACGAAACTAGTGACCCGCCAGTTTATTTTCTGCGTGGATTGTAAAAGCATAAAGAGATTCCTTAAAAACCCGATGGCAAAATAGCTGAGGGATTATCTATCATGTTGGGACCCCTCTTGATCAGGGCCTGACTCATAGACATGGCATGAAACGCAATGATACAACATGCCCAACAAACATACTCGGAAGTGCAATTCCCCGATTTTAGCTTCTCATGTGAGCACGATATGCAATGGCATGCAGCATTGAGCCTAGCTGGCACAAGACGAACTAGAAACAAAACTTTGCAGATCACATCATGGAGGACATATTTTGAACATGTGGGTGGAGATTACTATAACACTGTCTGCAGAGGCTACTCCGAGAACCCTTTCACATGTTTTAGGTCCTCAGTGCGCTGAGGCCTCGCAGCGCTTGTTGTAAGATGCTTCATCAAGCAAGTCCTCAAGTTCTGAAGGGTTGGCAATCTTCACCTTCATGATCCAGCCATCAGAGAAGGGAGCGGAATTCACCTGGTGCGATAGAAAATACAAGGCAACAGGGAGGAATTGTGGAAGAGCTCAGCTGATGGTGGAGATTTATGTATGAATCGTCAGAAATCAGCAGGATAAGAATTGCGGAAGGTGACTCCTAGTGGATACAGTACTGCAGGCCTCACCAGGGCAGGGTTGCTGCTGAGCTCCGCGTTCGTCTCGACGACCTCTCCGGTAATGGGCGAGTACACGTCACTGGCGGCCTTCACGCTCTCCACCACGCCGAACGTTTGGCCTTTCGTGACTTGCGAGCCCGCATCTGGCATGTCCACGAAGACCAGCTCGCCCAGCTCATTCTGCCAGATGGATAACAATCTGAGCTTAGGTCGTTCAATCTTATCCACTGCGGAAGGAGAATGTTGGGTCACTCACTTGGGCGAAATCTGAGATGCCGACTGTTCCGACCTCGCCGTTTACTTCAACCCATTCATGTGATTTCAAGTACTTCCGGTTCTCCGGAGCTGCAGAAAAATGCATTCCTCGTTAGACGTCTTCGTGTTGATGCCGTTATTGTTATAAACTACGCAATGAGATGCAAACTCACCGGAAGCGAAGGATCGCCAGAACGGCACGATGAGGCTGTCTGTCGCTGGAAGGCAACGGACCCTCAAGGATGTGGCGGCCTGGGACGCGAACACTCTGCACAGCAAAAACCGCGCTCTCTGTCACGACCCTGAACAAGCCGCGAGATTGAAAAAAACTACGGCTAACTCACTGACCTGAGAGCCATGGCGGCGACGTGTTCTCGTCTGGTCGTCACTAAAGGTTGCTCTGTCGAAATTGCGTTGCGGACAAGTCTGTTGAATTGGGTTTGGAAGGCCAAACAGACCAGATGAAGCCCTGAAGAAGTGGCTCAAAAAGGCTCACACCGCCACGTCAGATTCGCTCCCCTATCTGTCTGCAACAGTGACGACTCGGTGGAAGAGATCCGCTTTTCTGGACTGGAGCGTGCATCTTCCCCCCACTCGTCCAGCTGTGGTGTGTGGCTGGGAGTTCCCCCAAACAAGGTATTGGTACGTATCCGCTGTTTGAAATCTCGACATGTGTTGTAGCACCACGAATATACAATAAATTTGTCGGAATAGTCTCAACTCCACTTCAGCACTTACTAGACAAAAAGGCAAAACTCTTCTTGCTGTGAAGCTGGATAGCAGCTCAAAAAGTTGCTGCGAACTGTGGTTCTGAATACGTGAGGAGCAACGAATATGCCAGATTCTCTCCAACCCTTCGTTGTTGGCTCATGGCACAATCCGGCAAGCACAAAAACAAGTGTTCATAACAATAACATTTATAGCAGTACACGCAGAGCAGAAGGGCAGAAGCAGGAAAGAGGAACTCAAGTTGGCTTCACCAGATAGCATGGGCCTCCACAACACTTGAAGGAGCTCCCATCACACAAACCACCATGGGTGGTGTGTGTGACTATAAGGGATGCCCTTCAAATGAAGGCCAACCCCCTCATAAATCAAATCAGCAGAGGGGCCTTGGAGCGGAGGCGCATGATATCTGGTGAGGCCTGTCGACCAGCGAAACAAGCAAACGAACAAAACCAAAACGAAGCAACAACCTCCAACATTCCCCCCCTGCGGGCTGCAGCGATTGAGCAGCCACCACCTGGCCTCAGCACTGGCCAAATGCAGCCGGCTCATGACGCCAACGAAGCGTGTGGCAGATGTGGCTACAACTCCCACAGCTGCGCCTGCCACATGTGGAACTGCTCCGCTGTGGCCGACACCGCATGCAGCATGCCCCCCCCTGCCCCCTGCTGCTCATTCGCCTCCATTGCAGCAGCAGCAGCACCTGCCATAGCCGCATGGGCACTTGCCGCCTCCTCTTCTTCCCCTCCCCCGCCCTGCCCGTACTCCCCTGTAGCCGCGCCTTCCCCAGCAGCAGCCTCCCTCGTCTCCCCCTCCCTCACCTCCCCCTCGTCCCCTGCCAGCAGCAGCAGCGGCTCAAAGTCAAAGGGGCTGCTGTAGAGGCTGGGGGGGGGTGGGGGGGCAGCGCAGGGGGGCTGGGGGGAAGGAGGTGAGGCAGCAGGCAGGGATGAAGTGGTAACAGCGTTACCTGGAGAATGAGGCGAGTGAGAGGTGGTTTGTGTGGCAAGCAAGTCAGCAGGTGCAGGGTCACCGGCAGGTGCCAAGGGCGACTTGGGCCATGTGCCAGGTGTCATAGGGCCATTGGCGATCGTGCTTCCATGGCTGCAGTGGCTGTTGCTGGCAGCAGCGCTGGGAGGCAGGAACTCGAAAGGCGGCTCATGCACTGCATCCGCCTGCTGCTGCTGCTGCTGCTGCTGCGCCTGACAGCCGCTGTGCCCTCCAGCGGCAAGCATGTGGCGAGGGTGCAGCAGGGGCGAGTGCAGGATGCGCATCAGCTGCTCCCTCGCCGCTGCTGCTCCAAGCACACCCCCGCTGCTGCCTGCTGCCTCAACGTTGCTGCCTGGCTCCTGCCGGGTGCTCGGCACCTGATCGCTGCTGCTGGCCACCTGAACGCCACTGCCAAACAAGTGGCCGCTGGTACTACCGCTTGGTGGGATGGCAGGCGGCGGCAGGGAGAGGGCGGAGCCGAGAGCAGCGAGGGATGAGAGCAGCTGCGCCAGCGCCTGCACTGCTGGGCTCGACGCAGCACCGCTGGGGGCAGCAGCGTTTGGGGAGGTGGAAGGGGGAAGGCGCGCAGCAGCAGGAGGAGGAGGAAGGGGAGGGATGGCGGTGGTGGGAGGAGGAGGTGCAGCAGCGGGCGCAGGCACAGTGGCAGGAGGGCTGTCCGTGGAGCCACCGCTGCTGCTGAGATGGACGCTGCTGAGCGGAGTGCTCCTGAGCGGGGTGCTGGTGAGAGTGGCGGCGGACTGGGTGGCGTGCGTTCCTGCAGGCGCGGGTGGTGCGGCGCCAGAAGCAGGTGGTACACCGCCCGCTGCAGCGTTCATGCCGCTGATGGCCCCACACGCATGCTGCATTCGCTGCTGCGCCATCCACGCTGACTCCCCGTCCCCATCCGTCACTGACGCCTGCCGCTGCTTCTGGGCCCCCCAGCGACCTCCTCCCCCCTCCTCGATTTCCGCCCTCTCTCCCGGGGGCGAGTCCGGCAGCTCAATCACGACTGCTGGAGCCTTATGTGGCGAGAACTCCGCCACCTGCGGGAAGCGCGGAGCGGAGAAGGACCAAGCGGGGGGCGGCGGACCGCTTGGGGAGCAGACATTCGCAGCAGAGGCGCCGAACGCGGCGGAAGCGCCAGCGCGGGTGTTGGAGGCGAGGGAGAGCGGCGAGGCGCGGCTGGAGATCTCGGTGGTGGGGGCGCACGGCGCGCAGAACACGCTCCCCGCGCCGCCGCTGCTCGCCGCCTGCACGGCCGTCGGATTGCTGTCCGACTCCTCCTCCGGGGACGATTCCCACGACATCGCGCCCGCTTCCCCGGCGGGAAGAAACCTTTCCGCTGCGCCTCCCCTCGAACCCCCGCCACCTTCTCCGCCTGCGCGAGCCGCGTCCTCCGCTACCTCCTGACACACGCGCACGAGCGACTCGGCGATGGCGGGCGGCAGCGGCACGTCCTGGCGGCTGTCGGGGAAGTTGAGGCCCCCCGTCGCGTCGCCTCGCAGCATTCGCGCCGCCATGTCGTACACGCGCGCCGCCTCCTCCGCGCTCGAGTAGGAGCCCAGCCAGATGCGCGATCGGCGTCGCGGTTCGCGGATCTCCGACACCCATCGCCCCCACTTGCGTTGCCGCACGCCCTTGTAACGGGGGGGGCGCGCAGCGAGCTCCTGAAAGCTCGGCGGAGGGCAGCGGCGGGGGGAAGCAGCGGCGGAAACTGGCGCAGAGGGAGCGCACGGCGGAACAGGGACAGGGGGTGCGGAGGAGGCGGGGAGCGGTGCCTCGAGCGGTGGCGGAGGAAGCGGCTGGAAGAACGACCCGGGGACGGCGGACGACCAACCAGGAACTGACACGTCAATGGCGGCGGCGTCAGGCCCGGATATCACCTCCCCCACGAGAGCCTTCCCGCCAGGCACGTCGACGCTGACGATGCGCGCCGGCTCGATCTTGATGTGCTTCATGGGCGGCAGAATCACCACGCGCGGCGCGCCGTTCCCCCGCATCCGGCGCTTGCCGATCATCTGGCTGCGAGGCGCGTCGAATCCGATCATCGGCGCGCCGGGGGGAAGCGGGTCGGACTGGGTGCGCGCGTGATGAGACCAGGCTAACGGGGAGCTGTAGTCTAAGGAGGAGAGCGACTCGAGCATTGCGGAGGAGCGCGAAGTAGCGAGGATGACGGGCTGCGGTGGGGCGGAAGCAGCGGGGGGAGCGACATGAGAGACGCGATGGTCGTGCGACGACGGCGACGAGTGAAGATGCGACTGCGACTGCGACTGCGCTTGAGGCTGCGACGGATGGGCGTTGTGAGAGGAGGTGGAGCCGTCGAAATGTGCGGCGCGATGGTGTGACATGCGAGGCAGGAGGACGGACGCTGTCATCCATGCACTACTGACGAGGTAAACGCGCTGAAGCAAAGCGGGAATTCCAGCGACCTATGCCCTAAACTAGAGACTGACTTGGGTGGTTAGCAGGCCTACCGTGCTTCCACCTAACTACGAGCCACACCTGCGTTCGGGTGGTATGGACTGGACCAAACCACGCGGGAGCGAATGGCAAGAGTGACAGGTCACGGGAGGCAAGGGGGAAGTGGTGGATCCGAGCGCTTGCTGTGGGCTGCCGGGTGCGCTGGTGGAATGGGGGGAGTAGGATTGCAGCACAGTGCGATGTGTGGGAGAAAATGGTGGAATTGCGAGCGTCAGATTCCTGGAGGAAAGGATAAAGGACGTTTCACAGGGAAGCGAAAGTTAGCGACAGCTGTCGAAAATTCGGAAGCCCACCACGTTCCGGGCAAATTTACCAGCATGGAGAGATTCACAGTTACATTGAACCTTGCGAAGGCTTCGGCGAGCAATAGGGCTTTCGCAAGGACTGTGGTGGTGGGTGGGGTTGCGAGCAAGTGAGGGCTCAAGCGGAATTTGCACGGAAGCAGCTTTCGCTGTGGTGTGCGTCACATTTGCTGGGGATTCGGTGCTTTGCAGCCGTGTCGCATTTCGATTCTTCTTGGCCAAAGAAAGCTCGCCACGTCACGCCTGTCAAGACAAAAACATTGTTCGTCTCGTTACTATACAAGGGGACAGAACGTCCCTCTCCCTCCAATCAGGCACTTGTTCGGTGCTGTACAGCTGTACGGCAGACGTGCTGGTGACGTAGGCGGCCTTCCAACAATAGGGCCACCGGCAGACCTGCGCATGACCAGGAAGGAACTCGCGTGACGATTTGCGAAGCCCGGGACTAGTCGCAGTTCATTTCGCTATGTGGCTGCGATGGGGATGTGAGCACCGAATCCTTCGTAATGTCGGTAGCACCCTCCCCACCGCTCCCTAGCAGCCCTGAAACATTTCGCTTAGTGTACATGAGGGAGAATATAACAGTTGAAAGCTGCAATTAGTCACTAAAGCATACACAATAATCTACAAGGACATGGCTAGGCTCATAATCTGGCATCTGACCATCAGCCAATGGCAGAAGACCATGACACACGGGACATACGGGGCGCCCATATTCATCGGCCTCGACTTGCCCATTGCTCTCTTCAGTACAGTCATCAAGCCTAGTCCCCGCATGTTTCTCTCTCCTCCTGTCTCGCTTTATTCTCACCCACTCGGACTCTTCCTCTTCTGAATCCGCCAGCACATACTCCGACTGCATCACCTCAGGCGCTGAGTAAGCCTGCCCGCCCAAGCCACCCATGGCTGGAAACTCGGGTGACGTCACACCCATCCCCGATGACACCCCCTCCGCACGAACCGTGTCTGCCATGGCTGCAGCTCCACCAGAGGAAGAGGCAGCAGCACTGCTCGCAGCGGGCATTACAGAGCCGTACTCGGGGCTGCCAGGCTGCTCACTCTCCTCCGGCCAGTGCGCCATGGACCCCTCCCTGCCACCGCCCTCAGTCCCTGCCACCATGGCTGCAGAGCCCGCCAACGACCCAGCACCCGCCCCTGCCCCATCCATGCCGCTTCTCCCCGTCACCTCCTGCCCTATTACCCCCTGCACGCCCCAGGTCACTGTCCGCCCTGCCATCCGCCCTCGCCCCCCACCCTGCCTGACCCTGTCCCCGCCCCTCACGCCCCTGCCTGCCAGTCGCGGGAACACCCGGATGTCGTCCGTGAATGACCGAGGCCGCGGCAGCGCCCTGCTCCCCTCCTGCTGCCCCCGCTGCTGCTCCACGTCAGCCACTGTGAATCCGCCAGGTGGCAGCGCACCAGAGGCTGCAGCGTGCCGGCACGCCATGTCAGCCTTGCAGAGCTGGACGGCATCGAAGATCCGGACAAAGAACCACTGCCGCCCGATGAGGTCCGGAATGCCGGCCCGTGTGAGTCGGTGCATGACGGTGTCGCTGGGGTTGGCGAGCGCGAGGCGCACCCCTCGCGCCTGGTACTCCAGACAGATGTCCCTGAAGGCGTGGCACGCTGCCGAGTCCACTGCATGCACCGACGTCATGTCTATAATCACATACTCTATTGGCACATTCCCCACTCCCAGCGCTCTCCCTTTCACCCCTCCCCTCCTCCCCTCCTGTTCTCTCTCCGATGCATCTACTGGTGACACCAGTGCCTCGCCTGCCCCCCCTCCCTCCTCCACATCACACTCCCCACTCCCCCCGCTGCTCCCACTCCCCGCCCCCCCTCCCCTGCTGCTGCCTCTGCTCCTGAAGCTGCTGGTTCGTCCGTCCAAGCTCCCGTCACTGGCTCGCCGAGGCAGGCTGAGAGGACTGGTGGAGGATAGGGCAGGGCTGGGGGTGCTGTTGCGGGTGCTGCTGGCAGGCGCAGCAGCAGCAGGTGGGGGCGAGGGGCGGGGGGTGGTGGGGGGGCTGGTAGGGGCGGGAGCAGGCAGGGGCGATCGGCTGGTGAGCCCCTCGTAGCGCCTCAGCACGTCCCGCAGGTTGCTCACATTCGCGAAGTAGCTGGGGGGAATGAGGGGGAGGGGGGTTGGGCGGGGGGGGGGGGAGGGGGGGGTGAATGGGGGATAGCATGGAGAGGTCGATGGGGCACACGTGGAACGGCCAAGGCTGAGAAAGAAGCCCGCAGCAGAATCCGTAGCAGAAGGGCGGCCAGGAGCGGAGGCAAGGAGGAGGCGGGGCGTACAGGTGGGAGTGGAACTTGATGACGGCGATGCCCGCGGTGACCTTGGCGTCGGGGTACTGCGTCACCGCGCGGTACACCGTGGTGCCGGGCAGGCGCCCCAGCTCCTCACACTGCGCATTGGCCGACTCGTTGATGACGAAGCCCAGCGAGATCACCACCGCCATCATCACACCCGTCTGGGGGGGGGTGGGAGTGGGAAAGGGGATGTAGACAGATGGAAAGAACAATGCAGAGTGCCTTGTTCCGAACCCTAAACCCGAAACCCAAAGAGGGGGGAACGACGAAGGGGTGGTTGAAGGGAGTAGACAGTAGAGTCACCTGAACGTAACAGCGGCCCACCTGGGGGCAGCAGGCATGGACCTGAGTGCAACAATCACCCCACCTGAGTGCAGCAGAGCCGCACCTGGATGCCGAAGAAGAGTGTGCCGCAGAAGGCCATCATCCACACGACAAAGTCCTTGGGGTCCACTCGCAGCAGGAACGCCGCCTCCTCATGGTCCACCAGCCCGAACACCGACGACAGCAGGATGGCTGAGGGAGGGGGGAGACGGAGATGGCACGGGGGATAGTAGATGGTAGTGCTGCCGATGCACATGTATGTCTCGACCACATGCACTTAGGTCACTAACACCATACGCATGTGTGGCGCCCACCCCACCCCACCCACATGACCAGCACTCCACCCACATGACCAGCACTCCACCCACATGACCAGCACTCCACCCACATGTCCCCCAGTGACCCCCCGTACCTCCGAGGACGGGCAGCGGCAGGAACTGGAAGAGCGGCGTGAGGAAGAGCAGCGTCACGAGCACGAGCAGCACGCTCACCGTGCCCGCCATGCCCGTGCGCGCCCCGCAGTCGTCGCTCACCGCCGACCGCGAGAAGCTGCCGCCCGTGGGGAACGCCTGGAAGCACGACCCCACTGTGTTCGCCAGACCCAGCGCTGGGCGGAGGATGACGGGGGAGGGCGGGGTGGGGGGTTTTGGAGGAGGATGCAAAAGGGGAGAGGAATCAGGGGTTGGGGTTCAGGGAGATGGTGGGAGGACGGGGTCCCATGGGGGCAGGGCAATGGGCACAGCGGCTAGTCCAGCAGAACCAACCCTGTGTGACGCCCCTCTGGCCACGGATAGCTCACAGCGGCTCCTCCCCGCCCCTCACCTCCTCCCCATGGCTCCCCACCCACCACCCCCTTTCCTCCCATCCACGGAGCACGCCGCACTGGCGATCACATGTGCGCTGCTCACACACAGCACCGCACCCCCGCCCCTTCCTCCGTCCCCCAGTGCACCCACCCACGAGCTCCTGGTTGGCGTCCACGGAGTAGCCATTCTTGGCCGCCAGCGTCTTGGCGATGGCGATGGTCTCCAGGTACGCCGCACTGGCGATCACCAGCGCGGGCGACACCAGGTCGCGCCACCGCGCCCACGGGAACGCCACGAAGGGGGACGGCAGCCCCGAGGGCACGAGGCCCGTGACTCGGATGTGCCAGGGGTTGCGCAGCAGGTAGACGGCCGCCGTGCCCATGGCCGCCGCCAGGATGGGACCCATCGTGCGCAGAATGCGCAGCCGCTTGTGGCGCTTGCCCAGGTGCTGGGGGGGGGAGGGGGGGAGAAGGGGGGACATGGGGAAAGGGGGGACATGGGGAAAGGGGGGACATGGGGAAAGGGGGTGGATTTGGAAGGAGATGCATTGTGGAAGGGCTGACGACCAGGTGCTGGCGGAGGGGGGAGGCAAGGGAGCAGGCAGCAGGGCGGCAGTAGGTGGAAGCAGAGGCCTGAGCAGCATTGCAGAGCAGCAGGCGCGGCAGAGGACGATGATACCTTCATCACCAGCAGGAAGGCGAGGGCCAGCGAGCCCATGACGAGCGACGGCACGTGCACCGTCTTGAGATTCACAAAGATGTCATATAGGATCATGTGGATGGTCTCGTGGCGCGTGGTGTAGCCGAGGAAGTAGCGCATCTGCATGAGCCCCAGCATGATGGCGGCGCCGCTGCTGAAGCCCGACACCACCGCGTGCGACAGGAACCGCACCACCCACCCCAGCCGCAGCAGCCCCGCCAGTAGCTGCAGCGCGCCGAGCATGAGCGAGAGCAGCAGCGTGAGGCCCAGGTAGAGCTGCTGCACGCTGGGGTCGCGCGAGTCCGGATCCGCCATGCGCCTGCGGAGGAAAGAGGGGGGGGCGAAGGGGAAAGGAAGTGGTTGAAGGTGGGTCAAGGAGCGCGAGTGGAGGAGACGACTTGAGGTTGATGAAGAGGCGAGGAGAGGGCCGCAGAGGGATGCGACGAGACGAACACGCGGAACAGGAGCGGGAGCAAGGGAAGGGCCGCTAGGGCAATGCGCGCGCACGAGCACTCACTTGATGGCCTCGCTCACCAGCAGCGACACCAGGGAGGTGGGGCCCAGCGCCAGCTGCCGCGAGCTGCCGAAAATGCTGCATGACACGGGGATGACGGAAGGGGGTTGGTGGATGAGAGGGGAGCGTGGTGCGCAGTAAGCAGAGCTCGCTGCAAGGGCGCTACGGTACGCTGCACGCCTCGTCTTCTCACCCAACCACTCGAATGGCATGCCACCCATCGTGCAGCACTTCATAAACGTCGCTGGCTAGCTGACCTGCACGGACCTACACGAGGCACGGACCTACACACGAGGCACAGACCTATACACGAGGCACGGCACGAAGCCGGTGTAGAGGCCGTAGATGGACGGCAGGCCCGCGACGCGCGCGTACGCCATGCCCTGTGGGATGATCATGAAGCCCACTGATAGCCCCGCCACCACGTCGCCCTTTAAGTCGCGCCGCACGTCGTACGCCAGCAGCCAATCCAGGCACGGCACGGCGTCGCGCACCAGCTGCCACGTGAGCGACGCGGAGCATCGGAGCGACGCGAAGGGGTTGAGCTGCGACAGCCATGACTGCTGGCGGCTGTGCCCGAACCCGAAGCGGAGAATGCGGACAGTGGGCCCCACGGAGTTCTGGCGCCGTGGCGCGGTATGCGAGCCGCTGTCAAGGTGGTCTTTAAGAAGAGGCGTCTCGAGCAGCGTCACGTCGCGGAACGAGCTCGATGGCCCTACGGCTTTCGCGGTGTGAGCCATGATGTACAGTGTGCTGTGGCGGCGGCATTCGCCAGACGATCGTCACATTTCCTGCAAACAAAAGAATCATTACTATGATAACGTCATCCCTAAACGGCTGGACTGCCTGCTATCTCCGCCCTTGAAGCCTGACACAGGAGGAAGTCTTCCCCTACAGCCAGGTTGCAGTCCAGCCAGACCAGATTCCGTGAACAGAGGAAAAGGCATCGTCTCGGGTCAGATGGCTGATGACCTTTCGGAGAATCCCTGAGGCGCCTGGCGCCTGGCGTGGTGCCTTGCCTTGCCTTTCCCTGCCTCCGAGCGGAGGGAGGGGGGGAGATCCCCAGGGGAACCTGATGCGGATGAGCGGGAGAGAGCAGCAGTGACAAAAAAATCCGCCCCACCCAAGTTTGCCCTGCGCGCGCGCTGTCCGTTCCGCTCTGCGCAAGTATTACTTCCCCCAACCAACCACGCTTGGCCACCTTGCTGCACATTTCGGCCGCTCAACGAATCGGGGAAGACCACCACGAGAGGCGAACTTGCCCATCGGCCCTGAAGCTACACTCGTTTCAAGGTGAATTCACATGTTCAGTCTGCCATCTTCTGATTACAGTACATGTTTTGCAACCATCACCCACCAATACACATGCTAAATATAAGCTGCTAAAACGGATGGCATTGCGTAGCTAGCCTAGCTGGCACAGACGTCAGTCATCCTATGGAGGTCTACTCTAACCAATGTATTCACTAACCGCGTTTTAAAAACCCACACAAGATGGTGACCCAAGCAAGAAGACAGCCCACCGAATTCACCCTTCAAGCGCCTCCGACAGCCGACAATGCTCCAGTTCTGACGTTGCAGCTGGGGTTACATCTGCTTTATGCGCTAGTGACTCGAGAGCATTCTCTGGTTTCAGTGGGACAATTAGCACTGGACACGGAGCATGGTGCACGCAGTGCGTGCTCACGCTCCCAAGGGCCATGCTGTGGAGCGGAGACAAGATAATGTGGGAAAAAGGGGGAGCGGAAAGGGAATGAAGAGGGAGGAAAAAATAACCACTGGGACAACAACTCTTTCCCACAGCCTCAGCAATCCACCAACAAAACTCTTTCCTTTCCAATATAGACGCTCCAAGGCACCTCACCGTTTGAGCATGCTCATGCCACGTGTCCCCATGACAATGAGGTCCGCGCCGACGCTCTGCACATGGCTGGCCAGCACGTCCCGCGGGTCGCCCTTGAGGTCCACGCCGCTCACCGCCACGCCCTCGCCCAGCCCCCGCTTCCTGCCCTCCTCCTTCACCACTTGAGTGCATCGCTCCAGCAGCTGCTGTGCCTTGGCGTGGCGCTCGTGCTCCATGCGCTGGTACCACTCCGACCACGAGAACAGCGAATCCGTGCGGAACTCTGGCAAGCGATCGAGGGGCAGAAGCATGGAGGGTAGAGGAGTATAGTGTCCAGAATCTGGGGAAATTATGACTTTCACAGGAATAAGCAGGCTGTGGAAGTGCATAACCATACAGCATAGCACACGACAGAGTACGACCAAGCATCCTCTGCAAGCAAGCTCTGACACTATTTACAGCAAGAAGCTTGAAGATCTTCGCAGCAAGAGCAGCAGCCTGCCTGTGGGGTGGCGCGGATACCATTGGGCGACTTGTGCGCGTGCATGATGTGGATCTCCTTGGCCGACGCCGCGAAGAGCCGCACCGCCTCCCGCAGCGCGTGCATGCTGTTCTCGCTGCCGTCCACTGCCACCGCCACCTTCACGCTGCGCTGCGGCATCATCGCACCACAGACACGCATCCCCATGAGTCGTTGCCCTAGCAAGTTAAATTTCAGAAGCGGAGAATTGACGAATACCGGAAATCCAGAGCATGGTAGTACCTGAGTGCCCATATTTGATTGCTGCAGCAAGGGAAGAATATTCTAGGAACGCCGTAGTGCGCAAATGCAAGAAAGAAATCGAAGGCCTTCAAAAGCTCAGTGAGAAGCCTTTAGAGCATGAACCGGTAAATCTTGAATTGCAACGCCATGCAAGGCGGCTTGGGGTCCTGACAGCAGGGGAGCGGGATGCTCGACACGCGGCGTGGCGAGCAGGACAGCAGCGACTGGAGGAAACCATGGTACAGTGTAGGGTGCAGTGCCAACGCCGAGGGTGATGACACATCGCCAAGTCGGTTTGGAAAATATACGCACCATAATAGCTTCCGGCATACATCCAGCGCTGAGTGTTTTTCAGTGAGACCGAATCTTATAAACGAAACATTAAACATTACACAACTTTAATTAGGTATGGGATTCATGACATCGAAGATCTTTTGTTGGTGCCCACTGTTGGAGCAACTATACGAACACCAACGAAAATGAGAGTTCAGATAGGGCTTATTGGTCAGTGAGGACAAGGGGGTTGGCTCCACTGAGATCAATCTTTTTATCTTTGAGAACTTGTAATGCTTCATTTATGGACGCCTCTGGAAGCTTAGGTGTCCTAGACAGGAGGCGGACAGTCACCTGCAATGAAAATGGAGAAAGCATTAGGAAACACGTGCAGTGTGTAAGAACAATGGGGATGGAGGCAGACTGGTCATGCAAAGCTCACCTGACCATCTTGATCCGAAGACAAGCCTGCTGTGGATTGGTAGCAGGAGTACACAAGTGCGCGTGAGTACCCCTTGCTAGAAGAGCCCCACAGGCCAATCACCCAGTGGTCTGTCTGCACGCCCTGGTACTGCTGAATCATCTTCCCAGCCTGCCACATGCTCATCACAAGCAAATCACGCATCAGGCACAAAGACCAAATCCGTGCATGATTTTAAAGGGAGGGAAGCATGGAGGTTCAACATATTGCATTCATTTTCCACCCAGAACCGTCGCCTGACCTGGGAGGTGAGTTTGAGCGTGGCGGTGGCGGAGGTGCGCGTGGTGTAGCGCGCGGGGCTGGGGCTGCTGAAGAGGCTCGACACGAGCGGCTGCAGGGAGCGCGTGGCGGAGGTGAGCGCCGCCACGCGCTGGGAGAAGGCGCTGCCGTTCTGGCACTCCGTCATCACGTTCGCCATGGCCAGGGATATCTGGCAGGGCGCACGGGGAAGGGGCCAAGAGAGGTAAGGGCGGATCGATGGTCAGCTTACTGAGAGCGGAGGCGAAGGGAGTGTTCGAGAGTCACAGTGCAGCTCCGCAATCTGTCTTCTGGAATTAACTGATGGTAATACATACTGTTTCCTTCCCCTTGGCGCTGCCTTGCGCTGCAGTCACGCCCCCTACTATCACGCGGTTCATGGCAGCGATAGAATACATCTCGTTCCGCTTGCCGTCGATCCCCCTCGCCGCCCCCTGAATCGCGCTTGACGCGCTCCGCAACGCGCCCTTCACGCGCGCCACCAGCGCGCCGGAGTCGCGCTGGTTGAGCTGCGCATTGGCGCGCTGCACGCCCTCTAGCTCCCCCCACAGCGTCTCGGCGCGGCGCGACACGTCCCCGACGGCGCCTTCGATGCTGCCGAGGCCGTAGGACACGGACTGCTTGACGTCGCTCGGGAGCTCCTCGGATCCGAGCGTGAGGTACGCCGTGCTCAGCTGCTGCTTCGTGCGCACCGACGATACCGTCCCGCACACCGCGCGCAGCTGCTGCGCCAGCACGGACGTGGCGGCGGAGATCGCGGCGACCTGGCTGCGGCGCATCGGCATCACCGCCACCACGCCCTGGCGCACGATGCTTCGGGCGGGAAGGGGGGGGGAGGGGAGAGAACGGATAAGGGGAATCGCGGACGCGGGAAATGAGCGAGCGGGTTGGGAGCCCCAGAAGGTTTGGCGATTCAAGTCAACGTGGGAGGTGTGAGTGGACCTTAGCTGGAGTGTGCTTGGGAGGGATGATTGAAGGCTAGTGGGTTTAAACAGTACCTGAGCGCGCCGCGTGACTTGCCCTTGGTGGCGGCCTTGTAGGTGTAGGTGATGGACGAGATGCCCAGCTCGCTCTTGGTTTGGAACTTGCTCAGCGCCGTCGCGCCGATCTCGTACCACTTGCCCTGCCGCGGGAGTACGATTACGGAAGGAGAAGAATCGTGAGAGGCTGGAACGAGAGGGTTGCAACGGGCGCAGAAAGCCACTGCTCATGGAGGGCGGAGCGACGACGTGATCATGGACGGCTGTTCTAGAGACTCCGTCTTCATGCGTTGCTGACGCTATGAGCTGAGTTAACAGCGATTTCGCCAGCTGGATCTATTTTCACCTCGTGTGGGGCGGCTGCCTCGCGCTTACTTGGAACTTTCCCATGTCGAGCTTCGGCACCGTCTCGACATTCGGGCACTTGGAGGACGAAGTCTCGAGGAATCTCTCGCAGAAAGGAAGGCTATCGGAGCCATCGCCGGGCGACACGTCTTGCCCTAGTGCTGGCGGCAGCAACAGCGTCGCAAAAACAATAGCGAGTGGTAGAACGAACAGGCAGACGCTAACGCACTTCGTTTCCATGAAAACAGTAGCTTAGCTTCAACTAACACACCACAGATCAAATCTCTGTTCAGCGACTTAGGGTAAAGGGTTATGGTCAGTATCAGTGGTGGACAACAGACACCAGAGCGGGAGCAGACCAGAGTCCGCCTCCAGCCATCGAAATTTGAGCAGTCGCGTTGAGTTGTGGAGGGAGGAAGAGGGAGGTGCTGGGGACGATGGGGCATGCGGGAGGAATTGAGGCAGCGTGTGTAACATTCTCAATGCGCGATTCGAAGGGTCGGTGAAATTGCGGAGCAATTCGTGTTGGGCGCGCAAAATTGGGCTCCGTTGCGACGCGTAAAACATCCGCATGACCCGAATGTTTGTCATGGTTATAAGAAGACATTGCTCATACCAGGTACACACAATCCATCAAACCCCTAACAACGTCGGCATAGCTAGTCTATCAATTTGTTTTATCAATTCGTTTCCTGTACTTGCTGCACCAGCTGGTAGTATGATCAGTGGGCAATAGAGTATTGGCACCTGTGAGCCGTAGTCCAGCAGTCGTGACCCGTTCCAAAGCAGAATCTATGTCCGACTGTGTGACAGAGGGTGTGCGAGATAGAAGCCACAATGTGGTCTGCAATTGCGACAAGAAAGGGGGTCAGAAAGTGAGAAGGTATCATGCTTGCAAGACTCCTGCAGTGACTGCAGACGTACCTTGCCCTGATAGCAGGTATAAACGGTTGCAAGACTGTAGCCACTAGAGGCGTCTCCTTGCAAGTCAGTGATGATGTAGTTGGGCTCCTTGGACTTTTGACCAAAAAATATGACAAACAGTTGGCCAGCCTGCGAGACAAGAAAAGAGGACGGCACCATAGAATGGAATATAGTTGGATGCATCACATGAGCCGATCAAGAATATGAAGCAGCTGATCTGATCAGTAAGAAATGCATGCAGCGGTGTGGAAGTCCACGCGGTGACACGGCTTACATTGCTCTTGCTCTGGATGGCCTTGGCACGGGGGAAGCCGCCCTGGCCAACACGGGTGAAGGGGGAGGGCACCATGGAGAGCACGGTGGGCACCATAGCAGTGGCCAGTCGCACAATGCTGGTGGCGGCGAAGTAGAGCCTCGTGCCGCGTAGGAATGACTGCAGCTGCACGCACCGCACACAGGAACAGGGCAATGCGGCCAGGAGAAACCAAGTCAAGACTGGCGGGGAAGCAATCCCGAAACAGGGTACTCCCTAGAACGCAGTCAGGGCGGAAAGAGAAGCAGCACGCGTGGCTTTGATCCCATGTACCCCGTTCGCAGCAGTCTTGGCATTTTGCCCGCTCAAGCCATTCAGCGCCCCACTGAGCCCCTGCGCCGCGGTCCTCCCAGTGAACGCCGCCTGAATGAGGCGCCCCCCGGCTCCCTGGATGTTGGAGATGGACTTGAACATCTTGCTCTTGGCGCCGCTGAAGTCCTTGGGCTGGGGCCGCCCGTTCATGGTGTTCAGCGCCATTTGAAAGTCCCTCACTGCATTGTCAATAATCTCCGCATCCGACGACACCGACGTCACAAATGCCGCAAGCGGATTGGCCGCACCGAGCAGCTCTGAGGTTCCGCCGATGCCGGTTGCAGCAGCGCTCGCGGAGGCATTGGCGGAGAGGAGCGCCTGGGCCTGCGCGCTGGCCTTGGCGGCGTTGACGGCGACGCGGCAGACGATCCCGAGGTTGGTGGCGATGCGGTTGGAGTTGACGGACGCCAGCAGCACCTGCGCCTGCCGCGGGCCAGCAACGCTGCGCTTGCCGCGGTTCAGAACCCTGGAGCAATGGCGGAGAGGTGGCAACCAGGGAGGGGGGAGGAGAGGGGGCAAGATGAAGGGGAGACGGAGGGACGGAGCGAGGCAACGCAGGTTCAGCAGGAGGGGTGCAGAGACCAATGAAAAGGACGACACGTCAGGGTTTGGCGTTTCCACTCCTTGCGCGACAGAATTGCTATTTCCGTCCCGACCAATGCTAATCGCGATCGGCGCTTCAAGCTGCTCGCAGCGCGCTCACTCACTTGATTCTCTTCTGCCCGTTGACCTCCCCGTTGGCCGTGTAGTCCGCCGTGGTGCACGTGAGCCCCACCTCCGACTGGAACCGGAAGCGCGCCGTCAGCGCCACCTCGTACCACCGGCCCTGCGAGCCGCGACACACCACGGCGTCGCGTCGATTGACGTGCAATCGCGATGATTGGGAGGGACGGGGCGAGAGAGTGGGAGGGGGGTGGAGGTGGGAGGAGGGTATGGGGAGGAGCAGGAGGGGTGAGGAAAGGAGGAGCTGAGATGGGGCGACTGCACTGGTAGACGGGACTGACTCAGTGGACCCCGTGGAGGTTAGCAACGAGCGCGCGAGGGTCGCGACTGTGCCAGCAAGGTCTGTGGAAAGTCCTTCTCCCAGCAGTTTCACTCGTTCATCCCACTAATTTCCGCGGCCCGGGAACAGTTTCGTCTCGCAAAACGAGACGCATTTCAGTCTCGATTTTGGTTCCACGGATGATAAAGGCTCGTGCGGCCTTATTTGCTAATCATTCGATAGGATGCAAATTGTGAAGTTGCACCTACCGTGTACTTGGAGATGTCGACGGTGTCGAAGGACGGCAGCTTGGGGCACTTGAACGCCTGCAGATAGTCTGCGCAGAACGACGCGGAGGCGGGCGTTAACGCGGATATCGCGAGAAGCAGCGCGACAGCCGGCGTGACTTGCGCGGGCCAGCGAAAGCTGCGGCGAGGAGCGAGAGTAAAGGCCATGAGGAGAGCGGCCGTCGTTTCACGCAGAGCTCGTTCCGAGCTCGCTAGAAGGGGTCTTTGTGATGCAGTAGTACCGTCGAGGTGACGGCGCTTCTGGACTCTGTGCTCGGCGTTAAGACTGAGTCCGTCAAAATGACGGGATGGACTGGTCTTGGAGTGGAGTTGAGTGCGGAGGCTAAAAGGGTGGAATACGGCTAGGAGCCTTTCCTACGAAACTTTTTGTGTGCTTGTGGTAGTGTAACTCCTCCCTTGGCTTTTTGTGCTGCGAACGGTGGTTTTGCCTTTTCTCCTGCCTGCACGCGGGGCTGAAGTGGAAGTGCGAGGTGTTCGGCTTGGCTGCTGGGCTGAAATGGCTTATCCAGCCCCCTCAGCTCTGCAAATCGCGACGCGATGATCAAGTCACTTTGTGCCTAGGGAGGGACGAATTTTTCCTGGTGACTGGCAGGGGAATTGCTTCCCTGGCCACCGTACGACGCTGATGTGGAATTTGCCCCGTTTTCCGGACGCTCCCAGCCACGAACAAACCAGCACCGCCCCGGTTCCCCACACCTGCGCAAACGTGTCTGACCCTAGGGTCTGCCGTGACTCGGCGAGGGGTGTGTGAAGTGAAGCGAGGGACGGTGGGGAGCTGAAACTTTTCCCACCGGAACAACATTGGAGACGCGCGCGTATACCTAGCCCGCGGTAGTTTCACACGCAGTATTTCTACAGGGGGTGCCGCCGAGAGAGTATTACCTCCAGAAAGCAGCTCCTGAAGACCAGATTCGGATACCCTTCAAAAACAAATTTAGCTTGGATTTATATACGAAATGTTTACTGCTCGATTTAGTGTTTCTCGAGTCAGGAAACCCGACGTCAGCTTAGACAGTGCTCAAAGTTTTGGCCAGCGCGGAGTTTGCGGCGCTTAGGCCGTAGGAACAAGGGAGGACTGTCTATGCACTCCGAAATGGTCAAGGTAGAAACAAAAGTTTTGCTGCTGCTCAATTTCAGGATGTAATATTGCCGCGGGCTAGGTGTACATGAGCGATGCTGAAGTTGACATCCTCCTTTGGACATGCTCTCAGTTCGTACCCTCACAGCTGAGAAACCCGTCCAGATTCGTGTTAGAGGTCAATACAGCGGGTATTCCGTTAGCTCCAAATCCACAACTCGCAAATATGGAGTACAAATCATATTCCCTTAGCACCCGAGGGGCGACGCGAGAGATTTCCCTTTTAACGAATACTGGCCGTACGGTAGGGGCAACGTGGACTATGGGTTTCCCCAGGAAATGGGGGGTTGTTTTTAGTGTACTGTGCATGGGCGGCTTGACTGGCGTATGCAGCAACTTAGCCAACATCGCCACGTCGCAAGACTCTCCACCTGTGTATCAACTCCGCGTTTTAAGAGAATGTCATATTCCTTGGCGCGTTCCTGTTGGCTGTGAGTGAACGGATTTTCCAAGGGTAACGCTGACGGATTCCGTTGGCGTTGCAGGCGTAATTCTACTAGACAGTCAGCGAGTTGGTTGTATCTAGCGCATCTTGTGGATTTTTGCATCGACATTGGTTGGCGAGTCTTACACATCAAGTTTTTTAGAGGCTCGCCGACCACTAGGTGTGGTCGCTCTGAAAACAGAAGAGCAAACTGATTGGATGGCCTAGGATTAACCGAATTAACTGTCCAATTTACTGTTCATTTAAGACGGGTACACTTTGCATACAAGGAGTGACCCTTAAGGATAAAATGCATATGGAATACTCGTGGGCGTAAAAGGGGGTCGTCTATAAGGCATATGATATGTACAACAAATAGGGGCGGTACGCAATGAGCAAAATGGATAATAGAGTAGCACGAGGGATTTTAGGTGGGGTGGCGTATGCCGTTTTATTCGTTTTGTTCACGATGGGTGCCTTGACGTATTGGCCACTTGGGCCAGGTTACGAGCGATTTCGTCGCGTATCATGTGAGGGCTCATGTGGCCTCTTAAAAAACACTAAGCGCATTTGTCGTCTAGTCAGAAACACGCGGACAAAAAAATGTCACACCTCGTTCTCGATCTTCCCACAAGCAGCGTAGCCTCAAAAAACGCAAAACAAATAATAAGGAAAGAAAAATTGACGACTTTATTTGGCGGTTTTGCTAATCAACCACACGTTTTTACGAAAGAGAAAAAGACCCCGTAGAGAAAATCATTTCGAAATGTGCAGTTGTGAATGGTGATTGAGGATACGAGGGTCGTGTTTTCGTATTCGGGACGGACCTGTTCGTGTCACGCGGGAGGGAAGCTTGAATATTTACGTGATTGGTTCTAAAAAATGGAAAACGCCTCTAATGCTCTTGATACGAGGACTAGAATAGGATCGCAATCGTAAGACAGAATGGATGAAAATGTTTGCACAGTATACGTGCCTTTGTAAGCTTGCTGATTTTCCATCTGGCTATATTTTATTGGTCGTTGGGTCGCCATCTGGATTGCGACCCCAATTTATTGCAACTGAGTGGCATACATGGCGGTATTGGATTTCGCCAAAATAATCTGCAACTTTTGTCCAGCCACTCTCAAATCGCAAGGAGCCTCACCAGAAATTTCATTGGCAGACGGGGCATTTTGAGACGTTCACCGTACGCACTATAGTAACTGTACTCCGTACGATCGGAGTATATCTTGTTGGAACCTACCGAATTATGGACGTCAGGATAGTATGGACAAAAATGTCAAGGACTTAATGGCATATCCGCTGTACATGACTGTACTCGTGGAAGGGGTGCGCGTGCAGCCAGTCTTCAACCGCAAACACGGGTTTCTGGAGAGCTGACGTGGGTCATTCTGCGTCGCGGAATGTGGCATGATAAAACAGCTACAATCGGGTATATTATGGTTCGGTCTAAAGTTAGCAACAGTGGAATAACAATATTATCTCAACGTGCTCCAATAATTGGTGCAAAAACTTGTGGTCTGGTCAGTGAGTAAGAATGGGTTAGCTCCTGTTAACCTCATTCCAGCGTCGGTGAGACGCCCCAACGCAGCATCTATCTCAGACTGCGCAATGGAGGGCGTTCGCGATAGAAGCCAGATAGTGGTCTGCATCGGGAGAAAAAAGGTTGGTTAGCACTCATACACATTCTGGAAATTTGGGTTTCCATGCATCGAGTGCCATGCATTTTTCCTGTGACAGGAGGACTTGGTGGGCAGTATTACCTCGCCTCCACTGCAGTCAGCCACTGTTGCGAGGGAATATCCACTGGAGGCGTCTCCTTGCAGGTCAAACACCGAGTAGTTAGGCCTTGTGGGGACTGGGCCAAAGAAGCTTACAGACAACCGGCCCGCCTGCAATCACCGAGAATGAAACAAGGCGTGATGAAATGCTTGGCTTTGACCTGGAAAAGAGGGAGTCGACACTGTTGCCGGGACAAGGAAGGACAGGAGGCGCCTACATTCTTCTTGCTCTGAAAGGCCTTGCCGCGTGCGAAGCCTTGAGAGAGACTTTTGAGGAAGGAGGGCACCATGGCGGAAGTGGGAGCCACCATCACAGTGGCGAGGCGCACAATGCTGGTGGCGGCAAACACGATCCTCGTGTTGCCCACCAGCGATTGTAGCTGCATGCATGGCGCACAGGGAAGGAAGACCAAACTGTGAGGACGCATCAGGATTTGGTATTTTGAACCACAGAACTACCAGATGCCAAATCACGGCTGAAGCCAAAGGGGAGCGTCATGCTGGGTTCAGCTACCACGTACGTACCCCGTTCGCAGCAGTCTTGGCATTTTCCCCGCTAATGGCTTTCAGCGCCCCACTGAGCCCCTGCGCCGCGGTCCTCCCAGTGAACGCCGCCTGGATGATGCGCCCCGCGGCGCCCTGGATGTTGGAGATGGATTTGAGCATCTTGCCCTTGGCAGCGTTGAAGTCTTTCGGCTGCCCCCGCTTGTTCATCTTGTCGGCCGCTGTCTGAAAATCCCTCAGCGCGTTGTCGATCATTTCCGCGTCAGACGACACCGACGTCACAAACGCGGCGAGCTTACTGGCCGCAGCGAGCGCTTCAGCGCTGCTGTTCGCGGCAGTATTCGCGGAGAGGAGGGACTGGGCTTGCGCGCTCGCAGTGGCGGCAGTGGCGGCGACCCCGCAGACGATCCTGAGATTGGATGCGATGCGGTTGGCGTTTAAAGAGGTGGTGAAGATCTGCGAGCGACGCGGGAGGGCGACGGCGCGCCTACCGCGGTTGACAACCCTGGACGAGCGAGAGGGGGGGTGGGGGGGGGTGGGGGGGGTGGGTGGGTGGGAGGGAGAGGGGGGAGGGATGAAGAGGATGTGGGTGATTGAGAGAGCAGGCATTAAGCAGAGATTGTCGCGGAAATTGACGCGTTGACCGCATAGGGTTGGCTTAGCAGTCGTCGCGTTCTTTGCCCGTTCTGGAAGAAGCGATGGGGGACAAGGCACTCCTCACAAGTTTCCGCATTGCTTCTCGTTAACCCATTTTTCTGGGCTCGCTTCTCCCGCGGCGGCGGCACTCACTTGACTTTGGTGCGGCCGCTGACGACTCCCTTGGCCGTGTAGTTGGCCGTCGTGCAAACGAGCCCCAGCTCGAACGTGAAGCGGAACCCCGCCGTCGACCCGATCTCGTACCACCGGCCCTGCGCGCGCAAAGGCGGGGCAACGAGAGAGGACGGTTGGGAAGGCGCGAAGAATTGGGAGGGTGCGCAGCTGTTTCACGAGGATGCGGGTTCTGAAACTGACAGCGATTGAGGGGCGCTGCCTTGGACTTCCACCGGCAGGATCCGTTCTACCTACCGTGTAGGCGGCGAGATCGATGGTGTCGACAGACGGCAGCGAGGGGCACTTGAAGGCCTGAAGATAGTCGGAGCAGAACGACGCGGAGACGGGCGCACTGCACGCCGCTAGCGCGAGGAGCAGCGTAATGGCCGCCGTGACTGGCGCTGGCCTGCGAAAGTTGCTTCGAGCGACGACGGAGGTGATTGGAAGAGCAGCCATGGTGACGGACGATGCGACGACCACGGAGCGTGCTCAGGACTAGCACTCGATTGATTGCGGCGACAGTGCTCGGGAGTGTGCCTGCTACGCGCAAACACGCAAGTTACTTTAGCTCAGGTTGCAGGCTAAGGGGTGGGCCCTAAATGAGCTCAATTGTATGGAATACCGGTGGTGCTATTCAATAAGTACGTCTTGTGCAATGTAACTGTGGTAGTGCTTTCTAAAACCATCCCCATAAACCCAGTCAAGGGTGCAGGGCGCTCCGCGAAGCTTCCATACTGACGTAACACACGAAGCGCAAGGTCAGCACTGCACGATCGCTGCCACCGACCTATCTACTGTACACTGGCTCTTGCCCAAAGCGAACTTGAGCCACAAGTGAGAGAGAGGTAGGGAATGGTGAGAGCTGGGGATTGGCTTCTGTCCGGTGGTTGTTGTTGGTCCTACAGTACACTAGGACTCTCGCGACGCGAGGGCGTGGTGGAGGTGCTCGTCGGAGTGCGGAAGGAGGAATAGGGAGGCAGTCGTGAAGTTCTTGATGCTCGGTGGCGGCGAGGGGAATTCTGCTCACTGGCGGGCTGTGATGGAAGCTGGGAGGGACCCGTTACTCGAGGCGCGTCATCGGGCATGATGGGTTCAGGACCACAACGCAACACAGCCGCCCCTCGTTTGTTCACTTCGCGTCGCTGGGTGTCTCGGTTGGTGGGAATGGAAACTTAGCGTACCGCCACTGGGAAGTCGAGTGGAGGAGGGAGCTTAGGGTACACTTAGGGATACAAATAAATATTGTCGTAGAAAAAACCTGTCCAGGTAGCTGCTGTGTCTCTCGCCAAGATTCCCGGGAGGAAATTTCGTCACGCATCGGATGGCCACAATGTGCTTGTGAATGGGTGAACGTGCTGACGTGGGTTATTGTGGATCATGAAATGGGACATGGGCAAAGCAACTGGATGTACTGGATGCTCCAGAAAAGATTGGGCTCGCTAAAAGCTACAAGAGGGACTAGGTTCGGATTGCGTGTTAAATGAACACTTCATACAAGCAAACATCGAGCCAATTCACACGCTGTAACATGGGCCTGATCAATAGTCGTCTCAGCAGTGACGAGCCAACCAATCACGGCGCGACTCCATCACTACACTCAGTTCAGTTGGGTGCCACCTGTTCAATCTGGAAAGTTGTTTCCAGGCCGCGCATGCAAATCAGCCAAACAAGAAAACGCGGCGCGCATCTCCAATGTCCATTTCCTAAGCAAAAAATCCCTTGCTACAGTAATCTAGCCCCTCCCTTCACCAAGCCCCACGAGGCTGGTGTTCATCGCCGAGCTTCATTCTTTGCTTCGCCTTTCCTCGCATGTTTTCCACAATCGTCCACTTGCACTTCTCCAGTGTCTGCCGTTCCTATTCTAGGACGAGGACCTAGTACCGTAATAAAAGCCCAACGTCAGGAGTAATAGCTCGCTTTCTCAGCAGGGGTCGCCATGGGCACCTTTGAGGGCCATTTACTTCCCGGGGCCTCCTTCCTTCTCTTCGGGTCATGGCAGTTGCTCAACGTCCTTAAAGCCTTCTTCAAGCATCCTGGCAGTTTCCAATCTCGTGCATGGTTCCCCACTCGATTCTCAGGAATAGGTTGCTACGCGGAGTTGATCTTCATCGCATTGGGAGCTACAGCCTCCATCCTCATGTAAGTTGCAATTTTTCTTATTCTAGCGTCTAGCGCACATAAACTCCAAGTATGAGCAGTCACAACCTTTTCCCTTTTCCTCAATGACCTATGCATGTGCAGGGAGCTGGTGGTGACACAGCCGCATTTCTCCCCCCTGGACGAGCACCACATCATCCTGCTCGATGCGTTCAACAACCTCGAGCACGCCGCCATCTCGCTCTTCTTCCTCCTCTACGCCCTCACTTGCATCCTCTGCCACCTCCTCCCCACCCTCCCGCCATACCTGCCGCACCTAGTGGGTGCCTGTGCCCTCGCGCAGGAATTCCTACTCTTTCACTTCCACTCCGCGGACCATATGGGGCTAGAGGGCCACTACCACATGCTGCTGCGGATTCCGATTGGAATAGGCGCTATCTGTGCGCTGCTGGAGATCGCACACCCCACGTCCTTCATGCTCTCCCTTGTCCGCGCTATGAGCTTTCAGCTGCAGGGAGGGGTATTCATCCAAATCGCCCTGTGCATCTGGGTGCCGTCGCTGGTTCCCCTCCACTGCGTCCGCGATGTGGTTACCAATACAGTTACCTGCGACAGCGAGCTGTGGCACCGCAGGGCAAAGGCCGTCGCTACTCTGCAGTTCACGTGGTGGAGTGCAGCTGTTGTCGTCAGTGCACTGATCGCAACTGTCCTTGCTAAGAAGGCATTTGAAGACCCATCGCAAGAGATGTACCGCTCAGTGGTGGGGAGAGAGCAGAAGGCAGGGATCCGAAGAGATGTCGAAATGGCCGAGATGCTGGACGACAGTGGGCCGTGCTCGTCGCCATCCTCAGACGAGACAGACTCGTTAACGGGCATTGCGAACAGATGTGTGGGCAGATGACCACAGCAGCTCTGCAGCTCTGCAGCTCTGCAGCTGTGGAGCAGCACTCCAGGGCATGGTAACAGGGGGGCTCACCTGAACGAATAGCTGCTGGAGGGAGAGCATGCAGGCAGTCACAGATGGATGGAAGTAGACTGGCTGACTTGGACTGGGCCAATGGGTTTAAACGGTCACTGACCCTGGAGCCAACCATAGCAAGACTGGTAGGTACCATAGGTGATGCTCCGTATAGAATCGTGTTTGGCGTCCTTAAGAATGGTGTACAAATAAATACATAGTGAACGTACGACAGCTGCCACTGGTGATGGTGGTCTGAAGCAGAGCAGTGTTGGTTGAAATCAAAAGACCTTGGAGAGCCAGCCCCTGGGAGTTGCACAACGCACAGATCACAAGATGGAGCGCAAGGTTGGATTGCCGCAAGACATGGGTGCACAGGAGAGGCAAGCGGTGAGAAAATGGTCCAAAGAAAACAAATCTAGTGCAAAGATTCAAGGAATAGCAAGCACAGCAGGTGCATGCAGCATGGGCATGCACGCGCAGGAAGGCTGAGGGGAACTTACCAGATGCCCTCAGGTTGTGTTTGAGACCGTGGCCTGCCATGCACCATGCACCATGCCCACGCACCATACACATGCACCATGCGACATGCACCATGCCCACACACCATGCAGCATGCAGAAAGGTGGTGAAGGGAAGCACCATGCTCCATGGCATATGCAGAGATGAAAATGCAAGATTGGAGACACAAGGGCAGCGCCATTCCTGTAGGCGGCACAATATGAGTAATGCCCCTCTGCACCCGCCCCTCCTCATCCATCCCGTCCTCATCCCCAGCCACCTCCCCACACCCCATTGCTTCTCTTCTCCCCTCTCACGTCTTGCCAGCGAAGGCGTCGCTGATGTCAGCGGAGGAGGGCAGGGAGGGCAGGGATGCCATGAGGTCGTAGCGCTCCACTCCGAAGGAGATGTCCACTCGCTTGTAGATCTCGTACGGGTCGGGGTAGCGCATTCTGACAGAAATGGGAGAGGGATAGGGCAGCAGAGGGCAGCAGAGGGCAGCAGAGGGCAGCAGAGGGCAGCAGAGGGCAGCAGAGGGCAGCAGAGGGCAGCAGAGGGCAGCAGAGGGCAGCAGAGGGCAGCAGAGGGCAGCAGAGGGCAGCAGAGGGCAGGGAATGGAGGGGACGGGAGGAGGGGAGTGAGATGTCCATGTGCCGTGTAAACCTCCAAGAAGTTGATGTAGTGTGATGGATGAAAGAGAAGGGGAGAGGGATGCAGAGGAACATCGTTCAAATTCAGACGAGATTGGCCTGAGCAGATGCAGATTTCTTTCAAGGGTGTGTGGGCTGCCGTTCACCTGAGTGCGCCGAGGATGGGGTACTGCGTGCCGGAGAGGTAAAGCAGGCGCATGAGGTAGCAGAGCTCAAACGTCTCTGTGAACGCCACGCGCTCCGCCCGCCCCGACACCTGCATCACCCCCGCTGCACTCGGTAGGTCCTGCGAGGGGCAGACAGCAGGTGGGAGATGGGAGCTGAAAGCAGGTATGATGACGTAGAGAAGGGTCTGACCCATGAGCTTCATTCACCACGCACCTCGTCACATGCCACAGCACACCACATAGACTGACTGCAAGCTCCCAACCCAGTGCATGTAACATGCGCTCCAGGGGCCTCACCTTGAGGCGCGGGTTGAGGATGATGACAGGCCGCGGCGCTGCTGCCTCCACCATGGCTTGCAGGTCCTGAGGGGAGGGTGGGGGGACAAGGGGTGGCATGCCATGGCATGCCATGTGATGCCATCGGTGGGGAGCCCATCGGATGACAATAGCGTCACATCAAACATGCAGGTGCTCATCAATGCTGACATCACCCGCATCAGTGCTGACGTCACTCACATCGAGGATGCAGTTGCCGACGGCGTTCTGAGGAGCCATGATGATCACCACATCGTCCTCTGGCGCCACCTCCGCAGCCCCTGATTGGCGCACAAGCATGCATGCACGTGACACACAGCATGTTAAGATGAGGTCAAGAATGCAAATGGCGGGACTGCATGACATGTATAGCACGCAGGACAGCCACCAACGACCCAAAATAGACAACAGAGGTTTCACCCACCCACGGAGCCAAGGACGATGCGGTGGCTGACCTCCTCCCCCCAGTCCATGGCCTCCAGCAGGCGCCGCGTGCCCGCAAGCTGCAGCGGCATGCCTGCGAATATGCCCGACCCCATGCTGCCCTGCACACACACCTGGGCGGTGGGGAGCGATACCAGAGGCGCGCACAGGGGCGGGTGCAGACGCATATGAGACATAGGCACAGGGATCGACAGGCCTGCTGGCAGACGGAGAGAGGAGGAGGGAGGGGGATGACCATGGCATGGCGCCTTTCCTCTCCACGCACGCAAGGGGTGGGGACGAGGGAGGCATGGCCAGAGGAAGAGGCAGGGGGGAGGGAAGTGAAGAGGCATAACGGGACGATGCACAGTACCTCTACTCGACTTCACTCGCTCCTCGCCTCCCCCCCCCCCTCACCTTGACCCTCTTTCCCTTGCGTGCGAAGGTGAACGCCAGCTCGCGCATCAGCTCCAGCAGCGTGCCGATGCGGTACACGTCCTGGGGTGAGGAAGGCAGGGTTACACGGGTGTGGAGAGGGGTGGATAGGATTATGATGCGGTACAGGGACTGGGGAACATAAAAGGGGAGAGAAGAGAACGAAGAGGATAGGGGAGGGGGCAAGAAGAGGGCAGAGAAGCGGTGAATGGGGAGGAGGGAGAGAAGAGCGATACCTTGGAAATTGTGAGAAAGGCATCGGAGATGAGCAAGGGTGGTGAGATGCTCTCAGTTCCTACATTGGAGAAGTATGCGTCGCACAGCAGAGCGTGAGGGGCAGCTAGGCGGCGGAGAGCTTGAGAGGGGGACTGACCATTTGGGGGTTGAGCTCAGGGATGAGGCACTCCAGCTGATGGGGGGCGACACAGAGAGGAGGAGGAAGGTGGCAGGGCGTGAACCACTGAGCGAATCACAACACAGCTCACTAGCACTGTGACAACCGGCACTATGCTCTGCATGTGGTTTCATCATGGCTGTCATGACTGGTATCAACATGTAACTCCAGATGGCACCCCATGTGTCAGCATACATGCAAAGCTCATACCCAACAGCTGCCCCACCCACCTTGATCCTCTGCTTGCCCGCCTCGACGGCGCTGACAGCAGCGGCGCAGGCGTCATCGTAGAAGTACTGGCGGATCTCGCGGCTGTGCGGAATGTCGTTCAGCCGCGTCGGCATGCCCCTCCACGCCTCTGACCCTGCCCCTGCTGCCGCCGCCTGCTGCAGTGGCGCACCGGGGAGGGAGGAAAAGCAAGGAAAGGTGTAGCAGTCAGGAGAAGCAAGGAGGCGTTAAGAGAGAGGGGAGGAAGGAGAGGAGGATGCCTGCTTGGCTGGAGGAACGACAAATGCAGGGGGGGGATCGTTGGGATAGTGGAGGGAGAGAGGCGGAATTGCCCTCCCTCTCACAGCATTACCTTATCCGTCTTGGCCTTGTCAAGAGCGCTGGTGATGTCAGCAAACACCTCGTGTTTGCCCCTATTGCCATCCACCTGCACGGAAAGAGAGCAACCACGATCCGTGCACGGGGGGGAGAGGATTGGCCAACAACGAGACAGAAGCGTGATGAGGAGGAGGTCTCGGACACAGCACCACCTCATCCTCCCACACGCATCAATCACCCCACCCCTCACCACACACCACTCCACCCCACCCCACAGTCGTACCTCCACTAGTTTCTCCCTGTACGCGTTGACAACATGTGTCACGTGCTGCTTGTACACCTCCACCCGCGCTAGGGCCTGGGGGGGGGAGAAAGGTCGAGGGGAAAGGGGGTTCGGGGAGGAAGCGAGTGTGAGAGAAGGAGAGTGTGCGGATAAAAGGCAACGTGTGTGAGACAGGACGGTGAAGGAACGTGTGTGAGACAGGACGGTGAAGGAACGTGTGTGAGACAGGACGGTGAAGGAACGTGTGTGAGACAGGACGGTGAAGGAACGTGTGTGAGACAGGACGGTGAAGGAACGTGTGTGAGACAGGACGGTGAAGGAACGTGTGTGAGACAGGACGGTGAAGGAACGTGTGTGAGACAGGACGGTGAAGGAACGTGTGTGAGACAGGACGGTGAAGGAACGTGTGTGAGACAGGACGGTGAAGGAACGTGTGCATTTCAAATGCGACGTGTTGTGCGTCATAGAAGCTGTGTGCATTACAGAACGTGCGCGTGTTTACCTTCTCCTCAGTAATTACCTTCTCCTCAGTGTCGTCGGAGCGCTGAATGAGGCGCGCGCTGACCTCCTGGCTCTCAGGCGGCGAGAAGGTGAGGTGGTAGATGCGGTTGGTCTCGGGGTCCAACCGCCGCCCCACCACCCTGTCCACCAGAATGCTGTCCGGCACCTGCACACCGGGCAGGCGAGCATGGAAGGGGGACCCGGCGGACTCAGGCTGCAGAGAGGCAGGCGAGCGTAGAAGCCAGGGCGCCAGGCTGTAAGTCGTGCTGGAACCAGCAGAGTGGGCAGCAGGTCGAGCAGGAGACTAGGTAAGACAAATCACTTGTCCCAGTATCCCGTGTCCCAGTATCCCGTGTCCCAGTATCCCGTGTCCTCGTATCCCGTGCCCTCACATCCCGTGCCCTCATATCCCGTGCTATAACCCCTCGCGGAGCAGCCAGCCATAGGCACAAAAAGGCTGAAGCAGGGAGGCGAGGAGCAGCATGTCCATGGCGCACCTGCAGCAGCAGGAAGACGTCCGGCACCACCCCCACCTCCTCGAGCGCCTGTGCCTGTGCGGGCGACCGGGGAAAGCCGTCCAGCAGCCACCCCTTGTGCTGCGCGTCCGGGTGGGACAGACGCGCCCGCACCATCTGACCGGGGGGGGGGAGGGGGGTTGTGGATGGATTGTGACGATGGCAGAAGGGGTGCAAGATGAGAGCACAGCGAGTGGGAGATGGTGAAGGAGAGATGCGGCATGGGGATAAGGGTCATCGGCCATCCAGTTTGTTGTAGCCACACATGATAACTGTCATCATTCACAGCTCACATTCCTTTCATCGCACATTTATCAAAATGCATGAACCCACCTCGCATAAATCCATGTCGCATCAATCACAAGTTGGTCCGGCACAAGCTGCCCAGCATCCACGAACGCGTTGACCTGCCCGCCCATGGTATCTGAAGTTGAATAACATCCCCCTAGACCACTCAATCAAACACCTCTGCTCACATCGATCACGAGCTGGTCCGGCACGAGCTGCCCCGCGTCCATGAACGCCTTGGCCTGCCTCCCGCTCTCCGTGCCCCGCGCCACCTCGTCGCGCAGCAGGTCGCCCGTGGAGATGTGCGCCAGGCCGTACTGCGGGGGTGGAGGGGGGGGAGAGGGGGGAGGGGGGAAGGGGGGAAGGGGGGGGAGGGGGGAAGGGGGGAAGGGGGGGGAGGGGGGGATGGGGGGCACAAGGGGGAAGGAGAAAGGCAGCCTTGTTTCAAGTCATTCCACCGGCAGCAGGTCGCCCGTGGAGGGGGCAGAGAGGAAGGAGGGAAGAGGGAGGGAGGGGGGAAGCCGTTGTGAAGGGAAGGATGCAGCGACATCCCACAGCAGGTCCCATGCGGAGATGAGCGCCACGCCGTGTTGGCGCTCTGACCACCGCCATTGCACTCTCATGATTCCCCATCCCTTCCGAATTGCTCACCTTCTTCACAATCTCCTCGCATTGTGTCCCCTTTCCCGAGGCTGGAGCTCCCGATATAATCACACGCAGTACACTCGCCTCTTCTACGGCTGGCTCTGCAGTTGTCGCGGATGACGCCGCAACCTGCGGCGCACGGAAAAGGATGCGAGAAGAGGCCAAGTACGGAAACGACGGGGACGGTAAGGAAGTGGGGTGTACGGCGTCCGGAATGACCGAGGCTCTGCTCTAGCTAGACACTAAAAAATGAAGTAAATTTCCGGCGCGCCGCTTATCACGTGCACGTGTTTACGGACGTCGCACCTTCAACGACCGCCATTGTTGTCGCTGCGCCGTCGCATTTCCTGCACGCACGCATGACTGGCTGCCTCTGGTCGTCGCAGCTCGCAGGGCGAAAGCCGCGCTCACTGACGTGGCATCGCGCGCGGAATCCTGGCTGAATGCAGCGCGCAGCGGGACGGCGGAGCTGGTTTGCAGGGAGAGAGCCATGGGGAGAGCAACTAGAAGCTTTCAGAAACGGCCTATCAGTAATCAACAAACCTGGGGCTGACGGTGGCAGTGGGATTGCCGAGTTTTGTTCAGCCTGAAACAGATGCATGTATGTGCCTGGCCCCAGAAGAAATTGTACCCTTCTTTGTGTGACTCGTTTCGCGCCGTTATCACGGATGAACGCAAAGTGATGTTGAAACTCTGCAGCTACACCGCATTTATGCGTGTGTCCTTTACCGAACTATTCGCGAAGTGTCGCGATGTTACACCAGCAACTGTGCGATGCCATGATGCCATCCAGTCCTTGGCGTGAGCTTCATGCTGACGCTGGGCGCAAACCATGGCGCTGCAATTTCTCGATTTCTCCATTTCTCGAAATTTCAAATTCCCAAATCGCCTGAACCACACCTCTGGAGGACGTCCTCTATTTCGCAAGCCTGCCTGCCATTCGGGTCAAGCTTCACACGTTCGCAGCGCACGTCTCAGCTGTTCAACCTCCGCCACCACTCTATGATATCATAGTGATTCAGCCTTACCGCACTTGAGCCGCTGGTCCCCTCCACGAGCAAGCAGCACGAATCTGTTACGACTATGCCGAAGGGGGGAGCAGGCGGTGTTATGGAGGTGGTGCGAGTGAGCTTCGCGGATCTCAAGGTCTGCCATTTGCCTCGCTCATCCTAACGACGCCAGCATTCCCTTATCAAACGTTCAGATGACGCCAGCATGCTATGAGAGTGACGTCACTACCGTGCCATCCTCGTCGCTCTTAGTGTCCGCCCAAGAAACACTAGGGACTTAGGGTTAGGAAAGTCTGACCTTTGTTTCGTCGTGTTGATGCACCTTTCGTTCCTCCCTGACCGTCGGATTGTAATCAGGAAGGGGTTGATCTCGCCGCTCAGATAGAGGCGGCGTTCGGGCCAGGAGGCCTTGGGATCATCGCTGTCTCCGATGTAAGCGAACGTTCTGCAAGAACAGTCACGCTTGAACGCTGTGAGATACAATACGGCATCTCTTTGTTTCGTCAAGAATCTGAGCTGGCTGATGGTTGCTGGGTGTGCTGTCAGGTTCCCAGCTATCCCGAAGCAAGGCAAAGGCTTCTTCCTCTCGCATTGAGGTGCGTGCGTCGCTAGCACGAGGTAGTCTCCCGCGCCTCTTTCCTAGTGCTTTCCGAGCTCATAGTGCCTCATTTTCTCACGCCTTTACAAGCCTCACTTCTCTGATGCCGGTGTGTGTCTGTGCACGCATCTGTGCATGTCCGTGCGTGCATGTCCGTGCGTGCATGTCCGTGCGTGCATCCACACGTCCAGGCTAGGCGAGCTCTCAGAGGAGGCCAGGAGGAGCATTGAAGACCCGGGCAGCAAGTAAGTACCTCAGGTGGCCCTCCTCTTCAGACCCCTCCGTCTGCCACCCCCATCATGTCCCCTGTGCTCTCTCCTTCATTGCCTTGTATGCACGCCCACTCCGTCCCGCGTACGCGCACTGCATTGCCCCTTGGCCTTGCCAGGTACAGCTTTGGGTGGAGCGAGGGCAAGGAGTCGGTGGAGGCGGGCAGGGCGGACGCCCTTAAAGCGTCCTTCTACGCCAACCCGCTCACTGACGCCCCCACCGCCGATCCGCAGCTCATACACAGGTGAGGCGTCCTACTTATGTGGATTCTGAGTGGCTGTTGCCGTGCACTTCATTTGCGGCATCTTATTCCACCGTCACGGCTTCGTATGTGCACGTGAGCGTGCATGCAGCACCTTGTTTGCACCTCGTACTCGTGCATGCCTGCACGCACATGCTTCCTGCACATGCTTCCTGCACATGCTTTCTGCACATGCTTTCTGCACATGCTTCCTGCACATGCTTCCTGCACATGCTTCCTGCACATGCTTTCTGCACATGCTTCCTGCACATGCTTCCTGCACATGCTTTCTGCACATGCTTCCTGCACATGCCCTGTGCACAGATTCCCCACATACTGCCGCCCCAACGTGTGGCCCTCACGGGACATCCCAGAGCTCGAACCAGGTCAGCTGGCGGCCCGCCACGTCACCTGCCCCCTGCGCTTGTCATATGGACTCGTTATAATCACATTAAGAAACAGAAGCTCACTCCTTCCCCTCCTCATCTCACTGTGCTCGCACCAGCGTTCAAGGCGCTGGGCAGGATGATCGTGGATGTGGGCAAGCAGCTGCTGCGACACTGTGACACCTATGGTGAGCCCTGTGGTCATGTGCGCCGGGACAGCTGCTCCCTACACGTACAGCAAGCGTCTGTGAATAGGATTCGTGGCGATGCATGGCGTGGTGCATGCATGCATTGAGGATGGCAGCGCCGCATGTTGGTGCGTTCTACCTTCAGGGTGTTCCACAAAAGGAGTAATTCCCGCACCACCACCCCCCTCCGTGCCACCATCCCATCCCAGCCCGCAGCAGGAACCCTCATGTGCCCCCTGGCAAGCTACTGGGAGTGGTGGAGCGCTCTCAGTGCCACAAGGCCCGCCTGCTGCTCTACCGCCCGCCACAGCAGCAGCCCCCCAGCCCACCAGCACAGGGGGAGGCGGCGCCTGCTGAGAGCAGCAGGGCGTCAGGGGATGAACCAGTGCCCTCTGGAGGCGATGGGGACGTGTCGTCGTGGTGCGGGTGGCACGTGGACCACGGCTCGCTCACAGGCACGTGCTGCTTCTCTCCACACGTTCTGCTGCTCTCGTGGTTGCGCCCACACATGTGGCCTCATGCTCATGGCGCTGTGTGCAGCCCCAGGCATCTGCCACTGTCATTAGCACCAAGTCCTTCTCCCCCCTGCTTTGTGCCTTCCCTGCGCCATCCCTCTCCCTCCGTCCGTGCCACTGCCCCACCACGCTTGACAAGGGCGCAGTTCTGGAGGGGAGAAGGGCCCCTCCTTTCCTCCCTCCCCCCCCCCTCATTCCCGCCCTGCTTTCTGCGCCCCTGTCCCGTCAGGCCTGACAAGGGCGCAGTTCTGGAAGGGGGGGGAGGCGGTGGAGGGCAGAGAGGTGGACCCCTCGTGTGGCCTGTACATCCGAACCAGGGGCGGCCAGATAGTTCAGGTCAGTCTGTGCCCCGGAGCAGCCGTGCGAGTGGTTACCAGCAGGTAAGGGTGGTAACCAGCAGGAGATGGATGCGATGTCCTGAGGCTCAATGAGCGTGTGCATGTCCTTCAGCACGCTCTTTGTAACATGAGGTGATGGGACATGAGGTGATGGGACATGAGGTGATGGGACAAGAGAGTCCATGTGACTCCGCCAGGCATGTCCCCTCCATGGCCCTTCTGCTTGCGCCCTATCTCCCGTCATCTCTCCCGTCTGCACCAGGCGCACATACCGGATGGGTGCATTGCGTTCCAAGTGGGCCATGCCATGTCCATCCAGTCAGGGGGCCTCCTCGCTGCCACGCCCCACTGCGTCTCAGTACGCTGCTGCCTTACCCTCGCCACGCTGCCCCTTCTGCCACTCTTGACGCCTCTTATTGCGTGCGCACTGCCGTCCATCCCGTCGCACTCGCTTCCCTGTCATGCCATCGCATCTTGAAGTTCTCTGCCATGCCGTTTCGCCTCATCTTATGCCTCTCCATGCCTGTCCATGCCACTCCATGCCTCTCCATGCCTCTGCATGGCTCTCCATGCCTCTCCATGCCACTCCATGCCTCTCCATGCTACTCCTTGCCACTCCATGCCACTCCATGCCACTCCATGCCACTCCATGCGACTCCATGCGACTCCATGCCACTCCAAGCCACTCCATGCCACTCCATGCCACTCCATGCCACTCCTTGCCACTCCATGCCACTCCTTGCCACTCCATGCCACTCCATGCGACTCCATGCCACTCCATGCCTCTCCATGCCACTCCTTGCCACTCCTTGCCACTCCATGCCACTCCATGCCATTCCATGCCTCTCCTTGCTACTCCATGCCACTCCATGCGACTCAATGCCACCCCATGCCAACCCGCTCGCAACACTGCGTGCATGCAGGCACCGAAAGGGCTGGCATCTAGAGGTGTTTCTCGCGCCACATTAGCCGTCTTCATGCAGGTCCGCACTGTTCATGCAGGTCTGCACTGTTCACGCTGGTCTGTACTGTTCACGCTGGTCCGTACTGTTCATGCAAGTTAAATGGACCCCAGGTAAGTTAGGTGGACGCCAGGTAAGTTAGCTGGACGCCCGGCAAGTTAGCTGGACCCCCAGGTAAGTTAACTGGACGCCGTGCAAGTTAGCTGGACGCCAGGCAAGTTAGCTGGAAGCCAGGCAAGTTTGCTGGACGTCCGGCAAGTTAGCTGGACGCCCGGCAAGTTAGCTGGACGCGGGCAAGTTAGCTGGGCGCCGGGCAAGTTAGCTGGACGCCATGCAGGTCTGTACTGTTCATGCACATCCCTGCTGTCATCTGCATCCGACCTATCCATCTTACTTACATCCATCTGACCTCCATCAATCTGCATGGGGTCAATCGCTTATGTTCCATTGTCTTGTTCTCGATTTCTCGTGGCCTCGCTGCCCCTCTCCCCCATGCTTCTCCTTGTGCCTTCCTCTCCCTCTTCCCCTGTGTTGCCCCACCGTCTCTCTCTATCCCGCTCCCACATGCCACTGCACCAACCACCATAACGATCCACCATCGCTGCACCAACAAATCGCATCGCTGTGCTGCCCCCACACTTCATCCAGCCTTCGTGGTACGTGCGTGCAACCATGCCGTGCATTGTGGATCCATGCCTCGGCAATGTGGTCATGGATCCACATGCACCATGCTGCCCGCACGGCCCTCACTGCTCCTGCGAAAGCATTTTCTGTCAGCATTTCACAACGCGGCCTCCTGTCTGTTACTTCCTCTGCATGTGTACTATGGTGCCAAGCAACATCCTTTTCAAATGAGCATCAATGCCATAATGCACCAGGATGCTCGTGTGAGCATCTTCATCGAGCATTCTCCCCCACAACTCCCTTGCATTCCATCTCTCCTGCTCTCGCCCTCCCCCACATTCTCCCCTCCCCCTGTCAAGGGACGAGCCTCTCGACATGCCTGCCAACAGCTCGCTCACACCCCAGGTGGGTGCCATGCCGTCCATCATTCTTTTTCCTTCCTGCTTCCATGGCCACCACTCTAGCCAGCCCGGGCTGCTTCTGTGTCCCTGTTAGTTGCATCCTGGTTCAACTACCAGCACTCTTGGGCACACTGCTGCATTGCATCTCTTACTCCCCATCCCCTTCACAAACATCTCCAGGAGTTGGTTCCCTGGCAGCCAGGCATGGACTTTGGTACCTTCTCAGAGGAAACCATCAGGCAATACTACTAATTGTTGCGCCTTAGCCATACCCTGCATGTACCTGGCCATTACTTCACTATGCTTTGTTTTCATTCAAAACCGAAGCAATGTGATTACAACCAAATAATACTATATAATGAAAGCTAAGAGCAACACAAGAAACCTATACTTCCAAGGGCTACTATTGCCCCAAGAACTCGCCCTAAAACATAATAAAACGAATATAGCACCTACACCTAGCTTCTGCTCTACACTCTACACCCTGGAGTTGAAGCGCAGCAACATGCGTCGGCACATCAACAGACGCACGCGATCCAATGATCCAGACATGCACGGCGTGCTATGGCACACGCCTTGCAGCACTCCATCAGCCCTTCACGATACTGTGAACACTGGAGCCACCACTGCCAGCACCCCTCGCTCTATCGCGGCAGCACACATCTCTGGCTGGCTACAAGACGTTCCCAGCTGCAGCACACCCACTCAAGACAGTCGCTAGCAGTGCCACTGCAACACACGCACTGAAGACACTTATTTTCACCCCCCCTGCAGCATGCACTGCAGTGGCCGGAGCAACACATTCACACAACCGTTGCCTCGCATCACTGCCCTTCAGCCTGCCACTCTAGTAGTAGCTGCCCGGGAGGGGAGGGGGAGGAGGTGGGGGGGGAGGAGGGGGGAATCTCGGTGCTGCTGCTGTGGGCTCTGCTGCGGCAGGCTCAGGGGCGGCGGGAGGGGGAGGAGGTGGGGGCGGGTCAAAGGCAGGAGGTGGTGGTGGTGGGGGAGGGGGCGGTGGTGGAGGGGCGGATTGAGCAAGGGCGGGAGGAGCAGGAGGAGCAGGAGGAGGGGGGTCAGGCAGAGCAGCAGGGGGAGGGGGAGGGGGTGTAGGGGGAGGAGGCGGAGCTGCAGCTTCTGAGAGAGGGGGCGGTGGGGGAGGGGGGAGGGGAGGGGCAGATGGGGGGGGAGGAGCAGGAGGGGCGGGCAGAGAAACAGTGGCAGTGGGAGGAGGGGGAGGGGGCGGGGCTGCAGCAGGGGGATCAGGCGGTGCTGGGGTTGGGAGTACTGGTGCTGCCGTTGGTGCTGCTGCTGGTGCCACAGGCACTGTATCTGCGGCTGCTTCTGATGACGCTGCTGCCGCTTTCCCCTCCCCCGAATCCGCACTATCCACGCTTTTACTCCCACTCCCCTCACTCGCCAGAACAGCCCCACTCTCCCCACTCCTCTCCTCCACCACCACCGCCTCCCCTCCCCCTTCCCCACCCTCCCTACTCCCCTCCGCCTCCCCATCCAGCCCATGGGGCTTCCGCCCCCCCACCAGCTCCGCCATGCCCAGCCGCTTCCCCACCTCCTCCTCGCTCTCCCCCGGTGATAACTCCGCCTCCTCCCACCCGCCCTTCCCCACCAGCCCGCCGCCCAGAATCTTCAGCCGGGGCAGCTTCCCCTTGCCCTTCTTCCCAGGAGACGCGGAGGGGGACGACCCCGAGTTCATACTCGCTGTAAGCTTCTCCAGCAGCCGCTGCTGGTACTCGGGCGGGTAGGTCACAGAGACCTCAAACGGAAAGAAAGTATTGATCATGGCGATATGATCGTACACCGCGTCGTAGTCCACGCCCCCATCCACACACGCCGCATCTTCCCTCCCGGCATCCCTTGCCTCCATGACCGCGGCTCTCCTCCTCTCCGCCTCCTCGTGCAACCGCTGCAGCTTCGCGAATCCCCTCGACTGCACGAAGGCGGACCGGCACGCATTGCTGCTGCTGTTGAGCACGTGGAAGATTCGCAGAAGCACCGCTTCTAGCACCCCTTCGGGCAGAGTGGTCCACTGCAGCAGCGAGTCTAGAGACTCCAGCTCGCCCACCCCGCTCACCAGGTCCTTCAAAGCCTTCACTATCCGCGCCCGAGCCTCTACTGCTACGGGCGAAGCAGTGGTGGCACTGGCACCAGAAGCGGAGGGCGCTGTAGCAGCATGCGCGAGGTCCACTGTAGCCACAGTGACCATGTCGATCAACGCTCCGGAATCCGCGACCGCCTTCACATGCGCCGAGCTATGCCGCCCGATCTGACTCAGCGCCCACGCGCAGGCCCCCCGCACCGCCTCGTCCACGTCAGCCTGAATCAGCAGCTCCTTGAGCGGCGCGATCCCCTCCGACGCCACGATCGCCAGCGCGTTCTCCCCGCCCGCCCCCGCCAGGTGCCCCAGCGCCTGCACCACCGCCAAGCGCGCCGAGCCCACCCCGCCCTCTTCCGTCAAGACGGCGTCGATGACGGGCCCTATGGCGCCCAGGTGGATCAGGCGGTCCGCGGCGGCGGGCGACTTGCGCGCGATCTCGCGCATGGCGAAGGCGGCGTTCTTGCGGAGGGCCTGGTCCGAGTCGTGCAAGCACAGGAAGAGGCGCGCTATGCCCTCCGCGCACGCCACGCGCTGGGGGAGAGAGAGGGGGGGAGAGGGGGTTGGGGTGGGAGGGAGAAGTTAGGGAGGAGGGCAGAAGTGAGGGGGGAACGGGAGTAGACGCGACATGAGAGAGAAATAGATGGCTCGAGCTATGAGACGCCTGGAGGCTGGCACGACAGCACTAGTTGCTCGTGTGAAGAGCAAGGGCAGGGCGGTTGGCGTGCTTACAATGGCGAGCTCTTCCGAGTGCTTCACGATCTGCGACAGACACACGCACACCTGCGGGGGGAGAGAGAGAGAGAGCGAGGAGGGGGGGGGGGGGGGCAGATGGGCAGGGTGTATACGAGAGAGAAGCGGCATTGTGGCTTCAGTCTCTGCGTGAAATTATGCGACTCAGAACGACAGTACCCGCATATTATCTCTAACACACTTCCCCAGCCTCCTCTCCCTCCCCCCGCCCTTCTCTCCCCTCCCTTCGCGCGCCCCCCCTCATCTATCTCCGCCTCCCTCCCATCCCTCCCCCCCCCCACCTGTCGTCTCATCTTCACGTCCTTCGAACCCAGCAGAGCCACTATTCTCCCGATCGCGCCCCCTTCCGCCCCCGCTTCCGCGCCCCCCGCTCCGCCATCCGCTTCCCCCCTCCCCCCGTCCGCCACAATCGTCGCATGCCCCGCGGAGTGTCTCGCGATGTCGCCGAGGACGGACAGCGCCATTCGCGCGACTTCCTCGTCCTGCAGCGAGCCTATTAAAGTCGGCACCGCGCCGGTCTCTATAACACGCGTCGCCGCGTCGCGGCTCTGCTTTGCCACGTGGCCCAACGCGCACGCGGCGGTTTCGCGCACCGCCGGCATCGCGTCCGTGAGGCACTCCGCGAGGACCGGCAGCACGCTGCCCGAGCCGCCGCCGCCGGCCGCCGCCAGCTCAGCGCCAGCGTGGCGCGCCACTGCCTTGACGGCGAACGCAGCGGCGCGCTTGTGGTGACGATTGGTGCCGCTGTACGAGGGGGAAGGGGGAAAGGGGGGCAGCGGAAAGGTAAAAAATGGAGGGGGGGGGGGGGAGGGAGAAGCAGAAGGAGAAGGGGGGGAAGAGAGGACGGTGAGGAATGGAGAGGAAGAGAAGAGAAGAGAGGAAGGGAGGGAGGAAGGGGCAGAGGAACGGCCAGGTGCACCCGGCACTCACGCGAGCGCCTTGCAGAGGTCCGGCAGCACGTTGCGGTCGACGATGTCGTTGGCCCACGTGTCCGACACGTTGGCGAGGCGCCCCAGCGAGAGAATGGCGGCGGAGCGCACGGACGACATGACGTCATGCATGAGCGGCAGCAGCAGCTGCATGGCGCCCAGCGAGAAGAACGCCTCCGCGTTCTGCGGGGATGAGAGGGAGGAAGGGAAGCGAGAGATGTGGAGGGATGGGAACGGTGAGACGACTGAGAAGAAAGCGAGACGTCGGGCACGAGCGGCAGCAGCAGCTGCACGGCGCCCAGAGAAAGAGAAACAGAGAGAGGAAAACCTCCGCGTTCTGCGAGAGGGAGGATGGACGGGAGGGGGGACAAAATGGTAAGCGGCGATGAAGATAAGCGGCGAGAGATGCGGCCGGTGCAGCAGAACCGCCGACCAAACAAGGGCTATCTCATATCGCCACCCTATCCGCGACATCCTACCACGAGGCCTCCAACCAGCTACTTCCGAAGCTAAGCATCGGTGAGCGTGGGTGGAGTGGACCCCACGCCACCACAGCCCCACTTCCCTTCCCCCCGTCACCGCCCCCTTCCCCCCTCGGCGGCCCTGCTCGCACTGTGTCCGCCTCCCCCCGCCCTGCAGCCCTGCCACCTCGCCGCCTTGAGGTCCTCGCGCTCCCACAATCTGCCTTTGCTCCCCTCAGCTCCGTTGCACCTTCTTGCCCCGCGGCTGCCTCCCCAAGCTTCTATCTCGCCGCTCCGCCTCACTGCTGGTCTGCCTCCCCACGCTCCGCCTCAGCGTCGCTCCGCCTCACCGCTGCTCTGCCCTCCGGACGGCCTAATCCCGCCGTCTACCTCCGCTGATACTGCTTCGTCCGCTGGGCCGGGCCCTAGATACTGAGAACCCTAGGAGCTTCACTGCCGGAAAACCCTGAAGCGGCGCTTCGCTGCCTAAATAACCTGCACGCTAGGAGCGTCACTCCCTTGATGCCCTGCACCCTACGCCATCCCGTTTGTAATGAGCCGATTTTTGAGTGAACGCCCATTACACACACGCCCTGCACCCTACGCCATCCCGTTCGCCAGCGCGCGGAGTGAACGAACCCGCACGACACGGCACGTCGCCCCCGGCGCTGCTTCAGCCGTCGTCCATGCAGCGCCGTACGAAGCAGACCTGGAACCCTAATGGGACACGCTAAAACCATCCGCCGCTCCTCCTGGAGGTTTACCTGCGGCGAGAAGGCGAGGTCGCCGACCTTCCCGACGAACTGGATGCGCGCCTCGTGGTACGTCTCCATCGCCGCCACCACGGCCCGCGCCGCCCGGCCGGGCGCCAGCACGGCAGCCGCCGCCATGGCTGACGACTATACACAAACTCGACGGCTGAAATGTCTCAGTCTATATAGACACGACGAACGCGATGATCGAAGGTATTTCTGACAGCTAGATGTCTGCGGTGGACTCTAAGGGCGTGCAAAACTGCCGGCTACCCTACTTCGTAGCAAGGTAGTGGAGGTGTGACTAGGTGCCGATTACGAAGAGCCATGTTGGTGGGAGAGAGGAGTCAGAAAGTTGGAGGCGATGCTAGCAGAAAATCTGGGAAAACCTGATCCGTGGGGGATGGCGGCACGCGTCGACGCACATGATTGTTGGTTCATACTAATCACGGCGACGAGCTGTGCGACTACGGCGAGAGTCCAGGGCCTAAGGTGTAAGGACCCCCCTACCCACTCAGGACTTGCCGGCAACTACTAACCCGGCGTAATGTGGATCGAGCAATATGCAATCAGTCAAGGCGCGTGGGGTGGCGTGCCGAGAGGAGAGAGTCGAGGGACCCTGACAGGGGTTCTCTCGCCGCAATGGTCGTGTCGTCTTGCGTGATGGCACCCTCAGCTCAGAGACTAGGAAACGAAGACTCAGTAGCGTCTAGAACATACAGTAGCAATGACTGGGCTGCATAGTAGGCGTGTATTGAGGGGGTGAAGCAGAGCAGCAGAAGGTCTTCTGGTTCCATGGGTGGTTGCCATGGCTGCCTGCACAGTTCCCATGGTGGTTGCCTGGACTGGGCCCTGGGGGGTGCGTCGCACATCATCGCATCCCGGCATGCGATGAAACGCTCAGCGAAACAAGTGGTTGTGACGAAAAGTTGTGATTCAAATCGAAGTTGACGACCTCCAGCGACGATGACGAGAGTGAAACGGCCACTGGAAAATGGCCATAGGACTGGAGCAAGGGCTGTTGTACCGAAATGCGCGAAAAGCTGTGTCCGTGATGAGCACCCTCCACCGGACCGCATGTTTCCTGCGACAATGATCAGCGGGGGGCTGGCTATGTCGCAAAACTTGTCTTTTAGCGAAGGTCGCGCCTGGAGGTACGCAGCACTTGTGGTTCATTCATCACTCACCAACTTTGGTTCGGTTCAATTCGTTACAAGTACCAACCGTTTTAGCGAGCACCTAGCGCCCTCCTCGGTGTTCCAGGATGTTCGCCGTAACTCGCGGCCGCTTCCCCCACATTTGCGTCCCCAAAAGTGGTCCACAGCTCAACCGAACGGCGCGCTGTCCCTATGTCGCGGCCGTTCCTTGTGATTCTCCCACGGCATAATGCCTCGATTGTTTGGCTACACTCCGCCAACCACTGTACATTCACTCCATATGCTGATAATGCTGCCTAAAATAGAGGGGTGCTTATTGATGTCAGTAACAAGGGGTGACAGCTCATCCCACGCCAGCCTGGTTTGACACCACGCATGAATTCCTGGAACCCCGCAAATATCGAGGCCTCCTGCTTCCAGCCGCATGGAACTCGGCGACTCCTGCCGACAGGCCCATCCATTTCCGCTTGGCCTGCACTCACGAGAATCTTGATTGGCTCACGAGCTCTTCGGTGAAGCGAAACGGTCGCGCTGGTGCCACGGAGCGACTCCTGCGAAAGAAGTTTACAGGCTCGTTTCTTTCCGCCAGGCCAAGGGCGGCCTGGGCTTGTTCCTGAAGGAGCTTCAGATAAACCGAGAAGCCCGAGGGAAGGGGATAACATCGCAAGAAACTCGCCACTCCGCCATTTCAGTCACGCTTCAGTTTTCTTTAGTCGTTTATTCCGTACATCTCCCCCTCGGTTTCCTCACGTTCTTTCTGTTGCCGAGTTCGTCGGATATTTTCATTTGCCATGGCGACGGAGTCGAAGCAGCAGGCCAAGGAGGCTACGGCCGTCCAGCCCGAGTCTCTGTGGGAGACGATCCGCGGCGTCGTCTTCGTCCTCGGGGTTGCCGTCGCGTTCACGCTCTCGTTCACCGTGCTCGCGTCGTACGAGTCAGCTATCGCCAGGGTGTCGTACAAGGGCCACCGTGTCAGTTTCCCCGCCGCTGCGACCGCCCCGCTTCGCGAAGAGGAGGTGGAGAAGGCGAGACCGATGATGATGGCGGCTTAGAGCCGTCCGATTCAGAAGATGTGTGGATCTGAGGCTTGTCCAGCCGTCGCCACACCCGCTGGTCTGCTGCTAGGGCTTTACCCACTTTCTGCCACGATTCACTGTAAATACATACGACTGGCAGATGGGATGGGAGCCCACGGGCAACATGTGCACTAAGAGTGGACTCCGACGGCCTTGTGCCGGACATCCGAATAAATCTCCTCCTGATCTGAAACCTCTCTGAGACAGTTGGTGCAAATTTGAGTGAAATCCGTGTGCTCTCAACAGTTTCAAAAACCCGTCTGCTTGGTTCCACCTCTTGTCAAAGCTGCTTGTCTAGGAACCAAGCAGCCACCACGTCCCTTAGCCTCACACCATTGGCATCAGGAACCGACCAATCATTGTAAGCCATGGTGCAATGGCTTGTTTTGTTAGGAACTACCCCTCTGAACTGCACCCCTGCTGCCTGTCGGTCCTGCGTCAGTGCTTGTATCGAGTTCCTGAGCACTATAGCGTGGTGGCCTACGTACTTCCGAATTCCCTTAGGGCAAGCTAGGAAGCGGTCGGAGTGAAAGCAGGGGACCACACTCTCATACGACCCTGTCATAGCAGCCTCAACGTTGCCTCTTGAGAGGCCTATGGCTAGCGCTGCGAGGTCGAATGCGCTGTTGAGAACCAGGACTGGTGTAGTGGTGTGCAGGAGGGCGTTGGCTGGGAACAGACAGCGCCACTTCTCAGCTCGGGGGTAGGCTGGCCACGGCGAATAGGCGGGGAAGGGGGAGGAAATGAAACGGTGAGGAGAGTGGGGGGGGAAAGGGGAGAGTAGGGGGAAAGGAGGAGGTGAAGAGGAGTGGGAATGGGCCCCTTTGTACATTGCGGCTTCAGTTGTAGTCTCACCTTGGACGCATAGGGGGTTGAAGGCAGCGTCGCTCCACTGGCTGCGCATCATGCGCTGCATCATGCCTCGGAACGAGAAGCGACCCACCAGGTCCGGCTCGTCTGGAGCGGCAGGCGATGGGGAAACGGGAGGGGAAGGGCGGGTGCAGGTGTCGGTGGGGCGGGGAGGGGGGGGAGGATGGGGGGCCAGAACCATGGAAAGGTGGCATGATGGCTGGTAGAATGTAACATGGTGGAGGCAGATAACAGGTTCCATAGTGCAAAGAGCGCCCCATGGGAAAGGCATGCAGCACAACTTCAAGGCAAAGGTGATAGAGCACTCTCTGGAGAATGGCCACCATTCTCACCTAGGAAGTATCCAGCGTCAATGGCACACTTGACAGTGGCAGAGGAGGGGAGGCGAGAAGCCATCCAATCACAGCTCACTGCCACTCCCTGCCCCCCTGCAGAGCAACCCGTTATAAGCGCTGCTGATGCTACAGACAGACCTCTGTTCTTGAGCATATCTGCAAGGAGGATTCATTACAGGGGACAGGTAGCCGCATAAAGGCTGTGTCTCGTTAATGGACTCGGGTGCTCTTTCGTTTGTGGGGGAATCGCCCAGCATTTATTTATCATATTAAAAAGGATGCACATGTGCTTGATAACCAACCGTACTTTCCAACTTGAGCGTCCAATAATGGTGTTTGAACATTTTTCAGAACCCACTCACCTTCCAGCAGCAGCATGACGATTCTGCGACCGGAGTAGAACACGCGAGACGAGCCCACAGCCGCACGGCCCTTGTAGCCCATATAGGCTCCTCCGTCACAGTACATAAGCACCGCCATATTCCAGTTGCCAAACTCGGGGTTGACCTTGGCGTCTGCACTTAGAATGCCCGTGAACTGAGTGTGGTACTCGTTCATCTGAGGGAAAGAAACGGGGAGGAGGAGGAGTGGGGGGGATGGGAGGGATAGGGGCAGCAGGTGAGGGGGAAGCGAGGGGCTGAGCAAATAGGCAGGAGTGGGGGGATGCAAAGTGCCACTTCACCCGCCTTCCCCACCTGCTGTGGTCCCCAGCCAGAACCATGGCGATATTTGAGAATTCTCAAAAAGCATTCACGTGACTCCTGGCACCAAGCCCATGCGACTCATCAAAAGTTACCAAACTCCTGGCACACCGCGTTCTCAACAAGCTGTCAATCACATACCCCCGGCAGCCACTATGCCGTACCAGCTTCGTGAAGTTCCCATCAGTGGGTTTCGGCCAGAACCGTGAGGAGCCACGGAAGGACTTGGCGCGCTGCTGGCAGTCAGCAGCAGTCGTGCACCAGCCGCCGCCCTGGGAGGTGGGGAAAGGAGCAGGGGGGAGGAAGCGAGACATGGTTATGCAAACAGGGAACGACCAGCAACAGGGGGCAGGCACGGATAGAGCACAGGTGACGTGGCCGCACAGGAGTGACGTGGCATGGCTTACGTGGAAGTAGATTAGCCACTTTTTGGCACCAGTGCCTGTCCCCGTGCGAAAGTAGTAACCAGCGGGGCTGCAGCGTCAAGGAGAGGAGGGATAGACAGTGGGAGTAACATGAGACTTGGAGGGTGAGAGGGTGAGGGGGAGAACGATGCCAGCATCACGAGGATGGCGCGACAACATTGACACAGTTGAAACACGATCTGCTCATGATCGTGTCAGCGATGAATTGAAGCACAGCGTCTGGTCCCAATGCGTCGGGCGACGCACCAGCTGCATCACTACGCGTCCATGCAGCAACATGCACTGAATGCGAGGGGCACACTGCGTTACTGCGACTCACCTGCCGTCGAGACACATGGCTCTGGCAGACGGCACCGTCACCAGCTGCATCCTCGATGCGCCCCATGCTGCCGGTGCTGCTCTCGATGATGGTGCTGATGGTGATTGTGATTGTGATGGCTTTCGTGGTGATGGTGATGATGATGAAAATGCTGATGGCGATGAGGTCTTTGGGGGGGATGCGGAGGAAGAGGGTGAGGAAGGAGGGAACAGGGATGACCCGGTTTTGGACGGTGGAGGTGATTTCTTGCCGGTTGATGGCGATGCTGAGGATGGCGATTTGCCACCAGGCGCGGGAGATGATGACGTGGACGACGGCGGTGTAGCAACCATAGCCGATGCGCGTCCCTTGATCCTTCCATTACTGCTCCGCCTCCTAGTTGTCCCTCTTTGCGCCTTTTTCCCCTTGTCAATTTGCTTGCCAAACTTCCCACCCTTTGCTCTACTGGGGGTACCCGGCCGTTTGCTTTTTCCTTTGCGATCCTGCTTCCTGCTCACCGCAGCGGGCGACTTCGCTAACTTTCCAGGTTTCCCCATCTGTCCCCTCGATACAATCACATTGCTCAGCAGGCTCCGGCCACCCAGCAGCAGCGAGACCCTCCCCGAGCCCTCGCCTCCCACTTCAGGGAGCTCCTGCGATCGCGCATCTGTGTCACTCCAATCCCCCTCGCTGCTACTTAATCTCCCTCCATCTATCAGTTCCCATGACCCCGACCACGCATCGCGCCACTGTTTAACCGTCAGCTGCTGGTGACCGCTCAGTGGAGCGTTGCTCGCCGTCAGGTTCCCTGCAGCTGTTGATAACCAGCAGAGAGTCGCGAAGGCGATTAGGAATGCGAAGGCTGGAGCATTTACCGTAACGATGAAGAGAGACTCGCGCGCCATATCTTTCTGTATCGATGGCGGATATCAATAAGAGCTTGATAACTATACGATGGCCATATCTACAGGTTACTGGAGAACACGAATTGTACGTCTCGGAATGACGTCACATTCGTCACAGAAACCTTGGAGCGCGGTCTACGTCACCGAAGCCATGTGAGATTTTGTTTCTATCGCCGCCTGAACGTAGGAGTTTTTTCGCTCCTAGGTAATGGAACGCATGAGGCCAGCTCCATCGAACAATGCTAACCTTTCAAACACAATGGCGTCGACGTCAGAGGCGCTACGCACGAAGAAGAGGAAAGAAGAAACCAGAGGCCTGAACGATTTGCATAAGGAAACCCCCATTTTCTGGCCAAGCTATTTCACGGAGCAGCAGCAGCAGTTGCCTTCTTTCTGCTGCTCTCTGCTCTGATTTTCGTCCTGGTGATTCCTGCGCTCCCCAAACCCAACCCCAAGGTTGCGAATCGAAGCGCCTTCATCCCAACGGTCAGAACATTGGGGAAGGCGACTCCATTGTCAGTGAGGAGCATCTCCGTGATTGGGCGGCCTCGGGGATCGGGAAGCTTGGTGCCAGAGGTGTTTGATTGGAGGAGTACTACGGTACTCAATGGTGCAAGATTTATACATATCATAAAACGCATGCTTTTGTTGAGGAACCACTATAATAGTTGGGAGACCAGTATAATTTAACGGAGCATATCATATTGCGAAAGAAGCCTGGCCTGGGATTTTTTTTAAACCTCAATCACAAGCCTGGTACCAGGCTGACCAACGAGAAGATGGATATCGTTCGTGTCTGCGAGGTTTGGTGTCTCTCGGACCAGGTAGGCGGGATGTTTACCGTCGTCACGGGATTGTTTATTGGGCAGTACTTCAAGATCGTCAGTGTGACGCGTCACGGCTCGACTGGCGAACTTGAGTTTCTCAGTTACGCGTCGCTGAGCTTCAACGCTGACACCAGCTTTGTGGCCGCCGCGCGGTCCGAACGACCTTGTGAAAAGGGAATGGCTTACCCAAAAGGCCTGCTAGAATTTGGTGCTACCGCCAGCGGCGGCGTCCAACCCGCCATCACCTTTCGTACCCCACCCGTTCGTTGATTGGGTGCAGGCCGCCGCGCGGTCCGAACGACCTTGTGAAAAGGGAATGTGCTCACCCAAAAACTTTTACGTTTCCTGTTTTGAAGTAGCGGGAATCTGCTCGAACCACCAAGCGACCATTCACCGTAATATTCTTGCAGTTCCAGTGGGGGAAACACCAGAACGCGCTGAGTACTTACAGAACAAGCAGCAGCCAGAGCCCAGTTGTTCTCCATGAGCAGGTTTCGGTAACTACGCAACAGACCATGAAAAGATAATGATTTTCAGGGAGCTGCTCCAGCAAAAGCTGGGCCTCCCAAAAGTTCCATTGTTTGGCCCGAGTCCAACCATCCTCCCTGACAGCCGCTCTTGGGGTTTGGTGGGAGAGCTAAAGGGAGTCTGGGGGAGAACGCCCAATTGAACTGACAGCCGCAGCTGAAACACCCAATCAGGCCTCTTGCTAACAGGGTAATTGCTCTTACTGTCGAGAAATTAAGAGTAAATTTTCAAGTGATTCCGTTTTTTTACAGTGTGATCTTGCCGTCCAACTTACGGAAACAATTTCACGCCATTCCTTAGCCTAACGAGTAACTTTTCTTCGGATCCGTACAGGCTATACTTGTAGCAGGGAAATCTGTAGGGGGTAGCGACCGCCCACCACCCCCACCCCCCTTCCCCCTACCTCCCCCACAACCCCCCCCCCCCCCCCCCCCCCCCCCCGCCCAACCCCGCCTTTGATCACTTGCTAGCCGAATTTGTAGCGGCCGATTCCTTACGGTAACGGGTTTTTTTGGGGGAATTCCGTCTGTTAATGGGTGATCCTGAGGCGATTCCGTCCCCTTCCGGAATACCCTGGGGCTTAGCAAGAGGCCTGCTAGAGTTAGGTGCTACCGCCAGCGGCGGCGTCCAACCCGCCATCACCTTGCGTACCCCACCCGTTCGTTTTCAGCCGCTAACCATTTTCGATCCGTCATCGCGGCTCAATTCTTACCCCACGCCTCCCGTTCTGCCTCCCATCCCTTGCTTGTCATGGCAAGCACTTCCCAATCCCAAGCATACCTACCCTGCTTTCCTCCTCCTCACCTCATTTTGTTCCCAGTTTCCAGTTTTCCAGTTTCCAGCCCTCGCCTCATTCAGCTTTCCTGCAACGACGAGTTTTCTCTGTTCGCCTGGAGCTCTGAATGCTCGGAGCATATTGATGCTGGATGGCGCGGAATTTCGTTTACTGCTTACGCATTCTGTTCACGTTTATGCTGCTACGTCGACGGACGATTTTTCTTCTCACTGTTGGAGCTTCGTCCGTAAGTTGCCGTTTTCGCTGCCATTTATAATTCCTTCGTTCGCCGTGAAATTATCAGACCACTAATTCCAGTCTACGTTTCATGCCGTGCAGGAGTTGTGAATCGAGACTCTTCTCCTTCAATTAACTATTTGCGTATCAAGAATTTTCTCCTTCAAATCAAGATCGTTCTGCTTCAAATCAAGATGGATCAAGATGTGACTTGAGGTAACCTTTGAAGCCAGGGATGTGGGGGGGCGAGTAGGCCGCCTAGAGAGTCAGCGTTTTTTCGATTTCTCGTGTCATTTTCAATCCTTAACTCATACTGACATAATTTCTTCTCGTTTTTCTGTTGCATGTTCATCTCTGCCCGCGAGAGGCTTAACATCGCCCAAACGACTTCTCTCCTTCGAGTCAACACCCCTCTGCTTCGATCAAGACGTCGCCTCGACGATTGAAGAGTATTGGTCATTCCGTAAGGGTAAGCCTTGAATCGTTGGATCTGGGGGGGTGAGTAGGCGTCCGCCATAGCCCGCCTAGAGAGTCGTGTCTTTTCGATTTCTCGTGTCATTTTCCAAGCTATTACACATGCTAACATCGTTCTTCCTCGTTTTGTCTTGCATGTGTTCATCTCTCGATTTCCGCTTGAGAGGCTTGGGATGAAGACCATTCTACTTCAATCAAGACCGTTCTACTTCTGCTTCGATCAAGACCGTTTTATTTCTCTACTTCGATCAAGACCGTTTTACTTCTGCTTCGATCAGGACCGTTTAACTTCTCTGCTTCGATAAAGGCCGTTTTCCGAAAGGAGATATTGACCAAAGCTTAAAGATAAGCTTCGAAGCCAGGGAGGCGGGGGGGGCGAGCAATAGCCCGCCTAGAGTGTCTTCAATTTTCGTTTTCCCGTGTCTTTTTTTTCCTTGCATGCAACTAACCTTCTCAACCTTGTTTCGTCTTGCATGTTCGCCTCGAGATTCACGCGTGAGAGTCACCGGATCGTCGAATGAAGACGCTCAAGACCGTTTTGCTGCTGCAGTCAACATCCCCGCTGCCCTGGTCAACACCCCAGTCAACGTCCCCAGTCAATGCGGCCACTGCTTCAGTCAATGTCCTCGCTCCTCCAATCAACGCTGACTGCGGTAAATTTCGTTTGCTTCAAGTCTTGCACTTCGACTACCCTGTCCCTTCGACTAATATATCACAACCCCTTCCCTTCACAGGTCGAACATCCCTCCTCCCCCTGTCAACACTACTGCTGCTCTGGGCAACACTGCTGCTCTAGTCAACGCAGGTGCTCCAGTCAACGCGGGTGTTCCAGTCAACACTACTGCTTTAGTCAACGCGTATGCTGCTGCAGTCAACGCCCCTGTGGGTCTCCAGTCAACATTCTCGCTGCTCCATCCAACGCTGAGTGGTCCTCTACGGTGAGATTTCCCTCACTAGCACATCCCTTTCCGCCCTTCGTTTGCTTCAGCTCTCTGATTTAGGTCCACTCTTGTCCCTTTGACTAATTGAGTCTTCTCAACCCCCTTCCCCTCGTAGGTCGACATGGCCTCCTGCTGCTCCTGTCAACATCCCTGCTGCTCCTGTCAACATCGCTGCTGCTCCTGTCGACATCGCTGCTGCTCCTGTCAACATTGCTGCTGCTCCTGTCAACATCGCTGCTGCTCCTGTCAACACTGCTGCTCCACTCAACGCGGGTGCTGCTCCAGACATCGCGGGTGCTGCTTCTACTCCAGTCAGCGCGGGTGCTGCTGCAGTCAACGCCCTGCTGTTCCAATCAAGGCTGAGTGGCCCTAAACGGTGAGATTTCAGCCATCTGTTCACATACCTTATCGTCTCTTCGTTGGCTTCAGCTTTTTGACTGATGTTTTCTCACACCCCCCTCTTCTCTCAGGTCAAACACCCCTGCTCCTCTAGTCAACACTGCTGCTTCAGTCAACGCGGGTGCTCCGGCCAATGCGGGGTTCCAGTCAACGCGGGTGTGCCGGTCAACGTGGGGGTTTACCAACGCAAATGGCGCTCAACGCACTGCGGTCAACGCCGCTGCTGCTCCAGTCAAGGCTGAGTATCTCTACCCATCCACCGCACCGCTCTAGCTGCTTGTAGCACACCCTAGTCCCCCCGGTTCCCAGGTTTGGACTACCAGGTGAGTACCCCCCCGCTGCAGGTGAGTAACCCCCCCCCCCCACTGCAGGTGCAAAAAAAATATATCCTTGGTGCAGGTTCGGCCTTGATATGCTAAGCCTATGGTACCCCCTCCCTAGGGTGTGCTACAATAGCTATGCTCTCACGCGCATTGCTCATTTTCTCTCATTTTCTATTTCCGTCCGTCGTTTGCACTAGCTTAAGAGGTCAATGCCCTCTTTCCATGGACTAATTGTGTTCCCACCCCTTGTGTTCCCTCTCTCCCCCCACCCCCCCCGCGCCCTTCAGTTCGCTGCTGCCTCAAGTCAACGCCCGTGGTGCTCCAGTCAACTTGGGGGTTGAAGTCAACGCGAGTGTCCAGTCAACGCGGCTCCAGTCAACGTCCTCGCTGCTCCAGTCTCTTGGGTAAAAAGTTACTCACTAGCACATCTCATTTCGTTCTTCGTTTTCTTCAGCTGTTTGACTTGGGTCCACTCCTGTCCCTTGGACTAATTGAGTTTCCTCACCGCCCCTTCCCCTCTCAGATCGCTTCTCCTTCAGACCAATGCCCATGGTCCTCGAGTCAACGCTGTTGGTGCTGCAGTCAACGCTGTTGGTGCTGCAGTCAACGCTGTTGGTGCTGCAGCCAACGCTGGTACTGCTGCAGCCAACGCTGTTACTGCTGCAGCCAACGCTGGTACTGCTGCAGCCAACGCTGTTACTGCTGCAGCCAACGCTGGTACTGCTGCAGCCAACGCTGTTGGCGCTTACGCCCTGAGGCAGATGCACCCTCATCGGCAGATAAGTATCGACTCGTCTCCATGACTCCCTCTCCCTTTTGTTTGCCTCGCAAGTTGTCGCTTTTAACATTTCATTCATGCATCTCCCATCGTCCTAACTGGCTGTAGCACACCTGAGGGTCCTCAGGTGAGGTATTTTCCCCACTGAAGGTGCAAAATTTGTCAAGGTAATGGTATCCCCTTGGGTGTGCGACAGCTGGTGTCCTCTTCGCTCTCATTCCTGCCACAAATATCACTCTTGCTGCACTCATCGTTCTCCTCTTGCTCCTCTAGTGGCCCTAACTCCCCCTCCCCCCCCCGTCCCCTCTCAGTTTTTTTCTGAAGTCCTGGCGACTGAACTCCTTTCTGCATGCTTCTGCTGCCGCCCTTCCATTGGCGGCCTTCGGAGTGAAGGCCCCAAGCTCACAGGACACAGCACCAGCACCCTCTGCACCGACCGGCACAAGCAGAGATAAGTATCAGCACACCTCCTTGACTCCCTCTACCTTGCTCTGCTTATGCGAGTTGTCGCTTTTATCGGGTGCGCCAGTCAACGTGGGGGTTTACCAACGCGAATGGCGCTGCAGTCAACGCCGCTGCTGCTCCAGTCAAGGCTGAGTATCTCTACCCATCCATGCATTCCGAACCGCTCTAGCTGCTTGTAGCACACCCTAGTCCCCCCGGTTCCCAGGTTTGGACTACCAGGTGAGTACCCCCCCCCCCCCCCCCCCCTGCAGGTGCAATTTTTTCAATCCTTGGAGCAGGTTCGGCCTTGGTATTGTAAGCCTAAGGTAACTCCTCCCCCCCGTAGGGTGTGCTACAGCAGCTATGCTTTCATTTTAGCATATGCATTACATTCTTCCGCCCGTTGCTTGCATTAGTGTATGAAGTTACCCTCCCTTGTCCTTTGGGACTAATCGTGCTTTCTCACCCCCCCCCTTCCCCTCTCAGTTCGCTGCTGCTTCAAACCAACGCCTGTGGTGCTCCAGTCAACGCGGGTGTTCTAGTCAACCCGAGTGTCCAGTCAACGTGGGTGTTCCAATCAACGCTCGTGGTGCTCGAGTCAACGTTCTCGCTGCTCCAACCAACGCTGAGTGGTCCTTTATGGTAAAAATTCACTCACTAGCACATCTCCTTTCGTCCTTCGTTTTCTTCAGCTCTGTGACTTTCGTCCACTCCTCTCCCTTGAACTAATTGACTTTCCTCTTACCCGCTTCCCTTCCCAGGTCGCTGTGGCCTCCAGTCTACATCCCTGCTGTTCCTGTCAACATCGCTGCTCCTCCCGTCAACATCGCTGCTCCTCCTGTCAACATTGCTGCTCCTCTAGACACCACTTCTGCTTGAGTCAGCGCGGTTGCTGCTGCAGTCAACGCCCCTGCTACTCAAGTCAAGGCTGAGTGGTCCTTAACGGTAAGATTCCAGTCCCTTTTCGTCCTTCGTTTGCTTCAGCTCTTTTGACTTAGGTCCGCGTCCATCCCTGTCCATTCGACTAATATATGTTTCTCACACCCCCCTCCCCTCTCAGGTCGAGCATCCCTGCTCCTCCAGTCAACACTGCTGCTCCGGACAACCCTGCTGCTTTATTCGACGCGGGTGTTACACTCAACGCTGGTGCTACTGCAGTCAACGCCCCTGCTGCTCCAGTCAACTCTGGAGTTTCCTCCAGTCAACGACCCTGCTGCAGTCAACGCCCCTGCTGCTCCAGTCAACTCACGAGCAGATAAGTATCGACTCGCCTCCATGACTCCATCTCCCTTTTGATTGCTTCGCTATCTGTGGCTTTTCTCGTTTCATTCATGCATCTCCCATCGTCCTAGCTGGCTGTAGCACACCTGAGGGTCCCCAGGTGAGGTATTCCCCCCGCAGGTGCAAATTTTCTCAAGGTAATGGTATCCCCTTGGGTGTGCGACAGCTGGTGTCCTCTTCGCTCTCATTCCTGCCACTCATACCACCCTTGCTGCGCTCATCATTCTCCTCTTGCTCCGCTTGTGGCCCTAACTCCCCCTCCCCTCCCCTTCCCCCCAGCCCCTACCCCTCTCAGTTTTTTGCTGAAGTCTGGCGACCTCCTCTGAAGTCCTTCCTGCCTTCTTCTGCTGCTTCTGTTGCTGCCCTTCTACTGGAGGCAAGTCCCAAAGCTCCGAGGACAGCAGCAGCACCCTCTGCTACAACTGGCACAAGCAGAGATAAGTATCATATCAGCACACCTCCATGACTCCCTCTGCCTTTGTCTGCTTCTGCAAGCTGTCGGTTTTCTCGTTTTATTCATGCATCTCTTATCGTCCTAGATGGCTGTAGCACACCCAAGCCCCCCCCAGGTATCAGGTTCAGACTTCAGGTGAGGTATTCCCCCACAGCAGGTGGAAAAGTTTTTTTAACCAATGGTATCCCCTTGGGTGTGCTACAGCAGCGCTCATGCATGCATGCTTCCCTTTTGCCCTTTCGGTGAGACTGGTTTTGCCTGCACTGTTTGAACTCACTACCACTTTCGTACTCCTTCCCATGGCTCCCAGCAGGTTCCTTGACTGGCCCCCTCAACCCTTCCTTCCAAGCTGTATCTGGTGCTGCTGTGACTGCCATTGGCGGAGTGTGGGGCTGGATGCTGCTGCTGTGACTGCCAGACTGCCAGACTGCCAGTGCCAAAGGTAAGGCGAACATTCTCACTCAGCCTCTCATGCATTCGCATCTGCTTCTTGCCTTTGACTTTCTCGTCTTGCATCCACCTGTAATCGTTTCTAGTGCTTCTCTCTTTCAGGACTAACTTAGTTTCTACTGCCCCCCTGTCCCCTACAGGTTCCCCTTGGAGAACCTTGGAAGGCCAGCTGGCGGGGGGTGCTGCTGCTGGTGGAGGTGGGAAGTGCTGCTGGTGGTGGTGGTGGCGGTGGTGATGAGAGTGGGGTTGTGAGTTGATCTCAAGCCTGGGCCCAATACCCGCACGTTAAAGCATAATGGACAGCAACAGAACCGTGCGGCCGGCGGTTCTGGTTTGGTCCCCTCTTGCTACGTCGGTGAGGGGTTCAGGTCTCGGGCTTGCCTCACAGCCCCACTGCTGCTGCTGGTGGCGGTGGGGGGTGACCTTTGGTGGTGGCGTTGGTTGTAGCAGTAAAGGGAGTGTGAGACCCCCTGGGTGGGGGGAGAGCAAGGAAGGGGAGGGGGGTTGAACCCTCCAGGGTAAGGCAAGGGAGGGGCAAGGGGGGGGAGGGGGGTTGAAGCTCCCCGGTTGAAGCGAGTGAAAGGCAGAGGAACCCCCCCCTCTTCTGCCTTTTGCTCGCTTCAACCTGGGGGCTTCAACCCCCCTCTCTTGCCTCACACTTGCTGTACCTTCGGGGGTTCAACCCCCTTGCCATTCCTTCCTCTCCCCTCACCCAGGGGGTCTCACACTCCCTCCACTGCCACTCCTTGCCCAACCCTCCTCCTTGATGGTGGTGGTGGTGGAGAGTGGAGAGTGGTGGGGGGTGGTGTGGCACGGTGGTGGTGGTGGAGAGTGGAGAGTGGTGGGGGGTGGTGTGGCACGGTGGTGGTGGTGGTGATGTGGCGTGGGGAAGATGGTGTAAAGTTTGGTGATGGTGTGGTGCAGCATGCCATGTGGTGAATACCTGGAGGCTGGCAACCGCTTCAGTGCTCGTGGATTTGTTCGATCTGGCTGCTGCTGACTGCCTAGAATGTAGCAGCAGTTGTATATTGGTGCTCCAGCAGATGTCTGGATCATGCCTTGGATGGAAAAAACATGCTGCTTCTACATCCATTTGGTAGTGTAGTGTTTCACCAATGTTCCAGAGGGTAGTTTGCTGACTAGTAGTCAACTGTTCCATTGATCAAATTTTCTGGCATCTTGCTAGGTGTACCAGCGTGTATTCAAACATGCTAGTATCTCCAGCAAAATGGAGCATCTCACTTGTGCAAAGTTGGGTGTGATTGGTTTTGCAGCCTGCCCTGCCAGCATCAGGTTCCAAACTATCTTACTGTTTCTGAAACCTAGTCTCTCAAACCAACAATGTTTCCAACATTGCCAAATATGGCTAGGATAAATAAACCAGTATCGAGTTCTTATCCTGAATGCCTATACAAGTGCCACTAACTTTTACACATACACTGCTACAGCCTTGATTGTTACATCTCAATTGCTCCTGCATTGCCGCTGCTCAAAGCAGGGGGGAGGGGTGAAACAGGTGGAGGCGTTTAAGAAAAGGGACAGGGAGACGAGTGAGCAGGCCACTAGGTACCAGACTAAACACCCACAGTTATTGCAGGACCAGTAAGTGGAGGCAAGAATCAAGCCAAGGGATCACTCACTCTCCGTATTTGGCTCGCCAGATGTTGCGTTGGCGAATCCAGCAGATGCAAGCACAGCACATGACGAGAACCATGCCCCCTGCAACGCCTGCAAGGATCACAACAAATGAGCAGGACATCTTCCGTCAGCTAGACTGGCAGCTTCAGCACAGAGAGAGGCATTCCCGCGCCTAAGGTGGACAGGGCTGCTGGTTAGCAATTGGCTGGTGCTTGAACGTAGGAAGGTGCAAAAAGGATTGTTGACGGGGAATAAAGAGACACGTCAGCAAAGCTCCAGGCCGCAGGCAGAAGGGGATCAAAAGGGGATCAGAAGGGAATTAGAAGGGGGTAGTCAGTAAGCAGGACTGGGGAAGGGATATAAGCAGAAGGGAAGGAGGCTGGAAAGGAGGGTGGGGGGAAGAGGAAAGTGGAACTTGAGGGCACGTTCATGGCTGACGTAAGATACAGAGGATTTTGTGGGGTCTGTGTGGATTGAGGTTGGATCAGCGTCGACTTCGTATACAAGCATCGTCCCTAGTGATTTTACGTCACATCGATTATGCGGGTTTATGAGAGTGGTAATGGCATAGAGCAACCCCGAATTCCACGTTCTGTGAAATGGTAATGGAGGGTTACTCAGCGTAGAAGTTCTGTGCCGAGCTTCTGGGCGAAGCTTCGCACCTGTGATGCGTGGAGGCGTTGGCCAGTCATTACAAATTAGATTTACACCAAAGGTTCGATTTACATGCGAGTCGGTTTAACGCAGTCGCGATCGATGTCAGACCTCGACGCTTTAGGAATCACGTGTAGACGCGATAGATTAAGGTCTAGACGCGATAGAAGTTTTGGCTAGACGCGATCCAAATCTGGTCTAGTCGCGATAAAAATAGGGTTCATTTGAAGTCCGGTAAAAAAGCGATAGAATTCGCCGTGAACAAGTATGATTGTCTCAACGAAAGGACGTTGGTATGGGAGGTAACGGAATCTCACCAGCGACGATGCCAATGATGGCTTCCGTGGAGAGATCGCCGCCCTTCATCTTCTCGTACGCGCCTTGGAAGTCGTACATCGTGCCGTTCCCCGCGGTGACCGTGTCGTCAGCAGCCACGGGAGCAGCGTCCGTCGGAACAGTCGCGTCGACGGGAGTCGCGGCGTCAGGGTCGAAGTTAGGGTCTGTCGTCGCGGGAGAGAAGCTCGCGTCGGTCGTCGCTGCGGGATCGAACGCGACGGAAGTGCTCTCTGTCGGCTGGGGTTCCCCGTCCGCAGGAATGGTTCCGTCGGCCGGAATTGCGTCTTCCGGTGGTGTTGCCGTATCCGTGGGGAAATTCTCCGGTGCTGTAGTCGTGTCAGCGGGAATGTCCTCCGGTGCCGGTACGTCAGCCATGTAGGCGTCCTCCGGGGGGAGGAACGGATCTTGCGTCTGGACGTCCCCCCCCGGAACGGCGTCTTCACCTGGAAGTGCATCGGTGGGAGGAATCTCGCCTTCGTTGAACGCATTCGGGTCCGCGTATTGCTCGACGTCCTCGCCCGGAGGGACGCCCATGTCCTCCGGCAATGTGTTGTCCTCCGCGCCAGTTGGGTAGTCTGTATCTGGTTGCGCGTGACATACCGCAGAGCCGAGTAGGATTATGCTAAGAATGAGAAAGATACTAGATCGGTGAAAGGATCGAGCCATCTCCAAAGCTCCAACTAAGAAATACTCTAAGTATCCTCGGTTCGACCACCGCTAATGTCACTAAGAGCGTACGTGGACGACTATGGATGTACGGCCAACAATACAGAAAGACACTGCAGGAATGAGCGCTACTGGAGGATCATCACCAATCTCCAGAATTCCCTTTTCCAGTTGGTGAGAGAACGTTTGTCCGGAGGGGAGCAGGAATGCGATGCGAGTTTGGTGGAGACAGCAAGGTTTGGTTCGGACCGAAAGGCGCGGGAACAGCGACAGCCGAACCTACCAGTTGCGGGCAGGGCTCACGCTAAGGTTTTTTTTTACACTCTGTTTCTCCCGGATTCCCCACCCCCCCTGCACCCTGATTCGTCCGGATTTCAGGGTTGTTGAGTTCTGTTTCATCCGGATTCGGGTACAAAGTTACTTTTAGCCGAGTTACAGCAAACATTGACTCGTACATGTCAAGATGTTCAAGGTCCAAGCAGGGTAACATTTGCGGAGTGCCAGAAAAAGAGAGTACTTTTGGACTTGCTATGTTAGGAGTGTGAATTTCCTCCGCTAGTTTTCTGACAATCCCGCTAAAGTAGGGTAGAATAAGTGTCAGCAACCTTCGCAACTTTCCGGGTAGCGGGGAGGGGGAGGAGGGAACGTGGCTAAACGTTTTTAGCCAAATTTTCCTAGCTCCGTGGGCGTGCGGAGCTGTAGGAGGAATTTTCCAGTCTGTGAGGGACGCCAAATATTCAAGGTTTAGGGTGGCCTGGGTGGGAGGAGTCTCTCTGTGTAAATGTCTCTAAGTTTAAGGGAGACTTAGCCAAATACTCTATGTTATAGGATAAATGCAGGAATGTTACTGCAATGAGGACTAGCCGAAGTTTCGTGGGTGTGGGTTGGAGAACTATGTCTGTTTGGGAGGAACTTAGCCGAATTCAACTATGATCGAGGAAGGAATGTTCCTGACTGTGACGTACTTAGCCGAAAATTCTGGGTTTCGGGTGGTGCGGGTGGGAGGAGCACGGTATGTCTGTGTGTGGGGGACTTCGCCATATTTGCTTGGTTGCGGGATTAAGGAAGGAATGCTGCTGGAAGTTAGGGACTTCGCCGATTTTTCTGAGTTTTGCTGGTGTGGGAGTTATGTGTGTGAGGGACTTGCCGAATTTCCTGGGTTCGGGGGCTCCGTGGGATTGTCTCTAAAAGTTGGTGACTTCGCCGGAAAAATGTCTCTGCCACCTTGGGTGCGAGGAGGGGGGAAGGGGAGGAGGGTGGGGGGGGGTATTTCTTGGCAGTTGCAGCCGGATTGCCTCCCCAGCGAATTCTGATCTTCCCGGAGCCCCCCGCAACACCACTACTATAAATTCCGGAAACGCCAATGACTCTACCCGTTCAAAATCTGGAACGAGCCCACCGCGAACTCTTAATGCTTTTTAATTTTGGGTAACTACCCTTGAAAACTAGGCCCTGGTTGTGGGAGCAGTGCAGACCTGCCAAGCCACAATGAAAAGCTGGCAACAGTGTTCGATTGAGGGAGACCCAGGCCATATCGCACGGTTTTTGGCGCTTGCCGAGCCTAAGACGGGGTCACTCGCTGCCTCGCTGGGGGAACTGGAAGTTGGCAAGGTAATGGCTTGGAGATGCCGAACCGGACCACATGAGACCTGGGGGTTGTCGAAACAGCCACGGGAATGCTGGAGGTCCCTTGGGCATAGTGGGTGCGGCTGGGTAACAAGTCAGCGCTTTGGGGAGGTGCGGAAACCAGCCTGGCGGGGTGTTGTAACGCCAAGCTTCTGCCGCCAGAAAGGCGCACCAGCAGCACCCTCGATATACTCCACTCCTTGGGAGAAGCGCACCTGGTAGAACCAACCAACCAACCCTTCGATACAAGAGGACATACGGGATAGCCTCTCTGATTACTGACCATGCGAGATACATACTACACCTGGTATAATTAAATATCCATTCAGATTAGCTGACTTCTACAAAAGGTGTAGCTCCTGGAGCAACTTCATTATTTGACAAAATCCATGCCTGAAGTACCTCCTGCCAAATTGTGTCAGAAGCACAGGGGAGTGTCCCATCCCATCCCATCCCATCCCATCCCATCCCATCCCATCTCATCCCATCCCATCCCTCGCATGACGGCTGATGAGGCATGCATCCCTTAAAGCCAGACTGCTATAGCGGACATGGACTAAGAGCGAACAGGACCTTGCGTCTGCAAGAAGCAAGCAGGCTGCCGTTGAATCCTAACCCCTAGTCATGCGCACGCAGTCATCGGCTCGATGCGTGTACTCGTTCGGTTCACAGCAATCGTTGATCTTCCCTTTCCATTCAGATTCGTCACCAGACGAAGTACATCAGCCAAGCGCGCACTACCAACAGCAGCAGCACGAGAGACAGTAGCCGCAGCGAGTCTTCGCGTTTTGCGGGCGAGCCCACTCATTTCCTGTCAAAGCCCTTTTCTGCTGTGTAGCATGGGTCACAAGCAACGAGGCGGAGGCAAAAACAAGGAATTGCGTCGAGACAGATCACCGCGTAGACGAGGAGAAGCAAGCCACGGCCACGATGGCTTAGCGATTACAACAGCTGGTGTGACGTCAGCAGATGTGACTAAAACAGAGGAGAGGGACGTGGACGTTGGGGGTGCCACTCGGCGCAAAGGGAGCCGTTCCGCGGACGGAATCCACGGGGGATATGGCGGAGTGGGGGGAAGCGCGAGCAGCGCGGGATCAGCCACGCGCAAGCTGGCAGTGGCGCGCATAGTGGCAGCATTCTACCCCAAGTTCGAGAACGAATCCGCGGAACGAGAGGTGAATCAAATCCCGGGAGCTTCTTGTAGGAGATTCAGGCGGAAGAGGGAATGTTAAAAGGGAGAGGGAGGGTAGAAGGCAGAGGGAGGGTAGAAGGCAGAGGGAGGGTAGAAGGCAGAGGGAGGGTAGAAGGCAGAGGGAGGGTAGAAGGCAGAGGGAGCGTAGAAGCCGGAGGGAGGGTAGAAGGCAGAGGGAGGGTAGAAGGCAGAGGGAGCGTAGAAGGCAGAGGGAGGGTAGAAGGCAGAGGGAGCGTAGAAGCCAGAGGGAGCGTAGAAGCCAGAGGGAGGGTAGAAGGCAGACGGATGAAGGAGACGTGCTCTTTGGCTCTACCCATTGCACTGATCCCCTACGCCACATTTATTCCGCCCTTCGTGTGCCGCCCTTCCCATGCTGCCTTGCTACCGTTTGTGTCAGGTCCGCCGGGAGATGGAGAGGCTTGTAGCCAATGGCGTTGGAGTTCTCGAGGTGAGTGCGCTGCAACCACCTGCACTGCTGGTGTTGTCGACCTCATCTGTATGTGCTGCTGTCAACAAACTGGTCAGTTAGAGCAGGCGCTCGACATCTATCACGAGGATATCGGTTGACAAACTCTGAATCATTCTGATTCATCTCGGAGATTTTTGCTGCTTGCTCCATGCCTAACTCTCTCCGCCTCTCCATAACCAACCAAACCCCCCCGGGCAGGTATCTGTGAAGCACAGCGGATCTCTCTTCCTCTGGGCTGGAGCCAACAGAGGAGCCTACGCTAAGAACTCCTACGGCAATGAGTGAGTGTGGGTGTGTCCACGAGTGAGGGTGTTGCAAGGATGGGTCCCCGAGTGAGTGTGGGTGTGTCCCTGATCCCAATGCTGATGGTGCAGTGTGCTGGGTCTCCATGTGACTCTGCTGATTTCCAACAGCTTTTAATGCGTCATCATGCCCCTTCTCTCAGGTACTCCGCGGTGGGCGTGTGGGTGCTGGCGGAGACTCTGCGCAATGCATGGGGGGATGCGCTCGTGCGCCAGAAGCAGAGGGAGCTGAGTGCCTACCTGGAGGTCAGTGGGACAATGCAGACGCAGGTCAGTGCAGACGCAGCGGGTTGACGGCAGGCTGGCTTTAGTGCTTCTCTGCCTCTCTGCCTCTCTGCCTCTGTGCTGATGTGTATGTGTCGGTGTGCATGTGTGCGTGGGGGGGCAAAGTGCAGGATCCGGATGGCAACTGTTTCCCCACCCCCCACCTCATATGCGCACACCTGTCTCCAGCGGCGTCGCGTGGCGGCGGGCAGGGTTACATTCCACCCATGACCGCTCATCCCCCATCTCCCTCGCACTCTGCTTTCCCTCCAATGTGCACCCACCAGCGCCATCGCCTCGCGCTGGGCATGGAGCTGGTCACGTCCGTGCTAGGCGACCACGGGCAGAGGCCGCTGCACGACTATGGTGGGTTGGCTGCTCGCCTGTGGTGTTGTGCCACGCTGGCTTCCCTCACCTCCATCCGCGTGCTCCTTCTTCATCTTCGATTGGCGTTCCCCCTTGCCTTCATTTTCTCTCTCCCTTCCGCCGCTTCCCTTCTCCCTTCTCCCCCCAACCCCAATCGCCCTCCCAGCGGTGGTGACGGCAGTGACGGACATGGCATGCCACCCCCCCCGCTTCCTCTCCACGCCCGAGGTGCTCCGCTTCTGCGACACCTGGCGCCTGCCCTTCAACTCCTACTGGCTCTTCCACTCAAAGTGAGCCCTCTTCTCCCTCCAGCTTCCTTCCTCTTCTTCACTGTGGCGTGAAACATGTGCCTCCCGCTCTCCTGGACTGCGTCCCACACACACCACCAGGCACTCGTGCGCTCAGCTGTTTGCAGCGCACGATGCTTTGAGTTGAGTGAGGAGGGCACTGCAGCACACGCGTTTTCGGCCCTTGCCTCCTACACGCACCACCAAGCACTCGTGTGCCCGGCTGTTTGCAGCATGCGATGTGTTGAGTTGGGTGAGGAGGAGGGCACCTCAGGGAACACTCTGTCTCCCTCTGCTTCCCTCACACACACACCATCACCAGGCAGTCATGTGCCCGGCTGTTTGCCGCATACGATGCGCTGAGCGAGGAGGGCACTGCTCAATCCGTGGAAGACACACTTAATGCCATTGCTGATGTCAGCATCGCAGGCGAGTGATGCCATTGCTGATGTCAGCATTGCAGGTAAATGGGTTCACTTGTAGCCCTAATCTGCTATGACCTCTAAGGGGCTCAGTCTCTGTAGGCTAGACCTTAGTGGGGGCTCAGTCTCTGTAGGCTAGACCTTAGTGGGGGCTCAGTCTCTGTAGGCTAGACCTTAGTGGGGGCTCAGTCTCTGTAGGCTAGACCTTAGTGGGGGCTCAGTCTCTGTAAGCTAGACCTTGCTCGGGCGTCTGGTTGTTTCGATTCAGTCCCCCTCTACGACCTCAGCCTTCTCTCTTTCTCCCCCCCTTCCCCTTCCTTGTTGCGCTTTCCCTCCCCCAGGCACGGCGGCGCATGGGAAGCTGCAGGGCAACATCATGGAGGGGCTGGTGGTGAGGCTGGTCAGTCCCAGGAGCCTCGAGGAGACGAGGGAGCTCAAGGGACGGGTGCTGACTGGTGAGTGGGGAATCGAGGAACTTGTTAGCCTGCAGACCCTATGGCCGGGCTGCTTACCCTATGGCGGAGCTGCTTACCCCGTGGCGGAGCTGCTTACCCCGTGGCCGAGCTGCTTACCCCGTGGCCGAGCTGCTTACCCCGTGGCCGAGCTGCTTACCCCGTGGCCGAGCTGCTTACCCCGTGGCCGAGCTGCTTACCCCGTGGCCGAGCTGCTTACCCCGTGGCCGAGCTGCTTACCCCGTGGCCGAGCTGCTTACCCCGTGGCCGAGCTGCTTACCCCGTGGCCGAGCTGCTTACCCCGTGGCCGAGCTGCTTACCCCGTGGCCGAGCTGCTTACCCCGTGGCCGAGCTGCTTACCCCGTGGCCGAGCCACAGTACGCCGTTTTCTGGCTTGGCGTGGCTTAATCTTCCACCAAAGCACCCTGTGGGTGCCAGCACACAATTGAGGGAGCGTTTGGGTCGGCACTGGCCTTCTCCGCCTTCCATTCTTTCTTTGAGGCGCCTCAAAAATAGACTCCTCACGCTTGGGTCGGCACTGGCCATCTCCGCCTTTCATTTTTCTTCCCGTGTGCCCTTCCCGCTTTCCCATGTGCCCTTCCCGCTTTCCCGCTGTGCTGCTCCAGTCCCTGCATCAGTCGTGACTCCTCCCTACACTGTGGGCGCGGGCACGCGGTTGAGGGAGATATTTGCTCAGCATGACACAATGCAGGAGGTGGGGCTGCTGTGTGTGGGAATCAGAAGGTGGTGGGGGTGTGGTGGAGGTGGGGGTGTGCAGGAAGTGGGGTGTGCCGGAAGTGGGGTGTGCAGGAAGTGGGGTGTGCAGGAAGTGTGACTGTGCCGGAAGTGTGACTGCGGTGCATGGAAATATGAAGGGGGTGATAGGCGAATGGGATATTGAATGCAGACTGGAGGAACGTTGAGGGGGAATTGAGTTTATACAGAGGAACTGGGGTTTGGGATGATACAGAGTGGATGAGACTATAGGAGAAGAGACTGTGGAAGGGGAAAGATGAGGATGCACACTGCATGCGCTGCCCTCCTGTGCCCCTCTCTCGCCCAGCGCATCTCCCATCCGTTCGAGGATGCAGGAGCAGCCATATGCAGTGAGGGGCAGTGGGAGGAGGGCTCTCCTGTGTTCCTCCACATTGCCTTATTTATTGACCGTTTTGTCCTGCTTCCCTTCCCCTTCCACCCAACTCTCGCCCGCTCCCACCAGCGCATCTCCCATCTACTGGACGAGGCTAGTGCTGCCATGAGCAGTGAGGGCCAGTGGGGGACGGCTCTCCTGTGTTCCTCCCCGTTGCATTCGTCATTAACAGGCGCTCCTTGCTTCCCTTCCCCTTGCAACCTATCTCCCCCTCCCCCAGCGCATCTCGCATCTTCTGGACGAGGCTGGGGCAGCCATGTGTAGTGAGGGGCAGTGGGGGGAGGGCGTGCAGGGGGGGTATGGGAGTGGAGGGGAGGAAGAGGAGGGGGGTGCTGTGGCGGAGGGGGAAGAGAGTGAGAGTGCGGGAAGGAGGAAGGAGAGGCGAAGGCAGGAGCAGCAGGAGCAGCAGGAACAGGAGCAGCAGGAGTCAGACTGGATGGATAAGCTGCTAAGCTGCAGGGCAGCAGATGCAGAGACTGCCAACATTCAGGTAAGCTGTGGATGCTGCCGTGGTGTGGGTACTAACGTGCTGCAGGGCACTTGGGTGGTGCTGGGCACTTGGGTGGTGCTGGGCACTTGGGTGGTGCTGGGCACTTGCATGGGGATGGGCACTTCCAGAGGTGCTGGGCACTTCAGAATGGGGCTCTGACCGCCAGAATGGGGGCTGTGACCGCCAAAGTTGGGGCTCTGACAGTCAGAATGGGGCTCTGACAGACAGAATGGGTCTCTGTCCGTCAGAATGGGGGCTCTGACCGGCAGAATGGGGTTCTGATCTGACCGCCAAACTGGGGGCTCTGACCGCCAGAATGGGGCTCTGGCCGGCAGAATGGGGCTCTGACCGGCAGAATGGGGCTCTGTCCGTCAGAATGGGGTTCTCACCGCCAGAATGGTGGCTCTGACCGCCAAAATGGGGCTCTCACAACCAAAATTGTTTTCTGACCGCCAGAATTGTTTTCTGACTGTCAGAATGGGGGCTCTGACCGGCAGAATGGGGGCTCTGACCGCCAGAATGGGGCTTTGACCGCCAGAATGGGGGCTCTGACCGCCAGAATGGGGCTCTGACCGCCAGAATGGCGCTCTGACAACCAGAATGGTTTTCTGACCATCAGAATGGGGGCTCTGACTGCCAGAATGGGGCTCTGACCGCCAGAATTGGGGCTCTGACCGCCGGAATGGGGGCTCTGACCGCCAGAATGGGGCTCTGGCCGGCAGAATGCTGCTCTGACGGCCAGAATGTGGCTCTGACCGCCAGAATGTGGCTCTGAGCGCCAGAATGGGGGCTCGGATCGCCAGAATCTGGCTCTGACCGCCAGAATTGGGGCTCTGACCACCAGAATGGGTCTGGGCACTTGCATGGAGCTGGGTACTTCCGTGGTGCTTGCACATCCCTTGGTGGTGCGCGGCACCCTTCGTGGTACTGTGAAGGATTGTAGTGGCCTCTGCTGTATTTTTTTTCCTCGTCCTTCCTCCCCCTGCGTCTTCCTGCCTCTTCTCTGCAGGCCATGCTTCGAGCCGTGCTAGCCGAGAGGCTCAAAGTGAGGTTCAAGTCACACCCCTGGCCCCTCCCTTCCACGCCCTCTGTCCTTAGCCCCGCCCTTCCATCCTCCTCCTCCTCCTCGTCCGCTCACCCGCCTGCCCCCGCGCTCCTCTCCCACCACCTCATCACGGTGCATGCCTTTCAAGATGCTGCCTTCCGGAAGTATCAGCAGATGATGCGGTGAGCTGTGGTGTGATGCCATGAGCCGTGGTGTGATGCCGTGAGCTGTGGTGTGATGCCGTGAGCTGTGGTGTGATGCCGTGAGCTGTGGTGTGATGCCGTGAGCTGTGGTGTGATGCCGTGAGCTGTGGTGTGATGCCGTGAGCTGTGGTGTGATGCCGTGAGCTGTGGTGTGATGCCATGAGCCGTGGTGTTATGCCATGAGCCGTGGTGTGATGCCATGAGCTGTGGTGTGAAAGTGGTGGTGTGGTGCGGTGAGTTCATCCATTTGCACCCATCCCGATCTCTTAGTTATACCTTCCCAACACACCACCCTCTCGCTTACCCTTACCCTCACCCTCACCCGCACCCCTGGCATCTTCCATGCACTTTCAGCAAGGATCGCAGTCTATGGCCCCTGTATCGTGGATTCTTCCTGGAAGCCGCTGTTATGGAAGTCGACAAGGCAATGGGGAAGCAGCTGACAGCAGCAGCGGATGCTGATGCTGCTGCTGCTGCTGCTGCTGCTGCTGCTGCTGCTGCTGATGCTTCTGACGCTGCAGCTTCGATGAAGCAGGAGGGAGGAGGCAAGAAAGGGATGGAGGGATTGGGCGGGGCGAAGGAGGAAGGGGGAGGGGAAGAGTGTGGAGAGGAGGTGCAAAGTGAGCAGGAGGAGGAGCGTGGGGAGGAGGTGCCGCATCTGATGCTGAAGATGAAGTTCCTCCCGTACAAGCTGAGGACGTTTCTCATGCGCAACGGGCTGGGCACGCTGCTGAAGAAGGGGCGCCACGAGTACATGTCATATGTTCAGCGGTGGGTGTAGGGATGTGCATGGGATGTGCTAGAATATGGGTCTGGCATGTGCTTGAATATGCGAAGCAGTGGGGATAGGCATGCCTGTCGTGCATGCACTCTGCATGGCAGGTGAGTGTGCTCACTCATGAAGGCGTGATTGTGATGGTGGAGGTCATGGGTCAGGGATTGCCGTCAGTGTGTTAAGATGACGGAACGTGTGAACGAGATACATGCTGCCGCTCCCCTTCCCTTCCTCCTCACCACCTCACACTCTCTTGTTCCACTCCTCAATCCACCCTACTCTCACCCGTGCCCGGGCAGGCTGTTGAAGGTGTGGGGCACATCGCCACCTGCCTCTTGCCAGATGACTGCTCTCTGCTCTGCATGGTGCGTGTGGTAGTGCGTCTAGAGCCGACTTGAACCACGCCTTCACATCGTGTGCATGGTGTATGCAGCATGCAGTATGCTGTACACTATTTGCTGTACTCTGTTTGCCATATCACATTTGCCGTATGCCGTATGCGTATGCTGTATGCCGTATGTGGTATGCGGTATGCCGTATGCGGTACGCAGTACGCTGTACACTGTATGCTGTACGCAGTATGCTGTAAGCTGCATGCTATGCTGTATGCTGTATGCTGTATGTTGTATGTTTCATGCCGCATAATTTATGTTGTAGGCTGCATGCTGTATGCGGCGATGAGACCAGCACCTTGCCATAGTTCTGCCCGCTGAATGTGTGCTCTTCCTAAGATCGCTGCCCTCCTCCGGATACTTCCCCCATCTCCTTGTTCCTGCTCTCTTTCTGTATCTTCCACTTCCCTCTGTTCCCCCGTTCCCCCTCCCCCGTTCCCCCTCCCCCTCCCAGGCACCTGCTTTGCCCTCCCCCTATTGCGGCCTATGTGCTTGGCCCCCCCCTCCCGCCCGGCCGCCCCGCCGCCCCAAGGCCATCTCTTTGAACGTGTGCCGTGACGAGCCCTTCCTGCCTGCTCACCTGCTTCCCCTGTTTCCCTCTTTCTCCCCCCTCCCCTTTCCCCCGTTCCCTACATGTCTCTTTCTCCCCTCCCCCACCCCCCCAGGGCTGACTATGTGCTTGGGCCCCCGTCCTCCCCCCGAGCCCCCAAGGCCATCTCGTCAAATTCGTACTTAAGCTATGCAGAGCCCTTCCTTGCCGCCTATGCGAAGAGAGGGGCAGCGCATTCAAGGGCTGTAGGCGCGACATGGGAGGTGGGGGTAGGAGAGGGAGAGGGGGGAAGGCGAGAGGAGGAGAGCGGGGGAGCAGGGGGAGGGGAGAGCAGTGGGCAGCAGCAGCAGCACAGGGGCCTGCTGGTGTTCTTTCCGGGGATCCCTGGCTGTGCCAAGTCGGCCCTCTCTGAGGCGCTCATGCACACAGGCAGAGGGAAGGAGAGGGATTCGCCTGTGACGGGGGGCAGAGGCAGTGAGAGTGAGAGGGATTCCCTGGTGAAGTCAGGCAGAGGCGGTGAGAGCGGTTCAGCAAGAGAGGGAGGCTTGCTGGAAGCAGTGCCCATTGGTGCAGCAGTGCCCAACGGTGCAGCAGCAACGGATGGCGCGGCAAGAGCAGGGGTTGAAGTGGCATTGCAAGCGGAGGAGGAGGAGGAGGAGGAGGAGGAGGAGGAGGAGGAGGAGGAGGAGGAGGAGGAGGAGGAGGAGGAGGAGGGGTGGCAGAGGGTGGAGAGGGGGAAAGGCAAGGGGAAGGGAGTGAAAGGTGGAGGAGAGGGAGAGAGGGGGGAAGGGGATGGGGGAGGAAGAAGCGGTGAAGGGGAGGGGAGCGGGGTGGGGAGAGGGGAGGTGGAGGGGAGTGGAGGGCCGTTGGGGGATGGGAGGGAATGCCAGCACATCATGGGAGACAAGACGCAAGGTGAGCCCAGCATGGCACACCATGGCGCATCATGGCATACCATGGCATATCATGGCGCATCATGGCGTACCATGGCATATCATGGCGCATCATGGCGTACCATGGCATATCATGGCGCATCATGGCGTACCATGGCATATCATGGCGCATCATGGCGTACCATGGCATATCATGGCGCATCATGGCGTACCATGGCATATCATGGCGCATCATGGCGTACCATGGCATATCATGGCGCATCATGGCGTACCATGGCATATCATGGCGCATCATGGCGTACCATGGCATATCATGGCGCATCATGGCGTACCATGGCATATCATGGCGCATCATGGCGTACCATGGCATATCATGGCGCATCATGGCGTACCATGGCATATCATGGCGCATCATGGCGTACCATGGCATATCATGGCGCATCATGGCGTACCATGGCATATCATGGCGCATCATGGCGTACCATGGCATATCATGGCGCATCATGGCGTACCATGGCATATCATGGCGCATTCCCCTCCTGCCTCTTCCTATCCGCCCCTGCCTCTCCATGCCGAATTCATCTCCCTCTTGCTCTCTGTCCCCCTCCTCGTCCCACGCGCCCCACGTCTCCCGGGCATGCAGGCAAGTACTGGAAGGTGTTGGCCACACGCATGAGGAAGGAGGCGAACGCGAATGTGAATGTAATCGCGGATAAGAACGCCCCCAACGAGGACGTGTGGAGCCAGGTCAGTGCTACCATCTCGTGCACTCATGCGCTCGTGTGCTCAGGTGCCCGTGGTCTCAGGCCACAGTCATGTCATTTTCGAGTCGACTCAAAAGGTGGTTTTTGTAGGTGATTTTTGAGTCGACTAAAAAATCACTTACGTGGTCGCAGGCCGCCGTCATGTCATGGTGTCTTGTTCCCGAGGCACCCAGAAGTCTCTTGGGGGTTTCTTCTCGTTTTCACGTTCCAGAAAGCTCATGTCCCAACCCCGAGGCATGCCCCATGGTTCCTAGAGCCACTGCCATGGCATGCCACGTGCTCCTCACATGCCACGTGCTCCTCACATGCCACGTGCTCCTTACCTGCCACGTGCTCCTCACATTCCACGTGCTCCTCACGTGCCACGTGCTCCTTACCTGCCACGTGCTCCTCACATGCCACGTGCTCCTCACATGCCACGTGCTCCTCACATGCCACGTGCTCCTCACATGCCACGTGCTCCTCACATGCTACGTGCTCCTCACATTCCACGTGCTCCTCACATGCCTCCCTCCGCGCCATGATCCAGGGCACAGGCATGCATGCGTCCCCACCCCTACCCTTGTCTCCCGCCACGTTCCCTCATATCCAGATAGGCACTCACAATCGCCACAACACAGGGCTGAGGCTCTCACCACCTCACGTTCCCACCTCCTGTTGCCCACATCCCGTTCCCCCCGCCCCGTGTTTCTCCTCCAGATCGAGGCCATCTGCCAGGACACAGGACTGCTGGGCGTGCCTGTGGTGCCTGCGTCACTAGGTACGGCCGCTTGGGGGTGGCGGGGTGAAGGGAAGGAGGTGGTGAAGAGGGGGGAAGGAGTGGGGGTGGGTAGGTAGTGATGGTGCGTGAGGATGGAAGAGGCGAAGGAGGCGGTTTGAGATGATGTCGTCAGTACTGCAAGCTTTTCTATCAGCCTGCAAGTTCGCTTCCTTTTCCACCCGGCTGCACCCGTGCAGGCACGAGGCACAACCCATTTGACTGGCGGGTTCTGGCCGTGTTTCTGTTCCGCGTCATTCAGCGCACCAACCACCCCGTGAGATTCCCACCGTCTTTGTGCTAGCCCTGTGGGACGTGGGCAAACCACCCTGGCCTGGGTGTACTTAGCACAGTTGCGAGGCCTGATCGAGTTACCGCATGCTGTTGAGTCCATTACTGCAATTGCTTTCTCCACCTTTTGATGTTGCAGCGTGTGTTTCTCTCCTCACTCCCAACATTCCCTCCTTTAACTCCTCCCCACTCTTTTCCTCGCTCCATGTCCCTGTCCTCCCCTTCTGTAATGAGTCGATTTTTGAGTCGACTAAAAAATCGACTCATTACACACTCAAAAATCGACTCACTACACACTAAAAAATCGACTCACTACACACTCAAAAATCGTCTCATTACACACTCAAAAATCGACTCACTACACACTCAAAAATCGACTCACTACACACTCAAAAATCGACTCACTACACACTAAAAAATCGACTCACTACACACTCAAAAATCGACTCACTACACACTCGTTTCCTCGCTCCATGTCCCTGTCCTCCCCTTCTCGCACGCCACTGCAGCGCAGCCTGTGCTCGTCATCTCTTCCCCTTAAAGCCTTCCCTCTTCTCTCTTTCTCTGCCCTCCGTCAGGGCGATCTGGATGCGGGCTCACCAGCGCCGGGCCAAGTGGTGCTCAACTTCCACTCGCTCTACGGCAGATACGTGAGTCAAGGCACATGTGCTGTGGGTGATTTGCCCATGTGCCACATGCCATGCCATGTGCCGCATGCCATGCCATGTGCCATTCTCCGCAATCGCCTCACACCTCTGATGCCGCCATTGCCTCCTGCCCAGATTCTTCCTGCCTCAACCCTCCCATGCTCCACCCATGCGCACCACCCATGGGCGCACCACCCATGGGCGCACCACCCATGGGCGCATCACCCATGGGCGCATCACCCATGGCCACACCACCCATGGGCGCACCACCCATGGCCACACCACATCAGGACCGGGAGGAGCTAGAGGCGGAGCTGAAGCAGCGCTTTGGCGTGCTCGTCACCATGCCAGTCGTCCACCCACACGCGTGAGTGCTTTTCAGTCGACTCCCAAGGGAGGGGCTTGATGGGGAACTCGAGCAGCGCTTTGGCGTGCTTGTGACCATGCCAGTTGTCAACCCAGATGCGCGAGCGCCCGTGGCCCTTGAGAGGCTTGACTCATGCGATCATCGTGACTCGTGCGATCATCGTGACTCATGCGATCATCGTGACTCATGCGATCATCGTGACTCGTGCAATCATCGTGACTCGTGCCTCAATGCCTTGTTGCCCGATGGCTGGAATGGCTCGACTCCACAAGCTTCCTTGTGTCAATTCTCTCTTGTTGCTCTCCTTGCCCCTTTCACCTGACTCTGCACCTTCCCCCCCAACCCATCACCCCTCCACACATCCCCCCATCCCCCTCTTGAGTCAACTCAAAAGCCGAGGTGACTTTTGAGTCGACTCAAAAGCCGAGGTGACTTTTGAGTCGAATCAAAAGCCGAGGTGACTTTTGAGTCGACTCAAAAGCCGAGGTGATTTTTGAGTCGACTCAAAAGCCGAGGTGACTTTTGAGTCGACTCAAAAGCCGCCAACCCCTCACCCCTCCACACATCCGAGTGAACACCACTTGGGTGCCATTGGAGTGGGAGGGGCGACTCAAAAGTCAACCCCTCACCCCTCCACACATCCCCCCCCACCCCCCTCTTCCAATCCCCCTCCCCCTTGCTCTTCCGTCTCCTCTTATCCCTCTCCTCTCCTTCTTTATCTCCTTCTGCTCCAGCCCTCCATTACCAGATGACATAGCTGCCGTCATCAAGTCAGGGCACAAGCTGCGGGAAGCTACCTGGAAGCGACACAAAAGGTGCGAGTGGGTGGGTTGTGGGGCAAGTGGCGCTGTTCTTGTCTTCCTCTCGAGGGCGTGGCAGAGGCCTTTTCTTGCTCTTGTTTGCACCGCCCTGACCAGGCCCCTTCGCCATGCACGCTTGCGCCACATTTGCTTTCCTCCTCTTCCCCTCGCATCCGTCTCCCTCGTGCGTTCCTCCCATGGCCGCGCCATTGCAGCAAGGAGCCGTTGAAGACGCCCATGAAGGAGCAGGTCGTGGAGTGGGAGGGCGACCTCCGACGTGTGCTGCTCAACCACGCCCACTACCTCGCATCCATCCAGGTAGGCATCAAGCGCGTGCTACTCAACCACGCCCACTACCTCGCATCCATCCAGGTAGGCACCCGCACCCCTGCTACCGTGTTCTTGCGCTCTCGTTATCGCTTCTGTATCGGTGCATGCCACTCTAGGAGGGGGAAGACAACACCAGCTGATTTCTGGCCCTTCACTTCCTTTCCTGTCTGCTCACGCCGTCCTCTCTCTCCCTCAACCATTAGCCCTATCCCTTGCATGCTTGTTTTCCCCTTGTCTCCTCCAGGTGCCATTAGAACAGGTGGTAGCTACAGTCCAAACCCAGCTACACAAGATCGCTACAGGAGAAATCCGCCCACAGATCGCCACCAAGACGAGCTTCCGCAGCATCCGGCTAGCAGCGGTGGTCATTGATGCCGCTGCTGACGTGGCACCAGGTGGTGCTGACGTGTCAACGAACGGGCGGCTGTTGCTGCGGGCGCTAGAGGAGGCAGTGAGATCCGACTCGCGGGCGGCAGCATTCTGGAAGCAGGCGCAAGAGCCCTTGACAAAGAAACTGCAGAAGGGGGGTGGTGGGGATGGGGGGAAGGTTGGAGAGGGGGGGAAGCATGGAGGGGGAAAGGGAGGAGAGCAGACGGTGAATGCGGGTGGCAGCAGGGGGTTGGGGTCGCTGCACGTGACACTGGCGCACAAGCACGAGCACGGTGTGCCGGCAGTGGTGGGGTATGCTCCCATGGAGGGGCGGGAGGTGCGCGTGGCCGCCACAGCGCTGCTGTTTGACGACCACGTGGCGGCGCTGGCGGTGGAGTTCAGGGGAGAGGATGACAGCGGGGAGGAGCACACTGTTCGTTCAATGAACCCTTTTGCGCACATCACGGTGAGCAGCATGCGTGTGTGGTGGGGTATGCTCCCATGGAGGGCAGGGTTGCGAGGGAGGGGACCACAGCGCTGCTGTTTGACGACCACATGGCGGTGCTGGCGGTGAAGCTGGGGGGAGGGGATGGGAGTGATGGAAATGATGGGGGGGAGGAGGAGGGGATGGTTCGATCGCTGAATCATTTCACTCACATTACTGTAAGCAGCATGCATGTATTTGTGAACAGTCAGGGTTTTGCATGCCTCTGTGCACCACCACCCATGCGCATCCACCAACAGGTATCATCTCCCGCTCACATTCTGTCCCGTGGCAAGGCGTGTTCTTGCCCCCCCCAGTATGACCATGAGACAGCAGGCGGTGTAGCGTCTGGCTTTAGTGTGAACTGTCAGCTCCTGCTATCTCCATCCATTTTCCTCAGCAATGTGTTTCCACGTGGGTTCCCCTGTCATCCATTCAGTGCGATTCCCGTTGTTCCCCTAGCTGGATATGCCCCTCCATGCCTCTGTATGGTCTCTTGTCTCTTGCCCACCCTTCCCCCCCCTTCAAATTCCCACTCCCCCCCGTGCAAGCAGATATGGCAGGCAGAGGGAGCGAAGGCGGTGCAATCGCTTGACCTAACCAGTGCAGTGGAGCAAGGTAAGGCCACACGTGTGGCCTTCCCAACGCCAGTAGAGCTGGCAGGAACAGTAAAATTGATATGAATAAAATGCTATCTTGCCTTGAGTGGCTAAATGAATAGTTCGTGTAGCAAGTCGGCTCTCAAGAATCACTAACACTTCAATAAAATATTGGAAAATAGAATATTATATATTACCGTAGGCATGTCAGCAGCGCACTGCTATCGAAGCAGTACAGTAAACACACACAGCACGCTAGCCGGATAGTGCAGCTCGTCAGTAATGCAGCATTTTCGCTCACAGCAGCAGCAGGCTATTCTGATGCGCGCGCACCGCCGCAACCCCATCCCGTCTCCGCCGCCACCGCGTCCCCCGAGCGTTCTATCGCAACTTTCCCCGTCCCCGGCCCTTCCCCGCGCGCGTCGGTTCTATTAGTTCCGCTAAGACTCTTGTCGCCCGCTGTAACGCGGTTTCTGCAGCGTTGTGCGCAGCCTCCGCGTGTTCTGAGCTTCCGCGTGCTCTGCCCGCCCGCGGGCATGCAGGGGAACGAGGGCGGGGAGGGGCCGTCGGGGGGAGGCGGGGGGGCTGGGCGCGCGAAGGGGAAAGCGACGGCTGAGGAGTTTGGCGGGTCGAAGAAAAAGGCGGGAATCTTCCTGAGAGAGCGTAAGTGCGCGGAGCGGAGGGGCTCTTGGGGGGAAGGGGAAAGGAGGGCGGGGGGGAAGGGGAAAGGAGGGCGGGGGGAAGAGGAAAGGAGGGCGGGGGGGAAGGGGAAAGGAGGGTGGGGGGAATAATCTTGGTACCTGCTTGGCAGAATTCCCCCCCACGTCACTGTGCTCGCCTCGCCCACACACGGCTTTGTTGAACGCGCGTTTTTGCATTGGTGGTGCTCTCATGTGGCTCCTATGTGCGCCCATGAATATCGATGCACGGCCCATGAATATCGATGCACGGCCCATGAATATCGATGCACGGCCCATGAATATCGATGCACGGCCCATGATCCTAATGACTCTCTTGCTTGCGTGTGCGGCTCTGGCAGTGCGGCTCATGATGTACGGCTTCGGGGATGATCCCGAGGTGAGCGCGCGCTGCTGTGGGGGGTAATCCCGAGGTGAGCTCCTGCTCTTGCTGCTGTTGCTGTGAGGTATCGTGGCCACGGAATCTAGTGCTGCAAGCTTCTGACTTCTCATCGCCATTCCATCCACCGCACCATCACCCATGGCGGCATGTGAGCACCAGGCAGTAGCAGAGTGGGTGGAGCTAGTAGAGGAACCAGGCAGCGAGTGCAGTGCGTCGCTGACATGCTGCACCGCGCTCGCCCTCTTGCTCCCCTTCCCCTCTGCCCCCCTCGCCCTCTCGCTCCCCTCCCCCCCTCTCGCCCTCAACACACGAATCAATGCACGCACCACCCTCTCTCCACGCACCACCCTCTCTCCACGCACCACCCTCTCTCCACGCACCACCCTCTCTCCACGCACCACTCGCACGAGCCCTACCAGAGTCCGTTGAGTTGGTGGAGGAGATCGCCATGGGGTACATGGGGTACATGGGGTACATAGGGTACATGGGGTACATGGGGTACATGGGGTACATGGGGTAGTTGGGGTACATGGGGTAGTTGGGGTACATCGGGTACATGGGGTACTTGGGGTGCATGGGGTACATGGGGTGCATGGGGTACATGGGGTGCATGGGGTACATGGGGTGCATGGGGTACATGGGGTGCATGGGGTACATGGGGTGCATGGGGTACATGGGGTGCATGGGGTACATGGGGTGCATGGGGTACATGGGGTGCATGGGGTACATGGGGTGCATGGGGTACATGGGGTGCATGGGGTACATGGGGTGCATGGGGTACATGGGGTGCATGGGGTACATGGGGTGCATGGGGTACATGGGGTACATGGGGGTACATGGGGTGCATGGGGTACATGGGGTACATGGGGGTACATGGGGTGCATGGGGTGCATGGGGTACATGGGGTGCATGGGGTAGTTGGGGTACATGGGGTAGTTGGGGTACATGGGGTACTTGGGGTACATCGGGTACATGGGGTACATGGGGTGCATGGGGGTACATGGGGTGCATGGGGTACATGGGGTGCATGGGGTACATGGGGTGCATGGGGTACATGGGGTGCATGGGGTACTTGGCGTACATCGGGTACATGGGGTACATGGGGTGCATGGGGTACATGGGGTACATGGGGTGCATGGGGTACATGGGGTGCATGGGGTACATGGGGTGCATGGGGTACATGGGGTGCATGGGGTACATGGGGTACATGGGGGTACATGGGGTGCATGGGGTACATGGGGTACTTGGGGTACATCGGGTACATGGGGTACATGGGGTGCATGGGGTACATGGGGTGCATGGGGTACATGGGGTGCATGGGGTACATGGGGTGCATGGGGTACATGGGGTGCATGGGGTACATGGGGTGCATGGGGTACATGGGGTACATGGGGTACATGGGGTGCATGGGGTACATGGGGTGCATGGGGTACATGGGGTGCATGGGGTACATGGGGTGCATGGGGTGCATGGGGTGCATGGGGTACATGGGGTGCATGGGGTACATGGGGTGCATGGGGTACATGGGGTGCATGGGGTACATGGGGTACATGGGGTACATGGGGTGCATGGGGTACATGGGGTACATGGGGTACATGGGGTACATGGGGTACATGGGGTACATGGGGTACATGGGGTACATGGGGTACATGGGGTACATGGGGTACATGGGGTACATGGGGTACATGGGGTACATGGGGTACATGGGGTACTTGGGGTACATCGGGTACATGGGGTACATGGGGTGCATGGGGTACATGGGGTGCATGGGGTACATGGGGTACATGGGGTAGTTGGGGTACATGGGGTACTTGGGATACATCGGGTACATGGGGTACATGGGGTGCATGGGGTGCATGGGGTACATGGGGTACATGGGGTAGTTGGGGTACATGGGGTAGTTGGGGTACATGGGGTGCATGGGGTACATGGGGTACATGGGGTAGTTGGGGTACATGGGGTACTTGGGGTACATCGGGTACATGGGGTACATGGGGTGCATGGGGGTACATGGGGTGCATGGGGTACATGGGGTGCATGGGGTACATGGGGTGCATGGGGTACATGGGGTGCATGGGGTACATGGGGTACATGGGGGTACATGGGGTGCATTGGGTACATGGGGTGCATGGGGTACATGGGGTACATGGGGTACATGGGGTGCATGGGGTACATGGGGTACATGGGTACATGGGGGTACATGGGGTGCATGGGGTGCATGGGGTGCATGGGGTGCATCACTGACATGGTGCACGGCGCACAGGAGCACAGCACACCCTCTTCTTTTCTCTCCTGACCCGGTCCATGCGCGCTCACTTGCATGCCATCAGCCCCTGCCAGAGTCACTTGCATGCCATCAGCCCCTGCCAGAGTCACTTGCATGCCATCAGCCCCTGCCAGAGTCACTTGCATGCCATCAGCCCCTGCCAGAGTCACTTGCATGCCATCAGCCCCTGCCAGAGTCACTTGCATGCCATCAGCCCCTGCCAGAGTCACTTGCATGCCATCAGCCCCTGCCAGAGTCACTTGCATGCCATCAGCCCCTGCCAGAGTCACTTGCATGCCATCAGCCCCTGCCAGAGTCACTTGCATGCCATCAGCCCCTGCCAGAGTCACTTGCATGCCATCAGTCCCTGCCAGAGTCAGTCGAATTGGTGGAGGAGACAGCCATCGAGTTCGTCACGGACATGGTGCTCCGTCCCTCCCTGCCCGCCATGCACATCCCATGCCATCTTTTCACATCATCCCATCATCAGCCCCTACCGGAGATAACCATGGAGCTGGTGGGGGAGATAACCATGGAGTACGTCACGGACATGGTGCACGGCGCAGAGCAGACTCCCGTCTTCCCTCTCTCTCTTCCTGTGCCTTGCAATCCAATGCACCACTCACACCAGCCCCTGCCAGAGTCAGTGGAGCTGGTGGAGGAGATCGCCATCGAGTACATCACGGACATGGTGCACCGCGCTCAGGAGGTGGCGGCGAGGCGGGGCCGACTCACCACTGAAGACGTGCTCTTTCTGATCCGCAAGGTGCTCTCGCTCACCCATGCCTCTCACTCATCCCTCTCACTCATCCCTCTCACTCATCCTCCCTCACTCATCCTCCCTCACTTCCTGGCCTCCTCCCTCACTCGTCGTCTCCTATTGATCGCCTTCCCAACTGCCTTTTAAGCCCTTGGCTGAAATGGCAAACCCTATTCAAGTTGGACCCAGCTTGAACAGGAAAGGGGACTTGGTTTGAAGAAGAGTTGGGGTTTTCCTTTTTGGGCAGCTGGCTATGTTCGAAATAGATTCGGAAGCAGTTTGGGCAGTTTGTGAAAGGTTTCCCATTCGGAGCGGAACCACTGTTCACTTGCGAGTGTTTCGACGATCTTGCTCGCCGTACAGCTCGCGAGGTGTCGCACTGTTTCTGAACCCCCTGTGAAACCCGAGAAGCAAACCTGGTCCCAACTTGAAAATCGAGTCAGGTTCCAGGGAAAAACGTTTTGAGGCGCCTCAAAACTAGGTTCCAGGGAAAAATATCGCCCATGCGATCCCTTCTGACACGCGAGTCGCGAGCGCGTCAGAAGTGTCGTACTGTGCATTTCGCTCAGCTGATTGTTGCGTCAGCCAATCATAATCGAGCAATCTTTTTCAGACTCCCTTTCATCTGAAATTCACAACAGTAGTTCTGGTCAGTCATCCTATACTTGGACGGATTCTAGAAGGCAAATGTTCAAGTTGGGCCCACCTTTGCTGTTATAGCCTGGGGCTTTAAAATGTACCCACATTGCTGCTCCATGCCTTTCCCACAGTCCCACGTTTCTCCCCTCTCTGCGCTACCCCGTACATGAACGTGCTGTGTGCATCTCCTGGTATCCTCGTTATTGCAGGACCCACGCAAGTTTGCTAGGGCCAAGGAGCTGCTGGCAATGAATGTGGAGCTAAAGGAGGCGCGAAAGGCCTTTCAAGAGGAGCAGTAGCGGCCGCTGCACACAACCAACTGCCGCTCTCCTTGCGTCTCTTGGCTTGACTCTCGCCTAATCAGTCATGCCACACGCAGACTACTGGTACCTCTTTTTGAGGCGCCTAAAAAATCCTCTTTTCTGCTACAAGAAAGGAAGGGGTGGAAGGCTCGACTCAAACAAGGCAACACTCCCTGTACAGGAACGTAGCGCCCTAGTTACAGGTGAAATATTTTACACATGGTAATATCTAAAATCTTAGCCGCCATGTAGTGTGGAAATAAACGTGACTCTATCGCCGTCTTCTACTGTAGACTCGAGGTTGCCTGTAAGCTCCCAGTCTGTGTCATTTATTAGCACCAGCACGCCCGGTCTCCTGCACAAAAAATATTAATTACACAATCGATCGAAAGCAACCAAACGAGGGATGGGGGGAGGGTGGGGTGGGATGTTCGGCACGAGAAAGTGAGAAGCTGGAATGCAAGGGGGCAGGGTTGGGGTTGGGGGGCACCAGGCTGCTGAACCCAGGCTGGTGGAGGAAGAGAAGGGCAAAGAGACTGCGGAGGGCGCTATAGAAAGCGACAGTCTGTGCAGGGTAGGGTGAGTGGCGGAGGTGAGAAACATGGCACACTGCTGCACTGCACATGTGTCTGCTTTTGAGTCAACTCGAAAACACATGTTGAGCACCGGGACTCACACAGTGATTCCTTTGAGAATGAACATCTATGGTCACTCCTGAAGAGTTTCCCGGGCATCCATCCGCACCAGCAGTGAGCCGTGGGGTACAGAGCGCGGGATATCACCTTGGAGTGCTTATAACAAATGTGACTCACACGGTGTCTCCCTTGAGGAACATCTCTGGTCGTTCTTTGAGCATGTTGTCCCGCATCCACACAAGCAGTGGCGCCATGGACAGCTGCCATGGGGGTTGGGGGGAGAGATGGCATGGGCTTGAGTGGTCGACCCTTGAGCAGGTTGCCTCTCACCCTCGCCAGCAGTGGCGACATGCATGGCTGGCATGGGGAGTGAGAGGAGAGATGGCATGGGGTGGAGGGGTCAGTCCGTGAGCATGCTGTGCTCCGTCAATGCCAGCAGCGGTGCCATGCATGGCTGGCATGGGGTGGGGGAAGAGGAAGCGCATGGAGGTGCGTTGATTAGGGACCGGACACGGGGTTAGGAGACGGGGGAGAGGAGCGGGGGAGAGGAGACGGGGGAGAGGAGACGGGGGAGAGGAGACGGGGGAGAGGAGGCGGGGGAGAGGAGGGGGGAGAGGAGACGGGGGAGAGGAGGCGGGAGAAGGCGGGGGAGCGGGAGAGGAGGCGGGGAGAGGAGGCGGGGAAGAGGAGACGGGGGAGAGGAGACGGGGGAGAGGAGGGGGGAGAGGAGGTGGGGAGAGGAGGCGGGGAGAGGAGACGGGGGAGAGGAGGGGGGAGAGGAGGCGGGGGAGAGGAGGCGGGGGAGAGGAGACGGGGGAGAGGAGGCGGGGGAGAGGAGGCGGGGGAGAGGAGGCGGGGGAGAGGAGACGGGGGAGAGGAGACGGGGAAGAGGAGGCGGGGGAGAGGAGGCGGGGAGAGGAGGCGGGGGAGAGGAGGCGGGGGAGAGGAGGCGGGGGAGAGGAGGCGGGGGAGAGGAGGCGGGGGAGAGGAGACGGGGGAGGAGGCTGGGGAGAGGAGGCGGGGGAGAGGAGGCGGGGGAGAGGAGGCGGGGGAGAGGAGGCGGGGGAGAGGAGGCGGGGGAGAGGAGGCGGGGAAGAGGAGCGGGGGAGAGGCGGGGAGAGGAGGCGGGGGAGGAGGGGGGAGAGGAGGCGGGGGAGAGGAGCGGGGGAGAGGAGCGGGGGAGAGGAGGCGGGGGAGAGGAGGCGGGGGAGAGGAGGCGGGGGAGAGGAGGCGGGGGAGGAGGGGGGGAGGAGCGGGGGAGAGGAGGCGGGGGAGAGGAGGCGGGGGAGAGGAGGCGGGGGAGGGGGGGGAGAGGAGGCGGGGGGGGGGGAGAGGAGGCGGGGGAGAGGAGGCGGGGGAGAGGAGGCGGGGGAGAGGAGCGGGGGAGAGGAGGCGGGGGAGAGGAGGCGGGGGAGAGGAGGCGGGGGAGAGGAGGCGGGGGAGAGGAGGCGGGGGAGAGGAGGCGGGGAGAGGAGGCGGGGGAGAGGAGGCGGGGGAGAGGAGGCGGGGGAGAGGAGGCGGGGGGGAGGGGGAGAGGAGGCGGGGGAGAGGAGGCGGGGGAGAGGAGGCGGGGGAGAGGAGGCGGGGGAGAGGAGGCGGGGGAGAGGAGGCGGGGGAGAGGAGGCGGGGGAGAGGAGGCGGGGGAGGGAGGGGGGGAGAGGAGGCGGGGGAGAGGAGGCGGGGGAGAGGAGGCGGGGGAGAGGAGGCGGGGGAGAGGAGGCGGGGGAGAGGAGAGGGGGGGGGGGGGGGGGGAGAGGAGCGGGGGAGAGGAGGCGGGGGAGAGGAGGCGGGGGGGGGGGGGGAGAGGAGGCGGGGGAGAGGAGGCGGGGGAGAGGAGGCGGGGGAGAGGAGGCGGGGGAGAGGAGGCGGGGGAGAGGAGGGGGGAGAGGAGCGGGGGAGAGGAGGCGGGGGAGAGGAGGCGGGGGAGAGGAGGCGGGGGAGAGGAGGCGGGGGAGAGGAGGCGGGGGAGAGGAGACGGGGGAGAGGAGACGGGGGAGAGGAGGCGGGGGAGAGGAGGCGGGGGAGAGGAGGCGGGGGAGAGGAGGCGGGGGAGAGGAGCGGGGGAGAGGAGGCGGGGGAGAGGAGGCGGGGGAGAGGAGGCGGGGGAGAGGAGGCGGGGGAGAGGAGGCGGGGGAGAGGAGGCGGGGAGAGGAGCGGGGAGAGGAGGCGGGGGAGAGGAGGCGGGGGAGAGGAGGCGGGGAGAGGAGGCGGGGGAGAGGAGGCGGGGGAGAGGAGGCGGGGAGAGGAGGCGGGGGAGAGGAGGCGGGGAGAGGAGGCGGGGGAGAGGAGGCGGGGGAGAGGAGCGGGGGAGAGGAGGCGGGGGAGAGGAGGCGGGGGAGAGGAGGCGGGGGAGAGGAGGCGGGGAGAGGAGGCGGGGGAGAGGAGGCGGGGGAGAGGAGGCGGGGGAGAGGAGGCGGGGAGAGGAGGCGGGGAGAGGAGACGGGGGAGAGGAGGCGGGGAGAGGAGGCGGGGGAGAGGAGGCGGGGGAGAGGAGGCGGGGAGAGGAGGCGGGGGAGAGGAGGCGGGGGAGAGGAGACGGGGGAGAGGAGGCGGGGGAGAGGAGGCGGGGGAGAGGAGGCGGGGGAGAGGAGGGGGGGGGGGGGGGGAGAGGAGCGGGGGAGAGGAGACGGGGGAGAGGAGGCGGGGGAGAGGAGGCGGGGGAGAGGAGGCGGGGGAGAGGAGGCGGGGAGAGGAGGCGGGGGAGAGGAGGCGGGGGAGAGGAGGCGGGGGAGAGGAGGCGGGGGAGAGGAGGCGGGGGAGAGGAGGCGGGGGGGGGGGGGAGAGGAGGCGGGGGAGAGGAGGCGGGGGAGAGGAGGCGGGGGAGAGGAGGCGGGGGGAGAGGAGGCGGGGGAGAGGAGGCGGGGGAGAGGAGGCGGGGGAGAGGAGGCGGGGGAGAGGAGGCGGGGGAGAGGAGGCGGGGGAGAGGAGGCGGGGGAGAGGAGGCGGGGGAGAGGAGGCGGGGGAGAGGAGGCGGGGGAGAGGAGGCGGGGGAGAGGAGGCGGGGGGAGAGGAGGCGGGGGAGAGGAGGCGGGGGAGAGGAGGCGGGGGAGAGGAGGCGGGGGAGAGGAGGCGGGGGAGAGGAGCGGGGGAGAGGAGGCGGGGAGAGGAGGCGGGGGGGGGGGGGGGGGGGGGGGGGGGGGGGGGGGGGGGGAGAGGAGGCGGGGGAGAGGAGGCGGGGGAGAGGAGGCGGGGGAGAGGAGGCGGGGGAGAGGAGGCGGGGGAGAGGAGGCGGGGGAGAGGAGGCGGGGGAGAGGAGGCGGGGGAGAGGAGGCGGGGGAGAGGAGGCGGGGGAGAGGAGGCGGGGGAGAGGAGGCGGGGGAGAGGAGGCGGGGGAGAGGAGGCGGGGGAGAGGATGGGTAGAGAGTGAGATGAAACTGCGACTTGGCAGAGCCTAAGAGAGGTCTGAGGTAAATGGGATGGGATGTGAGTGGGTGTGACCGTACGCCGATAAGCTTTGCGGCATGATGAAACAGAATGTATATGAGCATGAGCATGTATGCGGGGAGGCGGGGGAGAGGATGGATGGAGGGATGGAGGGTGGTGCGGCAGAAAAGAAAGAGACGGGATGCGAATGGGGGCGGTGGGGCGGTGGATTTTGGAAGGAACTGAGGCGGATGCGATGGCATGTGGATGTGAGCGGGTGGATCGCACATCGATGTGTGTGATGTGATGTGACGTGAGGGCATAATAGAACAGAATGCGTGGGACCATGTGTGAGCGTATGTGATCACTGTTCAACCATTCCCACACCAGCTCACCTTCCCCCAGTACAGTCACACCCCACCTGCTCACCTTCCCCCGCTACAGTCACATCCCACCTGCTCATCCTCCCCCGTTGCAGTGGCACCCCACCTGCTTTCCTCTCCCGCTACAGTCACACCCCACCTGGTCATCCTCCCCCGCCACTGTCACATCGACGCTGTGCTTCTTCTCTCCGCCGAACAGCAGCTCCAGGCCTCCGCTGAGGGATGGGGACGGGGGCAGAGGTGGAGAAGGGGGAAGCGGGAAGCGGGAAGCGGGAAGGGGGAAGGGGGAGGGGGGAAGGGGGAAGAATCGGGAAGCGAGTAACGGGGAGAGGGAAGTGGGTAGGGGGAAGAATTGGGCAGCGGGCAGCGGGAAGCGGGAAGCGGGAAGTGGGCAACGGGCAGCGGGCAGCGGGAAGCGGGAAGCAGGCAGCGGGCAGCGGGCAGCGGGAAGCGGGAAGCGGGCAGCTTGCAGCGGGCAGAGGGCAGCGGGCAGAGGGCAGCGGGCAGCGGGCAGCGGGCAGCCAGGAAGCGGGAAGCGGGCAACGGGCAGCGGGCAGCGGGCAGCGGGCAGCGGGAAGCGGGAAGCGGGAAGCGGGCAGCGGGCAGCGGGCAGCGGGCAGCGGGCAGCGGGCAGCGGGAAGCGGACAGCGAGCAGCGGCAAGTGGGAATCGGGCAGCGGGAAGCGGGCAGCGGGAAGCGGGCAGCGGGCAGCGGGCAGCGGGCAGCGGGAAGAGGGCAGAGGGCAGCGGGAAGGGGGAGAGGGGGGACGGGGGTTTGGTGGGGGGACGGGAGAGGCCTTGAGGAGAGGTGGAGCAACGACGGCGCAAGACGGCCGCTTCATGAGGTGAGGTGACTGGATAACCGAGCGGGACTAGCGGCGACCCACCTAAACTCGATCTGCAGCTGCACCATGCGGCCAGTCCGCGACGGACTAGCGGCGACTGGACTACGCGTCACAAGCGCCTACTACTCTGCAGCGCACGGGTGAGCCTGTTCAGTACGGTCGATGATCTCAGTCGCGTTTTAAGGCGGACTGCTCGCGCAGGCGGAAATACGGCGCGTCCTTTTCCTACAACCACCTAATAATAGAATCCTCCGGATTCTGCGCTAGGGAGGGTCACAACGGCGCGAGAGAGTTGTGGGCTTGGTTGGAAGGAAGGGATGTCGCGGGAACACAGCAGACGAGTATTGGCGTTGCAGGCATTGGAGCCAGAGGCGAAGCCGATAAATCTCGAAACACCCTGTGCAAACACTGTACAATACAATTATCGCATTTCATGAAGGTTTACGCAGCTTACAAATTCACCGCGATGAAGTTAATAGGGAGACATTACCACACTCAATTTGCTGGTGAGCATGAATGCCCACAGCCTTGCTGCTCCACTGTCGTCAGAAATTGTCGTTTGGATCGCCTTATGCCGTCGCACGCCATGTCGCATGCACCATGCGCGTGCATCCTCCCCTCCCCCGTGAGCCCCCGTTCGCGGGCGATTTCCGCAGCACCGAACCTCTGCGATTGGCACAGGGCATCTAGAGCTCCGCCAAGCGCCCCTCCAGCTCCGCCGATCGCCTTGCGGAGGCGGGATCTGGGGGGGCTCCGCGGAGCTTTCCCGCGCCCGTTCTCCGCCGGGGAAGCATCCGGCGTAGGTGGGCTCTTGGCAGCGCGCGGAGCTTTTCTGCGCGGAGGTGCCGCGCGGAGAGGGCCGTCACCCCCGCGATCGCTGGGGGCGCGGGGGAGCGGGGGAATGCACGGGGGGATGCGGAGGCGGAAACGACGAGTGTGGTCGCGGCGGGGAGAGGAGGAGGGGGACGAGGGGAGGGGGAAGGGCGGAGAGGAGAGAGCCAAGGATGTCGATACGCTGAGAGGGGTGTTTGTGTGGCGAGGTGTGAGAGGGGGGGAGGAGGGGGGAGCGAGAGACAAAGGGAAGGCGGAAAGAGAGGCAGAGAGAGGAGCGGAGAGAGAGGGGGGTGGGGAGGGGGGTGAAAGGGAGAGACGAAGGAGGCAGAACGAAAAGCAGGATGCACAGGGGAGCAGGAGGGACGTGCCGAGGAGTCAAAAGGCAAGCTCGAGGGGGAGACAGAGCAAGAGAGATGCGAGAGAAGGGAAGGAGGAGGAAGAATCTGGGCCGTCTGCATTGGCAGGGAAGGCTACAGCAGGGGAGGGGGAGAAGGCGCTAGGAGTGAGAGAGAGGCTTAGGAGGGCGGTGGAGAATGGGCCAGGGGATCTGGTGGGTGTGGTGACAGAATCCGTTATAGATACAGTGAAGGACGTGACTGATTCTGTGACGGAATCCGTTATAGATACTGTCATGGACGTGAAGGATACAGTGAAGGACGTCAAGGATAGCGTGGAGGAGACTATAAAGAGTACAGTGGGGGATGTTACTGAAACAGTGAAAGAGACAGTGAAGGGCACTGTAAAGGACGTGACAGAAACGGTGGCTCAGGTGGGGGGGGCTGTTTTGGAACAAGCGAGAGGAGAGAGGAGAGAGGAGGAAGAGGAGGAGGAAGAGGAGGATTTGAGTCCTATGAGGATGCTGCTAGGGGTGGAGGAGGAGAGAGGGAGAAAGGCACAAGCGAACCTGGGGATAATCCAGCACCGCCCCTCCATAGTGTCTCTTCTCTACAACCTCTACTCTCACATGCTCAAGCAACCCCCTCTCGTCTTCGTCCTTGCAGTCTGCTCCGCCCCGGTGCTCCTCTCCCTCCTCTTCACGCTCTTTTATCTCCCGGACCTGGATGGCTTGGTGGTGGAGGACACGCTCCTAGCCTACCTCCAGAGCTCCGTGGCAGCTTCGGCAGCCAGTGCGCTGGAGGACGAGTCCTTCTTTGCGGCTCCGGCCATGGCTGCTGCATCCGAGCTAGCAACGCTCTCAGCAGCCGCTGGGCCCGGAGAAGCAGCAGCAGCAGCAGCAGCAGCAGGAGGAGGGGCAGGAGGGGCAGCAGGAGCGGTGGTTACAGGGATTGCACACACAGCAGCAGGGCTCAGAGCGCCCGCCACAGCAGCAGCGGCGGCGGCAGCAGCAAAAGAGGCGGCGTCGGGCGGCCTATTCAACGTGGTGGAGGGCTCTCAGACGCTCAAGGACGCAGTGAGAGCCCTCGAAGAGTCCAACCTGTTCCGTGTGGGGCCAGCAGGGCTCATCCCTGGGGGCTGCGCGTGGGGCATCTTCCAGGTGCTCATGTTCTCCCTCTCTCTCTCCACGGGGCTGGAGCCAGCACTTGCACCCGCCTCCCCCTACGCTCTGGTGGTGGCGAATGTGAACGCGCTGGTGGCGCAGCTGCTGTTTGTGTTTCTCAGCGGGGCTGTGTTCGCGCGCCTCACTCAACCCGTGGATCCGATCCTCTGCTCCAAGGTGGCCTGCATCACGCCTGTCCTCCAGCAGCAGCAGCAGCAGCCGAGTAGGCCGGGCCCCCGTGGGGGGGAGTCGCTGCCTGCTCGCTTCCCTCGGGCCGCGCGTTCTCTCTCCCGCAGCATCAGCAGCGCCAACTTCAGCGGCAGCGCCGCTTTCGCTGCTGCAGCAGCAGCAGGAGGAGGTGGAATTGGGGGGGTAGGAGCAAGAGGAGGGGAAGGAGAGGGGTTCTCTGCCGGTGGTGGCGTGATTGGGTCTGGGAGGGGGGGGCAGAAGGAATGTGAGCGCATGCTCCTGGTGCGGTACGTGCTGGCGGGCCCGCAGCCGTGCGAGCTGGTGGACGTGAAGGTGGAGCTCACCCTCAAGCACAACACGCTCTCCTGCACCGGGAGATTTTTTCGACAAGTCGACCACCTCAAGCTGGTAATGATGGTGCTTATAGGGAGTACGGTTGTGTTTATAGGGAGTATGTGCTGGGCGCAGGTGAGTTGTGCTGGGCGCAGGTGAGTTGTGGTGGGGTGGTGCTTATAGGGAGTATGGTGTGTGGAGGCCTGAGCCGTGAACCCCCTCTTGTTTTCTAATCCCCACATCACAGCTGCGCTTTGCGGACTCGTACAAACAGTATGGCATGATGGTGCGCCACATGATGGTGTTGATGGGTGTTGATGGGTGTTGATGGGTGTTGATGGGTGTTGATGGGTGTTGATGGGGGTTGATGGGTGTTGATGGGTGTTGATGGGTGTTGATGGGTGTTGATGGGTGGGGGTGTTGATGGGTGTTGATGGGTGTTGATGGGTGTTGATGGGTGTTGATGGGTGTTGATGGGTGTTGATGGGGTGTTGTGTTGATGGGTGTTGATGGGTGTTGATGGGTGTTGATGGGTGTTGATGGGTGTTGATGGGTGTTGATGGGTGTTGATGGGTGTGGGTGTTGATGGGTGTTGATGGGTGTTGATGGGTGTTGATGGGTTTGATGGGTGTTGGTGGGTTTGATGGGGTTGATGGGTGTTGATGGGTGTTGATGGGTGCTGATGGGTGGGTTGATGGGGTTGATGGGGCTGATGGGTTTGATGGGGGTTGATGGATGTTGATGGGTGTTGATGGGTGTTGATGGGGTTGATGGGGTTGATGGGGTTGATGGGGTTGATGGGGTTGATGGGGTTGATGAGTGATGATGGTGTTTCTCAAGTGTTGCGTGCGCTGCTGTCTGTCTGTCTGTACCTTCCAGGTGCGCTCGGAGGACTCATACCAGCGGTACGGCATGACGGTGCGCCACCTGATAGACGAGTCGAGCCCGCTCTATGGGCGCTCCAGGGAGGATCTGCTCCTCGTCAACGCCCAGCTCAGCCTGGCCGTGGTGAGTCAACAAGAGTCAACCAGAGCCAACCAGAGCCAACCAGCGTCAACACTGGTCAGGACCTGTGCCTCGTCAACATGCAGCTCAGCCTGGCTGTAGTGGGACAACATGGTCAACAGAGTCAACGCACGTCAAATGTCATGGCGTGTGATGGTGGTCATGTGTGCTGTGTTTTCTTCCCCAATTCGCCCCATGAATCCATGATGCCTCATCCCCTCCATTCATCTCTCCCCACTTCTCACATCTCCCTCCCTCGTGTGCAAGCGGTGTCGTTACCTTGCCTCCTTCCATCTGCCCTTGTTTGCTGTTGGCTGACGACACACCCCCCCCCCCCCTATTCCACTCCTAACATCAGATCGGCATGGAGCGGGCGTCCATGCAGCCAGTCTTTCACGTGGAGGATTACTTTGTGGCGGATGAAGACATCATATGGAATGCTGATTTCGAGGATATGGTGTATCGTGATAAAAGTAATCGGCTACTAGTGGATCACAGGAAGATCAGCAACTGGGTAGCTGTCGAGCTGTGAGGGAAGTTCCACCTGTACAGGAGGCATGTAGTGTAGCATGGAGGTCAAACAAAACCCTTGGCACATTGCCATGTCTTACCATTATTTTGTGATCAGGTGTCAACAGTATGGCATGATGGCGCGCCACATGATGGTCAGTTTTGTGACAGTTATGTCCTCCAGTTATGACGGCCAGCTGCTGCACTCCGCACCATCATAGCCTGAGCAGTTGGTGGATGCCTTCTGCTTCATTCTGAATGTGTATGCTTGTTTTGGTCAAGCATCTACCCGACGGGCAGCAGGCTTCAGAGCAATGCATAGTCGAAGCCATCTTGCTAGAGGGCATTAGTCACGACGCTTTACAAATGCACAGCGCCAACTGTGCAAACTAGTCACAGATCCATCACCCTGTGAAACATCCCATAAATACCCCAACCTAAGAGCCGAGCCTAGCCTAGGGCTGGAAGTTGCTGTCCAGGAAGCCATTCTCGACCAGAACCTGCTCCCGCTTGGCCTTGTCGAGATCCGAGTCCACCATCATGGCCACCAGCTTCTTGAAGTCCACCTCGGGCTTCCACCCAAGCTTTTCCCGGGCCTTGGCGGAGGATCCGCGCAGGTTGTCCACCTCGGATGGGCGGAAGTAGCGGGGGTCGATCTCGACGTACTCCTTCCAGTCGAGGTCGACGTAGCCGAAGGCGGCGATGAGGAACTGCTCCACGGTGAACGACTCCTCAGTGGCCAGCACGTAGTCGTCGGGCTGCTCCTGCTGGAGCATCAGCCACATACCCTGTAAAAGCAACAACGTAAGATTGCACGCATGACCAGTTGCATTAGGTTTTGTTCGCTCAAGCACAGGAGAGGTGTTAATTGACATTTCTAGTGATTTATGTGTTGTAAAACCGGGCCGGAGAGGGATGTGCAAAGAAGAGGACGCGGAAGAGGGAGAAGAGGAAGAGGAAGACGCAGTTGGGTGAATACTTAGAGCGAGTATCAGTTGCTCGATCTGGAAGAGAGGGAATCTAAGGCATTTAAAAAGTCTTACCTTGACGTAATCGCCGGCGAAACCCCAATCACGAGACGCCTTCAGGTTGCCGAGGTACAGCTTCTTTTGAAGCCCAACCTTGATACGACCAACAGCGCGGGTAATCTTCCTCGTCACGAAGTTCTCACCACGCCTCGGGCTCTCGTGGTTGAAGAGAATACCGTTGCAGGTGAACATGCCGTAAGCCTCGCGGTAGTTCACGGTGTACCAGTGAGCGGCCACCTTGGACACGGCATAAGGAGAACGGGGGTGGAAGAGGGTCTTCTCGTCTTGAGGAGGGGGGGTAGCACCGAACATTTCTGAAGATCCAGCCTGGTAGTACTTCACAGAGCGTCCAGAGTTCTCAATGTGGTTGCGGACAGCCTCGAGCAACCGAAGAGCTCCCGTAGCGACGACATCGGCAGTGTACTCGGGGTTCTCGAAGGAAACACCGACGTGGGACTGAGCACCGAGATTGAAGACCTCATCAGGCTTAATCTGGTCAATCCAGTGACGAAGAGCGGTAGCGTCGGACAGATCACCGTAGTGGAGCTTCAGCTTGGCCGAAGACACGTGAGGATCGCGGTAGATGTGGTCAAGACGCTGGGTGTTGAAGTTGGAGGAACGACGGATAATACCGTGGACTTCGTAGCCCTTGGAGAGCAGGAATTCTGTCAGGTAAGATCCATCTTGACCAGTAATACCGGTGATGAAAGCCTTCTTGACAGGAGCTTCGGAAGCCATAGCTGAACACGAGAAGATCAGTAGTAATGAGAAATCGCTACCGAGAAAACTTAGTTGTGAGGCAGAAATGAACTGGAGATTGCTAAAATGTGCCTCCAGAAATTGCTGGTTCCTGAAGGATACGAGAATTGAGGAGGTTTGGCTCATCCCCCACTTATTATGCAACGAAGCAAGCAGGTTCGGACAATGGTGGTTGGTGGGGGGCGAGGTTCGGACATCTACCAAACTCTGCCTCCGTGGCAATTTTCAAAGTCTGATGTGGTTCGGATCTCCACCAAACCCGCAAGGGATGTCTCCGATGTCATCGGGGTGGTGGTGCCACGGTTCTGAGAGATGGCGTCGCTAATTGGACGTCTGCCGTTAGTCACGTGCGCTCCAGTGCCAGGTGGTTTATCGAGGTTATCGCATGTCGCAGGTGCTGTGGTTGCGTCAGGAAAAAATCCTCGCCAAAACAAGGCTGGTAACGGCGCGGTCTGACGATTTTAGCGATGAATAACGCTGACGGATCACAGTCATGCACTAAAACAAAGAGTTACTAGCACATCTTTAATTCTGACATGCAATCACATCTAGCCTGTAATATTTCGGCAAGTGTTGCAAAAGACTAAGTATAGAATCTGCAAACACGAACACTTGGAAAACCTCAAGTGTTAGCCTAGGATCTTTACTGGAATGGTAGACTGGTAAGACAGCGGAAGTCTTGTAAAAGTGAACCTGAGTATATGTTTTTGCAGAAGTTAAGTCTCAAAGTTAAAATCTCAAAGTTAATAATAAAAAGGACAGAACAATGATTTATAGCTCTAGGAAAGTACCCATTCGCTAATGTACCTGTTCGTCACTATCGTGGTATGCGCCCTAAATGATAATGAAGAGGTGCGACTATTCGCGTGACTGAAACGACTGTCATATGACGAGCGTTATTTGCTGACATAATCCTACGGACTTATCTTCTATAGTAAGATTCGACACTATCTATCGATAAACAACTTACAGGAATGGTAAGTATGAAATATACCACAACACTCCCCTTCATTTATGGAAGTTCGATAGTGTCACTTCTTGAACATCCCGCAAAGCTGTTAAAATTATATAAGTTATAATTTAATATAGGCTTGGTAGGTTGTTACTGAACCTTTCTGTAGGGGGTACAAACCCCTCCTTGTACTCCCCTCTCTTCCTAATCCAGCCCTCTTTCTTCTCGACACTCTCTCCCTTCCTAGATCCGTTTTCCTCACGCCATGCCATGGCGGCCTTCTTCCTAGTATTCTAGCCAACCTAGCCTCCTAAGTTTAAGAACCTTGAGTCCTAAGTTTCTAAGATGGTATCAGAGCCGGTCGTGTCCACCAGACCCTCTCCCTACGTTCCCGTTGCGTACTCCTACTGCATTCGCAGCCTTCGCGGTTTTCTGCCTGCCTGCCGTCGCGGCACTAAGTTGTCGCGACGGCCCCTTGTTGCCTGCCGTCGCGGCGCCAGGATGTCGCGACGACCCCTTGTTGCCTGCCGTCGCGGCACCAAGATGTCGCGACGGTCCCTCGTTGCCTACCGTCGCGGCGCCAAGGTGTCGCGACGGCCCCTTGGTGCAGCCGTCGCCCGTCCGCCTCGTCGCTGCGACATTGACGGTGCGCTGTGGCGGCGTCTGCGGCAGCTGACGGCATCGTCGGGCTGCGGCCGGCCGAGCGACGTCTGTGGCGTCGCCGGGCCTGCCGTTCGCTCGCCACAGACGGGCGTCCCTCAGGACGACGTCCTCCCGCCAGTAAGCGCCGCGCCATTTATGGCGCGTCGCTGAAGACTCGCCTCGCCCCGCCCCCTCCCCTCCCCCCCCCACCTGCACCTGCTCCCCCTGCATCCCCCCCTTTCTTGCTGCAGCCGATGACTGCCATGTGAGGGACCTCTCCACCACCGAGGAGACAGGACATGCCGCCGAGAGGGCGGGGGCCGCCGCACCAGCCTCTGTCGTTCAAGCCGCCGGCGCCGCCGCTGTTGCCGCAGGCCTGGAGCCGCCGCACACCGCCGCCGCTGCCGTCGTCACTGTCGCTGCTGCCGCCATTGCCGTCTCAAGGGGCCGTGAGACCTACCCTCTTCCGGAGTCGTTGCGGCTCCTGCTGGGAATGGGGGTGCTGGGCTAGGGGGTGTGGGTGTGGGTGTGGGGGTGTACGTGGGCTTGACACTACCAAGCCTAGGGGGTGTGTTAAAATTATATAAGTTATAATTTAATATAGGCTTGGTAGGTTGTTACTGAACCTTTCTGTAGGGGGTACAAACCCCTCCTTGTACTCCCCTCTCTTCCTAATCCAGCCCTCTTTCTTCTCGACACTCTCTCCCTTCCTAGATCCGTTTTCCTCACGCCATGCCATGGCGGCCTTCTTCCTAGTATTCTAGCCAACCTAGCCTCCTAAGTTTAAGAACCTTGAGTCCTAAGTTTCTAAGAAAAGCTTGTTACCGTATTGAAACTTCTGTCGAGTCAGCTTATTCGTGAGAAAATCGGCAGCCATTTCGTTGGTCGAACAGTAGACCAATCGCATCCTCCCCTTCTCGACTTCATCTTTGACGAAAAATTAACGTAGATAAATATGTTTCGTCCTGTTGACGAAGCCAGGCTGGTGCGCGATACGAATTGCACTTTGGTTGTCGCACTGCAGGGTAAACTGGGTAGTCGTCGTCAACTTCGCTTCTTCCAATAGTTCCTGTAGGTAAAGTCCTTCGCGTGTTGCTGTGCAGACAGCAATAAACTCAGCTTCAGCAGAGGAGAGAGCAATCAACTCATGCTTCGTCGAATTCCAAGAATTAGGGCCGATAGGTTCAAGCCGGTAGATGAGTCCAGTGCGCGACCGTCGATTATTAGAGTCAGCAGTGTGATCGGTGTCGACGAAACAGTGTAGGTATAGTGTTTTGCAACCGATGACATTGTAGACTAAACCGACGTCAGGAGTCGAGACGAAATACTGAAGCGCGCGGAGAAGATCAAGTTGGTGCTCCTTTTCAGGACGGCATAGCAACTGAGCGAGCTGACTAGCCACGTAGGCCAGATCGGGACGACAAGTGACAGCGGCGAAGAGTAGACAACCTAACTGATGTTGATAGGTCTGTAAACCGGTTGAATTTAACGGTGCAGTATTCGGTTTGTAGTCAGTCGGTAGAGAATGGTACGGTGTAGAAACTGTAGTAGGGTGAGATTGAAGCGGGCAGCGAGCGTCGCTGCGTACTTTGAAGCAGTGGGGTGAATCGTTGTCGGTGAACAGGTAATGTTTAGACCGAGAAACTGTGAAACTGTTTCGGAGACGGTAAGCTGTAGATTTTTCTGTAGTTTCAGTATGAAGATATCGGCGAGCGAATCAGTAGTGCTGACGTAGAGAATGTCGTCGACATAGGCGACGAGCAAAATATAGTTGCTGCCGTCAGTCAGAAGATACATTCCATGGTCATGCGGTAGCTGACGAAATCCGGCAGTGATCAGATGTGAGTGGAGGTACTGCTGCCAGAGCCGTGGTGCCTGTTTAATGCTGCATAGTGATTTTCGGAGACAGCATATGCTCGGTGGGTTAGTAGTATATAAATGCGGGTACTCTACCAGGATGAGTGCGTCGACGGGCGCGTAGAGAAACGCATTTGACACGTCGATTTGTCGAAGTCGTAGATTACGGCAGGCGGCGATACAGAGTAAAATACGAACGCTTGTATGTCAACTGACAGGAGCAAAAGTTAGTTCGTAGTCGATGCCATAAATCTGCTCGAACCCGCGGACGACCCATCGCGCATTGAATTTCTCAAACGACCCATCTGCATTAGTCTTGACGCGGAAGACCCATTTCCGGTAAGTACCTTCTTCCCTTTTACTTCTGAAGTCGGTATTAAATCCCATGTACTTCTGAAGAGCTGATAGCTCCTTGTCCATGGCTTCGCGCCATTTTTCTCGGTGAGGACTCGTAAGAGCTTGTCGAACGGTTTTCGATTCAGGTATCTTACTGTCGTTGTACTGTACTGTTACTGCAAATCCAAGTATCTGTAAGCCGGTTTCTGTAAAGCGCGGACGTTCTTCGTTTGCACCTGCGAAATTTTCTTCTGGTTCTTCCCCCCCAGTTTCGTCAGGTGTGACACGAATTGCTTCGTAAGAAACGGCGGGCATCGGCTGCTGTTGGCGATCGCGTTCGTAACTGAGGTGGACTTCGCGAACATCATCCTGGTCAGCATCTGCAAGAGGAATAAACTCCGGTATGCCGGTCGAGGTGACAGGTTCGGGAATGTCTGTTGCGACAACTTCGGATGCTTCAGAAACTGCTTCGTCCTGTACATCAGCTTTGGCTTCATCAGTTGCAAACGCACGCGAGCCTTCGAACAGCCTGGCGGGGTTGGCAGCTGCTGCCTGGTGGGCACGAAAAACGGGCAAGGTGAGTATTTCATAATAGAGACAATCACGTGAAGGGACGATTTGGTTGGAGCGAAGATCCAAAATCTTCCATGCGTGATACTGTATTTCGATGCCGAGATGTACCCCCCATTTTGCTCGTTCTGAAAACTTCCCGAGTGCTGCAGTTGGAGGACGAAACTGCACGACACACCCAAACACTCGTAAAAGTTTGGTACTTCCCACTGCAGGTGCGGAGAGGAAAACTCGGGCAGGGACGTTGAAGAAAGAAGATTGTGTAACAGCACGGCATGGTCCATCGCATACGGCCAAAAACGCGGTGGAAGGGCTGCCTGCGTCAGCAGAGTACGCATCTTCTCCTGCAGACTTCTGTTCATCCTTTCTGCTACCCCCATCTGTTGGTGTGCATGCGGCAGTGACTGCTTCCGTTTGATGCCGAGTGTCTGAAGGTATTCTGTGAAAGTGTTGCTGGTGTACTCCCCGACACCATCACACTGGAATTCTTGCAGTTTCACGCCAGACTCTCGTTTAGCGACAGCGAGCCATGCGACGAAGACGGAGTGAGCGAGATAACGAGCGGGAAGGTTTGCTGTCCAGACGTAGCGTGTAGATGCTTCGATGAATGTTATCACGTACTGCTCGTCTTTAGGGCCTGCATCAGGTAAGTTTAGTATGTCGTTGTAGACTTTCTGCATCCGTTTATAATGTGTTGAGCCAGGAAAATGACTTGGAAACGGATCGTGAGTAAGGTTGGCAACCGGACACGTGGTGCAAACCGTCGGACGAGACTGCGGCTTCATCTCCGTGCCATCAGGTAAGAGAAGACTATTTTTATCAAGAACTGATGCTCGGATTGAATGATTAAGAATCCCTTGTGATGGATGTCCTAACCGCTGATGCCAGATATCTTCGGTGGCTTTGTGTCCTGATGATCGCAGGTAGAAATCGGCGTTAGTATAAAAAGAAGAAATAACAAAAGGAGAAAGCGATGGTGACCTGTCAATCTCTCATTCGACGAAACGTGTATGTGGTAACGGAATATTTGAAGGTACTGCTGTAGTTGCGATTGCAACTTCTGATGCTGCTTCTGTTGATGTTGTGGCAGGTGTTTCGGCGACAGCTACTGTTGGACACGGCAACTCAGCGACTTCTTCATTTTCGGCTTCTTCAACGACGTCAGGTTCATCAGCTGCTAGTCCACTAATTTCCCCCCAAGTGGAGTTGGAGTCCCTTGAAGAGCCGCATGGGTTGTATAAAACGTTCGCCAAGCATTGGCGTCTTCATCGGCTGTATTGAACTCTCAAGTATCCAGTGCGGTAAGTACAGCAGTTGCAGTTCGAGAAGCCGTTGGTACAGTAGTTGCTCGAAAATCAATATCCACGTCTTGATAATCTGTTTCTTCTGGGTGATCCCAGTGACCAAGTGCAAGGACGCGTTCAGAATCTCCAGAAGTTCCCTGTGCTGCGTACTAAAGAACAGACATGCCATGTTGAGTGGCGGCACGACCAAGGTAAGTATTCGTTGAATTGTGCCAGAGCTCTTGATCCATCGTTTCACAATTGCCCTGTGTGTGGATCTTGTGCCCCAGAAGCTGAGCCGTGGAAAGAAGATTGAATCCAAGGCCGGCGACGATAAGAACATTGGTAACATGTAGTGAGTATCCCGTGTCGATCGATTCGAGCATTACACTCCCAACAGAACGTGCCATAATAGTTTGTCCGTTTGCGACTGTGACAGGTATCGGACGACAAAGTGGATGTTGGTTGGTGATGAAGCTTGTTTCAGCGGAGCACATGTGCCAACCGCAACAGCTGTCGAGATACCAAGTATTCGGACCTGAAATTATTAGAGCAAGGTTAGCGTAAAATTGAGGTAAAGGAATGCCTTCAGCACTTGTGGTTTCTTCAAGTCGTATCTCGAAATCTGTTTCTGAAACATCAACTGTGGTAATGCATCCAAAAGGCCCCTTTTTCTGATGTTGCAGATCCAAAAACCGGAGGACGATGCTGTGACGGCGATGGATTCTGCGGCGTTTTCGGCATCTGCTGCATTTGAGTCTTCGACTGCTGCATTGGCTGATGTGGCTTCGGTAACTGCTGCGAGCGATGATAAGGCTGTAAAGTGCTGCGTCGGTTTTGATGTCGACTGCGACAATTCTGGTAAGTGTGTCCTGGTTTCTTACAGAAATGGCAGAAAGGATATTTCGGGGGATGACTATGTTGCGATTCTGGATTTGAGTAAAAACTCAAGTGTATTCCCGTTTTCTGATTGCGTTGTGACTGCAGGTCCAGATCTTGCTGTTCGGCTTGAAGATACGACGAAATTTCAGCTTCGGAGAGGTTCAGGTTCATGCGCAGAAAAGCGCGCGTCTGTCGCCATTCGGGTCCAAGGCCAGCAAGAAGGACCGTGAGATAGATCTCACGAGGGAAGTATCCCCCACTTTTCTCCAGTTGATCGCGTAGTGTACGGACGTGATTAACGTAATCCATGACGTTCCCGCTTGTCATAATCATATAACCCCTTCAAGTGGTTCCATGCAGTTTCAGCTGGTGTAAAGCTTGAATGAAACGATCGGACGCCGGGCTGCTCCTTCGGCGACAGGTTACGAACAAGAAATGTATACGCCTCGAGAGAGGCGTGCAAGAAACTCTGCTGCTCCTGTTGTGTTCCCACGACAGGATAAGTAAACTCGCCGGTGAAGTACGGCCATAGCCCAGCGGACTGCGCAAGAAGCTCAAACTCGAAACTCCAGGAGTAAAAATCCACTCCCTTAAAAGGTATGGTTGTCTTGATCTGTGTACTGTTAAGTAAGTTTGGCCCTTGAAAGATAATACCCAGTTGTTGAGGCTGTTGATGTTGCTGCTGTTGCTGCTGTTGCTGTTGTTGTTGTTGTTGTTGTTGTTGTTGTTGTTGTTGTTGTTGTTGTTGTTGTTGTTGTTGTTGTTGTTGTTGTTGTTGTTGTTGTTGTTGTTGTTGTTGTTGTTGTTGTTGTTGTTGTTGTTGTTGTTGTTGTTGTTGTTGTTGTTGTTGTTGTTGTTGTTGTTGTTGTTGTTGTTGTTGTTGCTGCTGTTGCTGAGATTGATGTTGTTGTTGTTGCTGTTGCTGAGCAGGGGGATGCCCGAAGATATAAAAGGGATGCTGCTGCTGTTGTTGTGACTGCGGCTGCTGCACAAAAGGTGAGAAAGCGAATGAACCAGTACTTGGAGCTGAGGCTCCACGCATGTAACTCGAGCCGTCAAGGCTCATTCCACTGAACGCTGATGATATTGACTGCGTTGAAAACGGTGGTTGCGCTGTTGCTTGTTGCTGTACTGATGACTGTTGTTGAACTGATGCTTGTTGTTGTGCTGTTGTCTGTGTTTGTTGGTGTTGTGCCGCAGGGGCAGTTGATGACATCCCTGGAGTACTGACAGAAGACGGATTCTGCTGCTGCTGCTGCTGCTGCATACCAATATGCGCATAAGCCAGTGGAAATGGTCCAGAGGTTGAGAGACCAGTGGCGGTCATGGAGACATGTACTCCAGTAGTTCCGGAAGTTGATCCGGCAGACGGTGTTGGTGATGAACCAGTCATTGTTGACAATAGTCTTAATTCCAGATAGCTCTCATGCCATGTAATATTGCGACAGGTGTTGCAGAAGACTAAGTATAGAATCTGCAAACACGAACACTTGGAAAACCTCAAGTGTTTACTGGAATGGTAGACTAGTAAGACTGCGGAAGTCTTGTAAAAGTGAACCTGAGTATATGTTTCTGTAGAAGTTAAGTCTCAAAGTTCTCAAAGTTGAAATCTCAAGGTTAATAATAAAAAGGGCAGAACAAAGATTTATAGCTCTAAGAAAGTACCTGTTCGCTAATGTACCTGTTCGTCACTATCGCGCTATGCGCCCTAAATGATAATGAAGAGGTGAGACTATTCGTGTGACTGAAACGACTGTCCTATGACGAGCGCTATTTGCTGACGTCATCCTACGGACTTATCTTCTACGGTAAGATTTGACACTATCTATCGATAAACAACTTACAGAAATGCTAAGTATGAAATATACCACAACATAGCCAATGTAGTATCGTATCACTACCATAACGGTTAGCATTTTTACATGATATTGTTCATAATATAATCAATCCCCATCTAGAGTATGCATGAACATTCTTAAATCTCCTACATGACCATTAATTGGCAATATTCACATAAATATATCTTTCAGCGTCCTTTGAACTCAATAAAAGTTACTTCCTCGCATTTGTTCTGCATCACATTCACACTTATATTGCCCAAATTACCAACCCTCGTCCATCTATTGTGTGCACTAAACGTGTTCAATACTTCCACGCTCAGCAGCGAGTATCAAATTTCCTTTCCCAACCACGTGACCCTCATTCTGCGGAAACATGAGGCGCTTTTCTGGACGAAGGATGCTGTGCTTCCGACAAGTGTCATATCGCTTCGACACGTAGACGAATCCACGTTCACGTTACATCACTGTCTGGGTTCTCGTTTCTCACTTGCCCTTGAATCTCCAACCAGAGCGTAGTTCTTCGGCGCCGTCAAACTCCAATTGGTTGAAAGGAAAAATACACGTGGCTTTGCAGCCTGTTCCGCGCAGATGCGGAAAATGAGTGCGCTCAAAGACGCCGCAAGGCTGCCCCCGATTGCTGCGAGCCACAGCTTCGGGGACTTCTGGACGCCGAATGTGTCTGATTGGTGGGTACAGCAGGGGCCTCGCGCCACTCCGCGCGCGGATGTACCCCGCTTCATGTCCCTGAAAGAGTGTGAGCGGAGGGAAAATGGGAAGTCTCCCCATCTCCCCACCAGGCATCCGCCCTCCGCATGCCCCACACCCCCCTCTCCTGCACCGCGCATTCCCCCAATCCCCGACCCCCCAATCCCCGACCCGACCCATCAAGCTTTCTCTCCACCTCACGCAAGTCCCCTTCTCTGCCATTGTCACTCTAGGGGTTGGCCTTGGGATCTCCCAGGCAGCTCAAACTTCCTGGGGAGTCTTGGCATTGGCATTTCTGGGTTTGCACTTCAATATCAGGCTGTTGGATCGGCCCGTGTTCTAGGGATTGGTTGCTACTGATCCCGTTCACGTCACAGGGGTCCTAAACAGCTAACCGATAAGCGACCTATAGAGTCAGGCATTTTGCCAGATCAGGTTGCTAGATCCGAATATGTCGGCTCTGAACGCGTCGCCCGCCGTGGCTCAAGCGCCGAATGCGCTTGACGCGTCGTCCCGAATCAAGGCGAAAGCATCTAAGTCCCACTCATGCGTCCTCCACAGCGGCTGCTTCGGCGACCGCGTCGTTAAGGATGCCTCCCTGAGAGCGATCAGCGGAAAAGCCGCTCTTTCCGGCCTCGCGAAGACGCACAAGGCTGGCCGGAGTGGAGTCACTCGCGCCTCGCTAGATCCTCCCAAGGCTGTTAGCGCAGATGCTCCGCCGGCCTTCACGGCGTGGGGCGATGACGCGCTGAACCCCGTCGGAAAGCGCACAGATCTTAAGAAGATCATGATCCTCGGCGCGGGTCCCATTGTGATTGGCCAGGCGTGCGAGTTCGACTACTCCGGCACTCAGGTGCGTGCCATGCTGATCAATGCAGGAGAAAACAGCCCATTACGGCCATCGATCAATGTAGCTAGCACATTCACCTCATGAGAAACTTAGCGTATGATGGAAATTTTGGGGGGACTGCTGAAATTCCGCAAAGTTGCTTGTACATTTCACAAAGCGACAGCCGTCCGATCGTGGTATATTAAGCCTATCCGCAAGCATGTTCCCGTGCGCTCTCCCGTGCGCTCGCCCGTGCGTTCTCTCCCGTGCGTGCTTCCCTGGCTTCCAGGCGTGCAAGGCGCTGAAGGAGGAGGGGTACGAAGTGGTGCTGATCAACTCCAACCCCGCCACCATCATGACCGACCCCGGCACCGCCGATCGCACCTACGTCGCCCCCATGACGCCCGACCTCGTCGAACAGGTGCGCCCATCCCCTCGCCTTCTCCCCTCACGCTTTGATCCCATGACGCCCGAACTTGTCGAACTGGTGCGTCGCTGCTCCCCGCGCTCTTTGCCCCCATGCCGCCTTCCCTCCCTGCCATTGCTTCCTCCGGACATTCTTCCCTCCTTGCGTCCCGTACTTCCGGTTACCCCCCTCACTCCCCCCATGCCCTCACCTGTGCTCTCTGGCACGGGCGGCAGCCGGCATTATCGTCCCCCTCGTCACCGTGCTCCTATCTCCATATTCCCACCTCCCTCCACCCATTGTCGTGTTGGCTCCTTTCCAATGTCCCCCCCACCCTCTCCTCTCCCCAATTCCCTCACCACCAGCATCCACGTCATCGCCAACGAGCGTCCCGACGCCCTCCTCCCCAACCATGTCACCCCATCCAGGTCATCGCCAACGAGCGCCCCGCCGCGCTTCTTCGCACAATGGGCGGGCAGACGGCGCTGAACCTGGCGGTGGCGCTGTCGGAGTCGGGGGGGAGTGTGCTCCGATGCCGTTGGTCTCCTATTTATCGTCTCCAACACCTCGTCTATCCGATGCCCGCACCACCCCATCCAGGGCATCGCGAACGAGCGCCCTGACATCCTCCTGTCGACGGTGGGGGGTCAGACCACGCTGAACTTGGCAGCGGGGCTGGCGGAGCGGGGCGCGCTCCAATGTTGCTTTTCGCGTACCCATTCTCTCCCCCATCTCCCCGTCAATCCAAACAGGTGATCGCGAACGAGCGCCCCGACGCGCTGCTTCCCACCATGGGCGGGCAGACGGCGCTGAACCTGGCGAAGGAGCTGGCGGAGCGGGGGACGCTGGAGAAGTACGGCGTGGAGCTGATCGGCGCGAAGCTGGACGCCATCAACAAGGCAGAGGACCGCGACCTCTTCAAGCGCGCCATGGACAAGCTGGGTATCAAGAGCCCCAAGTCCGGCACCGCCACCACGCTGCAGGTAAGGGGTACAGGGGTGCTGCCCCCGCCACCACGCTGCAAGTGCGGGGTAGAGGGTTGCTGGCACTGCCACCACACTGCCACCACGTTGCAGGTGAGCTGTAGTGGCGTTTTAGAAGCTGCAGCCGCGCGCAGGCGTCTCAAATAGCGCTGAAGGGAGGGATGGTGCTGCTGCAGATGATTCTCTCACCCGCCTCATGCACGCAGAAGCCTGGGAGAAACATTGGCAGCTGCATTGAACACCCGGTATTGGCAATCCATCGAAGTTCGTTTCCTCACCATGTTTCTTCCTGAATCTCCGTATCCCCCTTCCCCCCCCCCACACACCCTTCCTTCCTTCCCCTCTCCCACCCCCACCCCTCTTTCCTCCCCTCTCCCTCCACCCCAACTCTCGCAGGAGTGCTTCGATATCGCGCGGTACATTGGCGACTACCCGCTGATCATCCGGCCGGCATTCACGCTGGGCGGGTCGGGAGGCGGCATCGCGTACAACGAGGAGGAGTTCGAGTCCATCTGCAAGGCGGGGCTCAGCGCCAGCGCCACGTCTCAGGTCAGTGCCACGTGTCCGAATCTAAGCTGGTGCAACGTCGCAGGTAGACGGGCCAGCATTGCGTGCCCCCTCTGTGCAGCCAGCAGTGTGGCGCCTTGCGAGTCTCAATTTGCAGCAGACTCAAGTGCGCATGTTTCAGCAACTAGTTATGCTGAGTGGCACACATACCCTTGCATGCCCCTCGTGTGTGCCCACCTCCCCATCCCCCCGCTTCCGGCCTCGCACCCCTCCCACCCCTCTCCTCCCCCTTCACACGTACTTGCTGCTGCTGCTGGGGTGGAAGGAGTACTAGCCGGCGGTGATGATGTGAGGCGCACACGTGCTGATAGGCTCCCATACCCTTGCACGTGCTGCCCTCATGTGCCCCCACAATTCCCCTTCCTCCTCCAGGTGCTGATCGACAAGCTGCTGCTGGGGTGGAAGGAGTACGAGCTGACGGTGACGCGAGGCTCGCCCACATGCTGATGCGCCCACCCTTATGCGCCCACCCTGATGCGCCCACCCTTATGCGCCCACCCTGATGCGCCCACCTGCCCCCTCGTTTGCCTTGTCGCAGGTGCTGATCGACAAGTCTCTTCTTGGATGGAAGGAGTACGAGCTGGAGGTGATGCGCGACCTGGCGGACAACGTGGTGATCATCTGCTCCATCGAGAACATCGACCCCATGGGCGTGCACACCGGCGACTCCATCACCGTCGCCCCTGCCCAGACGCTCACAGACAAGGAGTACCAGGTGGGGGACACAAGGGGTGGCTGGTGAGGCAGTTCGGAGGGGTAGCAGATGGGTCTTCGATTAGACACTCGCCGACTGAGTCAATCAATCAGGGGCAGCCTGAGTGGGATACCAGAGTAGAAGCCGTGGTGTCCTGGTGCATGTGTTTTGGGGCACCACTATGTAGGGTCCGGGGTTTGGGGTTCAGGGTCTAGAATCTTGCCTCCTGTATTCAGGGGTTGTCAGGAAAGGCTGGCTGAAATCAAGACCCATTTGGCCTCCCCTTCCCCTCTCCCCCTCCGTCCCGCGCCTGTGTGACTACTCTCTGGCGATCATCCGCGAGATGGGCGTGGAGTGCTTTCATGATTCATCCCGTCTCTCTCCCCTTGTTCTCGCACCGTTTTCCCCCCCTCCCTTCCCCCCCTTCCGACCTATTACCAGCGCCTGCGTGACTACTCGGTGGCCATCATCCGCGAGATCGGTGTGGAGTGCGGGGGGTCGAACGTGCAGTTCGCCATCAACCCCAAGGACGGCGAGGTGGTGGTCATCGAGATGAACCCGCGCGTCTCCCGCTCCTCCGCGCTCGCCTCCAAGGCCACCGGCTTCCCCATCGCCAAGATGGCTGCCAAGCTCTCTGTGGGGTACACGCTGGACCGCATCCCCAATGACATCACCAAGAAGACCCCTGCCAGTTTCGAGCCCTCAATTGACTACGTGGTCACCAAGGTGAGCCTTCCGCCAGTTGATGTTTCCACCTCTAAGCTTGTTCATCTTTCCACCTTCCTCTCCCGAATAGAAGGATTCCCTCCTCCGCCTTTCACCAGTGCCCCAGCTCCGAGCAGCCCATTCACAGCAACCCGTCCAAGCAGCCACCCCCTATCCTTCCTCCCTGCCACCCACCTCTCCCAACCCCCCCTCTCTTCTCTCTCCCCTTTCTCCCCGCCCCTCTCTCCCCCCCCCTCCTCCAGACTCGGTGGTTCGTCTTTGAGAAGTCCCCCGGCTCCGAGCGCACCCTCACCACGCAGTTGCAGTCAGTGGGCGAGGCAGGCTGCTAATACGGCATTCCATCCCAACCCATCCCCCCTCCCCCCCTCCTCCAGATCCCGCGCTTCGCCTTTGAGAAGTTCCCCGGCTCCGAGCCCACCCTCACCACCCAAATGAAGTCCGTCGGCGAGGCCATGGCCATCGGACGCACCTTCCAGGAAAGCTTCCAGAAGGCGCTGCGCTCCCTCGAAACCGGCCATTCAGGGTGGGGGTGCGAGCGCGTGAAGCAGCTCGAGTGGACCATGGACGAGCTGAAGTATTCGATGCGCGTGCCGAACCCTGACCGCATGTACGCCATCTACGCGGCGATGAAGCGCGGCATGAGCCAGCGCCAGGTGCAGCAGCTCACCAACATGGACCCCTGGTACCTCTCCCAGATGGGGGAGTTGCTCGAGGTGGAGGATTTTATGGGCAAGCTGGACGGGCAGCTCAGGGCGCTCACCCGCGACGACATGCTGCAGATCAAGCGCAGGGGGTACTCTGACCGCCAGATTGCGTACGCGCTGAAGTCGACGGAGGAGGAGGTGAGGAAGTATAGGCTGGAGCTGGGGGTTGAGCCGGCTTTCAAGCGCGTGGACACGTGCGCGGCGGAGTTTGAGGCCATGACGCCGTACCAGTACTCGTCGTACGACGATGAGAACGAGGGGCAGCCGGACGCAGAGCGCAAGGTGCTCATCCTCGGGGGCGGACCCAACCGCATCGGGCAGGGGATTGAGTTCGACTACTGCTGCTGCCACGCGTCATTTGCGCTGCAAGCTGCGGGCTTCGAGACTATCATGATGAACAGCAACCCGGAGACCGTCTCCACGGACTATGACACGTCCAACCGCCTCTACTTCGAGCCCCTGACAGTGGAGGATGTGATCAACGTCATCAACCTGGAGCGGCCCGACGGGATCATTGTGCAGTTCGGCGGGCAGACTCCCTTGAAGCTAGCCGTGCCCATCCAGCGGTATCTGGAGGAGACGCAGCTGCAGGCGGCGAGCGGCTTGGGGCCGGTGCGCATCTGGGGCACGTCGCCGGACTCCATTGATGCAGCGGAGGACCGGAAGCGGTTTGAGGCGATGCTCAATGAGCTGGGGATCAACCAGCCGCCCGGGGGGATTGCGAGGAGCGAGGAGGATGCGCTGGCCGTGGCCAAGCGCGTGGGGTACCCCGTGGTGGTGCGCCCGTCGTACGTGCTGGGCGGGAGGGCCATGGAGATTGTGTACAACGATGCAGCGCTGCAGAAGTACCTGGTCACAGCTGTGGAGGTGGACCCTGAACGCCCGGTGCTGGTCGACAAGTACCTCTCGGTGAGTGCATTGGGGATGGCTGCTACTGCGTGTGACGGCTTGCCTTGTGGTGTCTGCTCGGAGGCGGGGCTTGGCGTGTGGTGTGTGGTGGGGGGCAGGGTCATGGAGAGCATGCCACATAGAACAGGCTCTCACTGTTGTCCCCCATACCCCTCATTGACTCCCACTCAGTTGCCCAGAACGTCACTGAGCCACTGGGCCACCGAGGTTCATATCCGCTGCCTGGCGAACAGCATGGGCGCAGTGGCCATAGGGGGCATGAGGAAAAAATCGGGATACCACCATGTGGTAACCCCCCTGCTTCACATGTTCGCCCCTGCTTCCCATGGCAGAACGCCACTGAGCTGGACGTGGACTGCCTGGTGGAAAGCACAGGAGTGGTGGCCATCGGGGGCATCCTGGAGCACATCAACCAGGCTCTCATGACGCCCTGTTTCCACCCCTGCCTCCTTATGTGCCCCTTACGCCTGCCAGAACGCCACTGAGCTGGACGTGGATTGTCTGGCGGACAGCACGGGCGCGGTAGCCATCGGGGGCATCATGGAGCACATCGAGCAGGCGGGGGTGCACTCGGGGGACTCGGCTTGCTCCATCCCCACGCAGAGCATCTCCGATGACGCCCTCGCCACCATCCGCGACTGGACCACCCGCCTCGCCAGGAAGTGAGTGCTTGGGGGACAAGGGGGTTGGGAGAAGAGGGGTAGGAGAGAGAATTCGGCACAGAGCGAGAGAGCATTTCCCACACAGAAGCTGTAAGATTCGGTACTGTGAACATCATCATCCCATACATTACCTACTCACCCCTCCCCTTCTTCCTCTCTCCCCAAAACCCCCAACCCCGAAACCCTTCCCCAGGCTGAACGTGGTGGGGCTGATGAACTGCCAGTACGCCGTGATGCCAACGGGCGAGGTGTACATCATCGAGGCCAACCCGCGCGCCTCCCGCACGGTGCCCTTCGTGGCCAAGGCCATCGGCCACCCCCTCGCCAATTACGCGTCCCTCGTCATGGCGGGGCAAACGCTCAAGGAGCTGGGCTTCGAGAGGGAGGTCATCCCCAACCATGTGTCGGTCAAGGAGGCCGTGCTGCCCTTTGACAAGTTCCCCGGGTGCGATGTGCTGCTGGGGCCGGAGATGCGCTCCACCGGGGAGGTCATGGGGCTGGATGTGAGCTTTGAAAAGGCGTTCCTCAAGGCGCAGATCGCGGCGAACCAGCAGTTGCCGAGTGGCGGGTCGGTGTTTGTGAGCCTGAACGACCAGACGAAGGAGAGCGGCGTGGAGGTGGCCAAGAGCTTTGTGGAGCTGGGCTTTAAGATCCTGGCCACGGAGGGCACGGCCAATGTGCTGGAGGATGGGGGCATTGAGGTGGAGAGGGTGCTCAAGCTGCATGAAGGAAGGCCACATGCGGGTGAGTGGATGAATGAAGAGGGGGGGGGGGGATCGATTGAATGGAGGGCATTGGGGTGTGAGTGAGGGGGTTAGGGCTTGGAGGTTAGGGAGTATTGGGGCATCGAGGTGGAGAGGGTGCTCAAGCTGCATGAAGGAAGGCCGCATGTGGGTGATTGGATGAAGGGCACGCGGGGGTGGGGTCAGTGGTTGGGGCTAGTAATTATCACATGCTGCATTTTTCCCTCACGACCCTTTTTCCCCGAACTACCTTTGAATGTATACCCCTAACCCCCCTGTACTGCAATCTTCTCACTCATCTCCCTCCTCCCCTGCAGGCGATCTGGTGTCCAACGGTCAGATCCAGCTGCTCGTGATCACATCAGCCGGGGACGCCTTGGATCAGAAGGACGGGCGGCTGCTGCGCCGCACGGCGCTGGGAAAGAAGGTGCCCATCATCACCACCATCGCCTCGGCCCGAGCCACAGTGAAGGCCATCCGGGGGCTGTTAGCGTCGCCCATCGAGATGAAGGCGCTGCAGGACTACTATGTCGCGGGGAGCAAGGAGGCCATTGCTGCCGCCGCTGCTGACGCTGCTGCTGCTGATGCTGCGGCAGCGGCGGCAGTGAGCCATTGAGCAGGTGTGCTGGGCTGGGACTAGCAGGCTTGTTGTTGCTGGGCAGGTGGCGGCTGACTTGCCTGGGCTTGGTGTGAGAAGTTGCTTGTGGTTTGTGTCACGGGCCGCCCAGAATATGGCTGGGGGAGGGCTTGCAAGGGGGATGTGGGCTCATGGGGGAAGGGGGGTGGTGATATGGTTTGACGAAGGTCACAAAGAGCTGCTGGGCATAGCTTGCCATACAAGAATTCACACCTGAATGCTGTTGCACTTCAATGCTACATCAACCAGCGTGTGCTGCTGGCTCTATTCAATGTAATGTATGCCAGTGACGTGATTGCTAGCCCAAAAATTCACCTGCGTTTGTGAAGCTAAGCGAAGCGAGGCCGAGTGAAGCGAAGCGAGGCCGAGCGAAGCCAAGTGAGGGCGAGCGAAGCCAAGCGAGGGCGAGCGAAGCCAAGCGAGGGCGAGCGAAGCCAAGCGAGGGCGAGCGAAGCCAAGCGAGGGCGAGCGAAGCCAAGCGAGGCCGAGGTCCCCAAACGGACGGTCACACAGAGAGGACAAACCAAACGATGGAACAGCTGATTCTGACAAACTGCCCCAACCGAAACAAATGGAAGGACGCACTTCCCATGTTGGAATTCTCCTACAACAACGTGCCCTCAGCTACAACTAATCACTCCCCGTTTTACCTCAATTACGGGATGGACCCCACAATACCTATCTCCACCAATGTTGAGAGTCAAGTACCATGGTCGCAGCAGTTCGTCACAGAATTACAAACTGCCCAAGACAAAGCTGTCGAACTTATTCGCAAGGCGAACGCTACTGCTCGACGGTATGCGGATTTACATCGACGGGATATTACAATGGCAGGAGGGCAACTATGTTAAATTATATAGTGTATATCTATAATTGTAGGCTTGGTAGGTGTTACTGGATTCTACTGTAGAGGGTACAACTTAGTTCTTGTACCTCTCTCTCTTGCCTAATGAAACACTCTTCTCTCGACAGTTTACTCTCCTTCCTAAACCTCTCGCCATTCCATGGCTTCCCTAGCTGCCTAGTTACTTTGACATGGTATCAGAGCAGGCGGTCCGCCCTGTTGGGCCGCCTCCTCACGCTTCCGCCGCGAACTCCCCCCCCTCTCGTTCTTCCGCCGCGTACCCCCCCCCCCCCCCCCCCCCCCCCTATCGTTACTTCCGTGCCGCCGTGGCGAACGTGTCGTGCTGCCATGGCAGCTTTGTCGTGCTGCCATTGCGGCTTTGTCGTGCTGCCGTGGCAGCCTCGACGTGGTGGCTTCGTCGTGCCGCCGTGCCGCCGTCGCCGCGTCAGCATACGGGCGGAAGTGGGCCGCGCACTGGTTTAGGCACCCGGCAGCAAGCCCGCACTCCAGCTCGCCGCGCCTCCCCAGCTCGTCGTGTCGGACCCAGCTCGCCGCGTCGGACCCGGCTCGCCGTGTTTGACCCAGCTAGCCGCGTCGGACCCAGCTCGTCGCGTCGGTCCCAGCTCGCCACACCAGCTGGCTTCGCCCCGCCGCAGCTCAAGGATGCCTAGCGCCTTCCTTTCCTACAGTCACCTCTGCTGCAGGGTATGGGGATGCTAGGCTTAGAGGTGTTGCATGTGGGATGGGCTTGTGACTACCAAGCCTAGGGGGTGTGTTAAATTATATATTATATATCTATAATTGTAGGCTTGGTAGGTGTTACTGGATCCTAGTGTAGAGGGTACAACTCAGTTCTTGTACCTCTCTCTCTTGCCTAGCGAAACACTCTTCTCTCGACAGTTTTCTCCCCTTCCTAAACCTCTCGCCATTCCATGGCTTCCCTAGCTGCCTAGTTATTTTGACATTGTATCAGAGCAGGCGGTCCGCCCTGTTGGGCCGCCTCCTCACGCTTCCGCCGCGTACTCCCTCCCCTCTCGTTCTTCCGCCGCGTAACCCCTCCCCCCCCCCTCTTGTTACTTCCGTGCCGCCGTGGCGGCTATGTCGTGCTACCATGGCGGCTTTGTCGTGCTGCCATGGCGGCTTTGTCGTGCTGCCGTGGCAGCCTCGACGTGGCGGCTTTGTCGTGCCGCCATGCTGCCGTCGCCGCGTCAGCATACGGGCGGCAGTGGGCAGCGCACTGGTTTAGGCACCCGGCAGCAAGCCCGCACTCCAGCTCGCCGCGCCTCCCCAGCTCGTTGTGTCGGACCCAGCTCGCCGCGTTGGTCCCAGCTCGTAGCATTGGTCCCAACTCGCCACACCAGCTGGCTCTGCCCCGCCGCAGCTCAAGGATGCCTAGCGCCTTCCTTTCCCGCAGTCACCTCTGCTGCAGGGTATGGGGATGCTAGGCTTAGAGGTGTTGTATGTGGGGTGGGCTTGTGACTACCAAGCCTAGGGGGTGTGTTAAATTAAATATTATATATCTATAATTGTAGGCTTGGTAGGTGGCACTGGATCCTACTGTAGAGGGTACAACTCAGTTCTTGTACCTCTCTCTCTTGCCTAGTGAAACACTCTTCTCTCGACAGTTTTCTCCCCTTCCTAAACCTTTCGCCATTCCATGGCTTCCCTAGCTGCCTAGTTACTTCGACAAACTATTCCTTTTGGACACCAAGAACTTACGGCTACCACTACCGACGAAATTACGACCATGTTTCTGTGGCCCATTCAAGATCATGAAGATGGTGACGCCGGTGACCGCCCAGTTGCGCCTACCTGACGATTGGCATATTCACAACAAGTTCCACGTGAGCATGCTATCAAACATATCTTTGTATGTTATTTATAGACTACACAGGGTTGTGCCTTAGAGAGTACAACCCACTAGGTTATATTCCCTTATATGCCATGGTTCTAGTCATTTCGTTAACTCTGATATGGTATTAGAGCAGGTTCCCCCTCTTTTCTCTTGATATTTTTCCTAGCCTAAACCTCTCGCCATTCATGGCGTCTTCTCTTCCTACCTAACGTATTTAGTTCAACATGTTATCAGTGAGGACGACACGTGGGTGCCCTCGGACCAGATACAGTCACCTTCGATACTGGCGAATTATTTGGCCCGCAAGCACGTGCCTGATATAGATCACCTTCGCTAAGGGAGAGGGTGGTGTAAGGAATTTTCTATTCCTTACCGAGCAGTATTGCTATTGCGTATGCTCGAACACACCCGAAGCCTCGGTGCGGTTCCGGACAGGGCCTCAGATTCGTTTTGGGGCACCCTGATCGCTCAGGGTCCCCCCCCCTAACCTCACTGTTTTTTCAGGCCTCGCAAAGAAAATTATGCTGATCAATCAGGGTGTTGTAAAGATTTTGCGCTGAATAAACAGAGTTACCTACAAAAAACACACTGTTCAAGTATATGCCCATTATTACTATCTTTTATAAAGACAAGGGCTTACGATCTAACATGGGCATACTAGGACCTACTTAAGCATCCTCCTCTACCTGCACGCTGTCATGGTCTACAGGGGAATCGTCCTCCTTCTCTTTCCCCTTCCTACTCTTCTAGGCTCTGCACTGTAGGGCAGTGCTGTAGGGCTTCCTCTTCCTGTAGGCTCTCCAGATGTCAATGACGGCATCCCGGTCCGGGTCGTAGTCTAGCAGGCTCATACACATCAAATCTCCAAGGCGTGAGTCCTTCATGCTGCCCCGCAGCCAGCTCTTAATCACATTATGGCGGGAAAATCCGCGTTCACATTCCACTGTGCTTAGGGGAAGAATTGTCGTAGCACACCACAGCTTGACGAGATTGGGGAAGCTATCCTCCCAGTCTGGAGACTTCAACATGGTCGTCAAGCCGGTGTAGAAGCCCTTGTCACTCTTTGGCAGGGCAGCAAGGACAGGGCAAAAATGGGGAATCTCCAGCACATACGCTCGCTTGTTGACGCCTGCCAGTACGGGAAGGGTAGGAGGGAGAACGAGGGGAGTATTAGTAAAATAGGGTAGGGCGGAACCACATCAACAAATCGTGCAAGCCTCAGGGTCAAGGACAGGTGAGATACCTGGAAGAATCTTTTCAGCTTCCCCTGCATGGTAGAGGTCGACCATCATCCTGAACCACTCCAGACATTGGGCCTTCCGTAGAGCACGTTCCCACCCCTTTGGCCACTGGTCCGCACAGAACAGCATCAAACCACCCAGCTGCTTCAAGTCCCCTAGCCACTCGTCCAGGTTCTGCACCATGCCTTCGGCCAGCGCCATGCACGCCACGACACAATCGTCGAGCTTGCCCTCACCCGGGTAGCCATCCAATGGCTCCTCATGCAAGTCGAAGCTGAATCGACTCGGGCGACCATCAGAGTCGACGCCCTCAACAGTGACGCTGCGCGTACCGCCAGGGCTGTGGCGGGTGAGGAAGGCCGTGAGCAGGTCTTTCAGGCCCCCGTTGAAGTTGTCGCTGCAGTCGACGTAGCGGCTTTCGAGGAGGGACGTCACGCGTGAGACCGACGCGTGGATCGTTGACATGTCCAGCTGCGGGAAGGGGTTTGGGAATACAGGTAAGACAACAATGGTGCGTCAGTAGTGGTTTAGGAGCACCACATGACGAAACTTACCTCGCGGGTCTAGAAAGTCTTGTTGAGATGTTCATCTGCTCAAGAACATCAGCAAGAAACATGAGCACAACCCAAAAACAATAGCTCGTGACAATCTTGTAAAGATGGTCATCGGCAAACTCGGACACCATGACGACGATGGTTGGCAAGACCTTCACCAGCCGTCGGATGGTCTCACCGCGTGAGAGCCATCTGTCTTGGTGTATACCCTGCAGCTCCAAGCATGTCGAGAGGAAGTCGTCTTGGAGGTCGAGGAAGCGCTGGTGCCACGGTCCAGAGCGACCAAGGAACTCGGCCAGCTCCTTGATGACATCATCGATGATCGTGAAGAACGGCATGTCCTCCGCCACCGCCTTAGCTGCCAGCGCCTCTCTGCACATGGAACGGGGAGAAACCGAACACACCAGCATGAGTGACAGCTAGTATTGTCCCGAATCAGCATCTGTGCAAAGTGTTGGACACTCAATAATGCAAAAATGATTACTTACTGGTGAGCGATGCAGTGACAGGAGACCAGGTGAGGGATACGCATCCGGAGTCGAGTCGCCAGGCCGGCTTTCGAGCCCATCATCACCGCCGCCCCGTCTGTGCTGATGCCCGAGATGCGGCGGAGATCGACACCGATTGCCTGCAGGTGGGAGAGCAGCAGAGCGAGCAGAGAAGAGGCGTCCGCCTTGTCAATGCTGAGCAGCGCCAGGTACTCGGTGACGACGCGGAGGTCCCGGATGAAAGTGCAGAAGACTATCATGTGCTTTCCTCTGCAACGGTCCGTGCTCTCGTCGAGGCTAAGTCCGATGAACAGGCTTCGCAAGAGGTGCTCTAGTTG